TCGTCAAGGAGGGTGTTGGTAAACGCGGGGCAAACGTTGCGGTAGCAAAGTGGGAGAACACCTTGTGTAGTGCGCCCGGAGCGACGGGGAGGAGAATTTTCGACCGGAACGATTTCCGGGACCGTCTCAACATCACTCGTTTTCGTGCCTCCGAGCAGCACCTCTGTCTCCGTGTCACTCGTTTTCGTGGCTCTGTGCATCTCCCCTGACTCCGTGTCACTCGTTTTCGTGGAGCCCATTTTGTACGCGGTTAACGGATCGTCCGATCAACTGTTGGTGGCGCGAACAGAAGGCACTTCGCTTGGTGCCTCGTTTCTCCCCTCGTCACCAGTGGTCGAGGCGGAGGACTGAGAAAACGGGACCTGTATGGGCGATTTCCGCCCCGCTTCCAAAGGGGAGGAGGTGACAAAAAACGGAGGTGGAGGTGAGGAGGGGGGAACCGCGGGTACCACCCGCGGATAAACCGATGGGGCTGCAGTGTTTGGGACAGATGTTGGGACATGAGGCGGAACTGCTGCGGGGGGGAGGATTGAGGTCGTCGTCAATCTCGGGAGCCAACAGATCCGTCGTGGGGACGGGCGGGAACACGGGTGCAGGTCCATCTAGACGAGGCTCCGCCATTTTCGTGGCCTTCCAACCATCCAGCGAGAGATTTTTGTGGAAGACTGCTTCCACGGTCGTGACGACATGATTTGCCACAAGATCGAGCACTTGACAGCCTTTGCTCACGCGCGAAACTCCAAGTTGAACTCCTTACCGAGCCTTCGGTTCCAATTTGCCACCGCGATGATGCTCCGGCACCATAAACTGCACCATGCAGCCCCTAACACGAGCAAGTGTCAGATCGGGCTTGTCCGCGAAAACGAGTTCGTGTGGTGTGGTTCCGGGAGGGAGAGAAGCGCGTTTGAGGCAGTTGCGAATCCAAACAGCTTGCCGTAGTGCCAAGTGTCACCAATGATGCTCCACGCCCATGTGCAGATGCATTGTGCGCACCGATTCCACAACCGTGCGCATCTCGCAATCAGCCATCCCATTCTGTTGTGGGGTGTAGGGGCATGCGAGATCCTGAATGATGCCGCAATTGTCCAGGAATTCGGTGAATTCGTGGCCCAGGAACTCCCCTCCACGATCTGAGCGAAGCGTTTTCACCTTCGCGTTGCACTGGCGTTCCACCATCAGCAGCCATTTTCGGAACCGCTTCAGAGCGTCACTATTCTGCACGAGCGGGTGTGTCCACACAAAACGTGTCTTTCGATCTTTGAGAAGAAGGAAGTATCTGTTTCCGTCCTTTGCGGCGACACGAAATGGCCCGCAAACGTCCACGTGAACAACGTCCAAGACGTTCGCTGCTTCCTTGCCTTCTTTGGGGAACGTGTGGCGAACGAGTCAACAGTCTCCACAGGGTCCCAACTTTGTGGCACGAACGGACGAAGGGTTGTGCAGAGAACCCGTCCTATGTAGCGCGCGCGCGAAAATGGTGCCGTTCGTGGAGAGGAGCACGGTGGCGTCATCCACGTCCTCCATCTTCACCGCGCAGTCCTTCAGCTGATAGTCGAAAGAAGGTTTGCCTGCACTCTGGGGACGTAAAGCATGTCTGAAACGAGGATCCGCTTACCTCCCTCTCCTTCGAGAGCGACGGTTCCACGGCCACGAACAAGTTGAACGGCTCCGTTGAATCCGTGCACGTGGCTCACCCCGCCTCCATCCTGCATGCCCACGAATGTATTACGGTCCCCCATCAAGTGATGCGAGCACCCACTATCCAGCAGCACGACTGATGGGATTTGCCTGCATAGCTGCAGCAACCGCTTGAAGATCTTCACCCGCCTCAGGCGCCAACGAATTTGGTGTCTCCGTTTATGGTGAAGCACACGCGATCGTCCCCACCATCGCACACGAAGCTTGGTTTGTGCCATTCGTGTTCGTGGTCGTCGTCGCGTTTGCACTCGCGTTCGCGTTGCCACTACCAGCAGAATTCAGATGCTGTTGTCCACGGGCATTGTTTGCCGGATGATTCGGGGAGTCGTTGTGCTGGTTTTCGTGCCGAGATTGTCCTGCATTCGCTCGTTCGCGTGGGCCCTCGTGCTCATTGCCCGAATCACCACCAGCACGACCGGGGCACTAATAGGAGAGATGCTCGAGGTCGCCACAGACGAAGTAGTAGCGCTTGCATTGGCCACGGCCGCGATCTTCCTTCTTGCTCGACTTCCCGCGATTGTCCTCATTTTTGCTTCCCTTTCCACCTCCACGAAATTTGCCCTGCTGTTGCTGCTTCTATTGTCCGTGCTGCTGCTTCCCCTGGTGTTGTTGACCCCTCTTTTGCAATGGTGCCACGAAATTCGCATGCGGAAGCAACTGCTCCTTACGTTTTTCGGACTCGAGCGTAAACTCCTCCTCGATGATGTAGCTGGAGAGCGAATCCTCGACAAGTTCTTCGCGCACGCCTGGGAGCTTCACCATTCGCCGCAGTAGATTGTAGCGTTCGGGGAGGCCTTTGATCACGTGCGTGATGTACGAGAACATCGTGTACTCCACGCCCGCCATTCGCAGGTCCGCAAGAATTTGCTGAGCACGGTTGCAGTAGCTTGTGGCGCTTTTGTGCTCCCCCATTTCGAGGTTCGTCAGGCGCTGCTCTAGTTGCCCGAGGTACAAGTCGTCCGTAGCCTTGTACGTCTTCATGATGAACTGCCACACTTGGAATCCCGCGTCCTCGTGCATACGACACGGCTTCAGAGCGACTTGAACAACTGGAGAGCAGCATCGCAAAATCACCATGAACGTCAGCAGTTGTGCGGAGTGGAACTGAGAGATGCGCTCGTAGTCGTCGTCTGGCGGAGGTACCGCGGAGCCATCCACGAATTTCTTTTGTTGCGCGATTTCGAGCAGCGGCTCAATCGATTCCACCCACGTAGTCAAGTCGTGGCGTTCTTCAAGCGGTTTCGGAACCGCGATTTGTCCGATGAGAACATGAAGTAGCCATATTCAGGGGCGATGCCCATGTCCTGAGAGGTCGAAGGCAGAGACTTCATCGCGCGGCCGTTCATACTTCGACGAGCAGAGATTCGTGACCCATCCGCACCACCGCGTGCACTTCCAGCAGCGGCCGCTCGCAGCACCTGCGCTTGCGTTCCTCTGACACTCGTGACATTGGCCCGCACGGGCCCCCGTACAAGTCCGCGTATTGCCCTTTCGCCTCCATTCCCAAGATTCACGTCATTGTCTTCAGCACGAAGAGCGGCAGACCCGTTGTCCGCTTCAGCCCGAGGAGGTGGATGATCACGCGCTCACCGTTCATGGAGTCCAAGAATCATTAGCTCCAAGTCCTCCACGCTGATTCCAACATCGCTGAATCGCTCCCGCATAGCAGCCTCTTGGGCCTCTAGGGTATCCATGGCTTCCGAAGCGACGCCGTCGTCAGACATACGGAGCCTTTCGTGACTACAAGCACTGGTCTGAAAACTTCGTGGTCTACTCGGCTATCTGAAGGTTTCGCACATCATTCCACGCTCACTGCACCATGCAGAGATTTCTAGTTTTCGAGATGGCGGGGCACGAAAACGTGGGCACGTGAATCTCGTCACGAAATGTGCACTAGGAATTGAGGCACGAAATTGTGTTGGCTTGCCTTGTAGAAATTCTCTAAGTGTTGAGAGAAAGCTTGAACATAGCTTCTCTATAGAAAAGAGAATACTAGAGTACAATGGGAAGGACCAGAACCATATCGGAACGAAGCGTCGATAGTCGCGAACGTTCACGCAAAACGTTCAGACAACTACTCTAGCATGTGCATTGCCAAGTCAGCAACGGCATATGAAATTAACATGCCAGGTAAATTTCTACATAACTAGGAGTAGTTGTTCATGTTTCTGCAACATTTGCAGTTACACATGCTTCGCTTTTGCAATATAGTAATGTTTTCCGATTCTGTCCGTTTCGGCTACGGAGTGCATTGCGTGATTTTTTCCCCTAAGTCAGGACTTGGTTTAATTTAGCCGCGTATAGCTTTTCCACGCCATCTCCCGTTTCGTAACCCGCGGCAAATCACGCAACGGTGATCCAACGCGAAACCTCCCAGGGGCGCGAAAACTTCGCGCCAGCACAAACGTGGAACCTCGATCCCGCGCAGGCGCGAACCCAGAATGCAGTGCAATCCTTTTCGCGGTCGCGGGACGCGCTCTACTGCGCGAACACATTTCGCTCGAAGCCCTCAAGCGCGAATACAGGCTTATGCAGGGCCTTTCGCGTCAACAAAGCGAGTGTCGCTTTGTTGAAGCGAGTGTCGCGAGTGGTAGCGGTTTTACTGCTGGGTGCTGCTGGTCGGAACAGTTGTGTACGCGCTGAGCAGGGTCGCGAAGTAAAAAAGATGAGTTTTCCTTACACCATGGGTCATAGGACGGCAAAACTTTTCCTGAAGGTAATGATTGAGCCCCTGAGGTGATTGAGCACACAAAAGGAATGTGAGGTCGTCGCCTAGCTTACATCTAGATTGGAGTGGAATGTGGGTCATAGCTTGCTTCGCTCCCTAGTTCATGCAACATCTACGGAAAGCCATGGAACGTGAAATGGGGTAGATGCCATAGATCTTGGATGTTCTTGAGGATGTACAATTTCTGAAGACAACTGAAGCGCTTGACGTGTGGATGATAAATACACTTTATGCCGCTGCAAGGTTGAACAAACAGATTGGGCCTTGTTTTCCATAACGATGCGGATACAAGAGCAAAGAAAAATATAAAAAGTCGAATGTGTCCCACCCATATGATAGCCACCCCAGAAACATGAATCAGAATTACTGACCTTCCCAAACAGAAACGCTGCGAGGACATATCTCAAACTAATCGATCCTCTTATTAGAAAGCCTCCGTGCGGCTCGACGATCAGGCCTTCATCATCAGCGTTGCGCTGCAAATTCGCCATTCCAGAACCCAAGCACCATTCCAGAAACCAGATGCGTTTCCATCTCAAATCCTCGGCCATTCCGACGTTGCCACCTCGAATCCTTAAAATCTGAGACCTCTCCCCCTAGCTTCCTTGTCCGCGTTATCCGCGTTCCCCTTGGACGCGTCCGCGCGCGACTTCCTCATCGCCACGACGCGCTCCTGCGCCGCGCGCGCATTGACCTTAGGCGCCAGCGCCAACTTGGCGTCCCGCTGCGCCTTCACCTTCGCATTGTAATTCTGCCCCGCCGTTTTCACCGCGGTATCCAAGTTCTTCGTCTTTCCGACCGCCTTTGTGAAAAACACGTTCGAATCGGCCTCGTCCTTCTCCGCCTTTTCTTTCACCGCCTTCTGTACGTCGGCGGCGCCGCGAGTTTCGCTCTTATCCTTCTTAACCTTCTCGCTTTCCGTCTCCCGCTCTGACACACGCTGGACGGCGCGGTCGGCTTGCTTCTTCACTGCGCCAAGGATCCGATCCGCCTGGAGCTTGACATTATACAGTTCCGTCTGAAGCGCCTTCGCCTCCGGGGTTTGGAGCCGCGCAGCTGACCGAGCCGCGGCGACAGCGTCGTTGTAAGCTTCCGTCGCTATTTTCTGCTGCTCATTGAGCACGACGGCGGTGGTGTTTTGGCGGGCGATGGCGTCGAGAACGTCCTTTGCGGCTTCGCTCTCCTCGAAAATGGCCTCTTCGGCCTGCGACTCGAGATCGTCTAAGTACGAACGCTCGTCGCGCGAAACCTGCTTCGCCTGAATCAGCGCCTGACGCGCCGTTTCCTGCTCCACTTTTGCCGCCTCGAGCTCAGCGCGCTTGCTGTTGAGCTCCGTCGTTGCGGCGGTGACTTCCGCGTCCGCAGCCGCCGCCTTTTGTGCCAAAGGCGCTTCCTCCGCGAGCCGCTGCTGGAGAAGATCATTAGCGGCGTCGAGATCTGCTTGTGCGGCGTCCGCGATTCCGCGAAGCTGCTTGGCTTTGGTCACTAGGTACGGCTCAGCTGCGGATACGACGGTTGCGGAAATGGATCCCACGATAAAGAGTATCGCGACCGCCCGAAGAGCGAACCCCATGATTCCACTCGGACCGGCTGTCGAGGCGCCTCGGGAATTAGTCCGATGTGTGCCTCTCTGAGACGACTGCGTCACTTGTAGTAGTACCAACTTGTCAAGTTGTACTCGCGACGCTAGGCGAGGAGCAAAGCAGAGGCAGGCGTGCGAGGCGTGTGGGGAGTGTGAGTTGTGAGTGGTAAATACCAGATTAACTTGTAAATACTTGACGGATGGAGATGACGGTGATGAAGCTTCTTGTGCAATCCAGTTTTGTATAATGATGGCCGAGGCACCGTGAACTTATTTGTCTGAATGCTGCAGATAGGGTGGGGTGAGATAGGTGTCCCAGGCTCGCCCCCCTCTATAAGCAAATGGGAAGCTTTGGCAGCGCGATTGATAACTGCTCATGCACCAATTTCCACTAGGATTCCACATGTGAGCAATGGCTTGATGAGTCGCGGCGCGCATGTGGCCTGAGCGCCTCGGTCGTCGCGATTCGGCTTCATCCTGGACCAAACTGCGGATTTGGGGCCCACTACGTGTCTGCAATTACGCATTTGCCGGTTTGATGATAAGGGGTCCGATTTCGTGGATGGACTGATACTGCTTTGCTGGCATCCACAGGTGGTTGGGCTGCTATCCACGATCAGCCACATCGGAACCCGTCTTGTCGTTCGAGTCGCAACTGTTCGCATGTTGTGCCATATGGAGCCCTCATGCAACAAATTCTCACAGTCCCCGATACTCGTTAGCTTTCACCATTTTACAATGTCGAGGGTTGGGGGAGCCATTATTTCTTTGGGGATTTATCAAGCTTGAGTGGTATGGTCTAAGAAGCATAGTGTTGTGGCTAATATAGAGTGGTAGAAATGCAGGCGTGGCTGGAAAAAATGATACAAATGAAGGGCTATGCAACATTATAAGAGGCTTGGTGGGAATGTTCGGTTGGTCACAGACATAGACGAAATAAGAGCCAAGCAAAGTGAGGTATAAGCTGCTAAGGAATTGAACAGGTTTTACACAGTTTACACAGCAAAGTGAGGGTTTTCTAGGTTGCACATTGCACGAACTTTTGTTTCCTGCCAGTTTCAGAGTGAAAGCACCAAGTGCTTTGAATAATTCTCAGGAAAACAACCAATCATGGCAGGCCATGCATTCCCATAATTCTCAACCCATCATGCTACAAACACAACTCAACTGAAAACTGTTTCTGAATGCTCTATACACCTTCTTGATGCTCTAAGCGTACTCAATCCTTAGCTTCAACCTTCCCAGACCCAACTTCCTTCCAGTTCGTAGAAAGCACTGTACCCTTGGACTCCACCTGTAACAGGGGTTCATGAATCATGAGGAGAGAAAAGCGGCACGGGAGGGAGGGTTGAAGGGGGGCGGGGGGGCGAGAGGTGGGGGCCGGTGGTGGTTTTTGGGGGGGGGGGGGGGGGGGGGGGGGGGGGAGGGGGGGAAATGAAAAAAAAAATAAGGAAATAGGTGAATAAGGGTTGGTGGGTTGGGGGGTTGCGGTAAAAAGGGAAAGAAGGTGAAAATAGGGTTGATGGGTTAAGTCGGTGAGTTATTCATGGCACGGTGTGTTGAAACACCCGTCCGCGTAGATGTCTTGAGACAAGATTAAAGCCGTCAACATCCAGAAAGGGGGGAAAATACCGGGCAAGCAGAACTCACGAAAGACTTGTTCACAGAACGGCGTGTCTCCTCGTCTGCCCCCGCGTAGACGTCTTCAAGTAAGGTTGAAGTCCCTCAAATTCCAGAAAAGGGTGGGGTGAGAGTAGGGGGCAAAGGGTACTCACGAAAGACTTGTTCACGGCACGGTGTGTCTCCTCTTCTGCCCCCGCGTAGACGTCTTCAAGTAAGGTTGAAGTCCCTCAAAATCCAGAAAGGGGTGGGGTGAGAGTAGGGGGCAAAGGGTACTCACGAAAGACTTGTTCATGGCACGGCGTGTCTCCTCGTCTGCCCCTGCGTAGATGTCCTGAAAGAGCTTGTTCAGCGCTGCATCTCCCTCCAACTTCTCATCCTTCTCCTGGCAGTTGAGCAAGGGCAAGGAAACAGCGGGCCGATTCAAACACATATAGAGCAGTTTCAGGCTTGTTAAGGTCAAATCAGGTCTCCTCGTCCGCCCCTGCGTAGGTGTATTGAAAGAGCTTGTTCAGCGCTGCATCTCCCTCCAGCTTCTCATCCTTCTCCTGATGATTGAGATGTGCAGAGACAGCGCGAAAGGAACGACAAACACTTTGAAGAGCAGAAGAAACAGAAAGCGCCAACACTTGCTGCTTGCTGACATGAATGCCGCTTGTTATTTCTACGTTAACTTAACCAACCTCCACCTTAACTCCCGCCTCCACCTGATCCCAGTTCACATGCTGCTTACCTACTGCAGCGACTGTCATTGACCTGCATTGACCTGCACTGACCTGCGTCGGCTTGCCTTGACTTGCGCTAAATTAAGCAGCGCAGCTGACCTCTGCCTTTGCCTAAGCATCCAGCTAATACTGAATCACATGCTGCTTACCTGCGTTGACCTGTGTTGATCTGCGTTGACTCGACCTTCCTCTGCCTTGACTTCCACCTCCAGCTGGTCACATGGTGCTTGCCCTTTGTTGACCTGCGTTGACTTGTGTTGACTCAGCTTACCTCTGCCTTCACCTCTGCCTCAAGCTGGTCCCAGTTCACATGCTGCTTGCGGGACGATGGGTACATGTGCTTCAGCTTCTCCGCGGTTTCTGGTGGGGAAAAAGGGGGAAATGGGGAGGCGGAGGGCAGGTGGGACGGGGGAAAAAGGGGGAGACCAAGAGACAGGTTACTCTATGGGATGATGGGTACATGTGCTTCAGCTTCTCCGCGGTTTCTAGTGGGGAGAAAGGGGGCGTGGGGAAACGGGCAAAGACAGGGAAATGGGTCACAAGTCCCTTTGTCCGAGTCAAATCCTCCCCCCACGTCCCTCTCCCACTCCCACAACCCTCATCCCACCCCACCCCACCTCACCCCACCCCACCCCACCCCACCCTACCCCACTTCACCCCACCCCGCACCACCGCACACCACTCACCATCGGACACGTTGACAGGCTACACCACAGCCGGTCGTCTGGTGGCCTCCAGGGCCGTCCAGTGAATGGCATCCGCCTTGGCCACCCCTATTCCCTGCCCCCCTCCTTGCTGCTAACATAAGCCCACAACCATCCTGCCCCCCCCCCTCCCCCCCCCACCCACCCACCCCCCCCACTCCACTCACCATCGGACACGTTCACAGGCTGCACCACCGCGGGTCGTCTGGTTGCCTCAAGAGCCGTCCAGTGAATGGCCTCCGCCTTGGCCAGCCGCACCTCGATCTTGGTGCTCATCAGCACGTGCTTGCTCTTTGCCGGGTCCACCTGGGGGGGGGGATGGGAAGGGAGGCAGTAGGGAAGAGGCGAAAATGGTGAGAGGGCAGCGGAGGAAGGGGGAGAATGTAGTGCTCTCCGCCTTGGCCAGCCGCACCTCCACCTTGGTGCTCATCCGCACGTGCTTGCTCTTTGCCGGGTCCACCTGGGGGGGGGATGGGAAGGGAGGCAGTAGGGAAGATGCGAAAATGGTGAGAGGGCAGCGGAGGAAGGGGGAGAATGTAGTGCTCTCCGCCTTGGCCAGCCGCACCTCCACCTTGGTGCTCATCAGCACGTGCTTGCTCTTTGCCGGGCCCACCTGAAAGGATGCAAGGCAACAAAGGGAGCAGAGCATTGCCAAAGAGAGGGGAGTGCTGAGCTGAGAGTCTCATAGGTGGATGGCCTCTGCCTCCTCTCCTCTTTCCCCATCGCACCTCCACAGGGTACACCTGGTAAGGGAGGGAGAGAAAGGTGGAAGGAAGAGGGTTGGTAATCGCGCAGAGGTGACACCGTGACAGGAAGAGGGGATGAGTGCATCTGCCTGCCTTAGCCAGCCGCACCTCCACCTCTTTTTTGAGGTTGATTTTGAAAGTCATCTCAAAATCAGCCACGCCCCCCCCCCCCCTCCCCAAAAAAAAGGCAGCTGGCCTGCAATTCTCGAGTTGACTCAAAACTCAGCACTATTCTGCAATCACTGATCAAACCACGTGATTCTTTCCACTTTGTAAGTTATATCCCCCTTCCTCCCCCCCTCCCCTTCCCCCTCCCCCTTCCCCCTTCCCCCCTCTCTCCTTCCTCCCCACTCCATATCAACCTGCCTCCCTCTCGACCCCCTCCCAGGCCCCCTCCCCCCTCCCTCCCAGGCCCCCTCCCACCCCCCACCCACACTCCTTCGCAACACACACCTTGCCAAACAACCGCAGCTGCAGGACATATGGCGGCTCGTCATTGGTCGATTCGATCACCACACTCAGCTGCACGTGCGAGTGGGCGTGGCAGTGGAGAGGAGACAGGGTAAAGGGGGGAAATGACACACGGGAGGAGTGGTTGGGAGGAGTGGTTGGGTTGGGAGGGGGTGTTTGGGACGGAAGAATCGATTTCAACACTCAGCTGTGAAGACAGCAGACGATGCACGGGAGAGTGGGCGTTGATAGTGGAGAGGAGACAGGTAAAACATGGGGAGAATGGAATATTACACTGCTCAAAGAGGTGGTTACCACGTTAAAGCACGGTAGAAGGTGTTTGGTACAAGCGCTTGGGGGAAAACCGTGAAACAGAGAAACTACCTAACTGCGCAGACATCTGAGTCGCTTTTGAGAATTCTTAATAGCGACTCAGACCACCTTAACTGTACAGACATCTCCCTGTGGAAAACCACTTTGCTGAGGAGTTGAGGAGGGAAACTGATTCTTTCAGGGGAGATACACACTCTACCACTTGCTCTCCAAACTGCACTTGCAGCTTTTGAGTCAACTCAGAACACGAGATAAAACACTCACCACTTGCTCTCCAATCTGCACTTTCAGCTGCTCCGATGAAACGCCCTTGGCGAACACTGTCACCACCACTGTTGTCGCCGACTGATAAAACTCGTGCCTGGGAAAGAGAAGAGAAAAAAGAGAACAGAGAGAACAAGAGAGGAGGAAAGCGAGAAGGACAATGAGAAGGGGGGAAAGGAGGGCAGGATGGAGCTGAGAAACGATGCTGGGCTAATTTCGGACCTCAGCTAGCATTTTCACCTGCTACACGCCTTGACGCTACCTGTTATCTACTACACGACTTGATACCAATTCTCACCTGTATTTCGGAGGTGCTGGTGCTGGTGCTGGCGCAGGTGTAGTGACAGGAGCAGAGGAAGTGGGGGCAGCAGAGGCAGTGGGGGCGCTGGCAGGAGCTTCTGACGTGGATGGAGCAGAGGGGGCAGGAGCGTCAACTGTCATGTCCTCTTCTGCGTGAATAAAGGGAAACAGTAAAGGGTGGGAAAAACCAGAGAGAACCACCATCAGAATATTATGCTTTGTAACGCGTGAATCTACCTGTGAGAGATGAGGTGACAAGAAGAGAAAAGATCACGAGGGTGGGAATAACAGAAAGAACCAGACGGACGATGCGAGTGAGAAGCACAAACATGAAAGCGGAGGATACAGGCAGGGAAGGAGGGGAGGGGAGGGGAGGGGAGGGGAGGGAGGGGAGGGAGGCGAGAAGGGGAAGGAGGAACGGAGGATCCTGAACTATTCATTAAGAAGGTGCAAACAAAATCACTCAATCCTCGTTACAATTACCCACCTTGGCTCTGCAGCTCCGCCTTACGAATGCCATTCCGGAACTTGGCATTACTGGGCTCCAGCTTGGCCCCATAATCTTCTGCTTTACAATCATCCTCGTTACAAGCACCCTCGCTTCCCTCACACACTAACCCACCTTGGCTCTGCAGCTCCGCCTCTGCCTTGCGAATGCCGTTGCGGAACTTGGCATTACTCGGCTCTAGCTTGGCTCCTGCCTTGAACGCTGCCAGTGCTGTCTCATACTCTTCTAGGTGATGACAGGCGACTCTGCGGAAGACAAAAGAAAAAAGGGAAGGGAGTTAGCGTTAGGGATGTAATTCTTGGATCCAGCTTGGCTCCGGCCTTGAACGATGCCAGTGCTGTTTCATACTCCTTCAAGTGGTGACAGGCGACTCTAGGGAAGAAGAAAAAAAAACAAGGGACAGAGAGTTCACAAAAATGAGGAATTACAAAAAGTGCACACCCTGACACAGGGGTAAACCCACATCAGCAACAAATAACCTGGATACGGAGACATAAACAACGTTCAGAAGCGACGGAGAGTTAACAAAAAAAATAAAAAAAAATGTAAGCCACGCACCCTTTACGCAGGTAGGCCAGCGCATAAGACGGGTTCAGCTTGATCGCCGCGTTTGCATCTGCCACCGCATCTGCCAAAACATAAATCATAACATCCGATTTTGTTAACGACTCAAATCTCTACGCAATCCTTGCAACCGCCACCGCATGCGGAAGAACAGAGGACGAAGCAGTGGTGGTTCTCATCACGCGAGGTTTCGTCAGAACCAAATTCAACCTATTTTCTCTTCACATCGGCGCTCCGCCAGCACAACTACAAGAGCGATCGCGAAGGACTTCAAGAGAGCCAAGCAGCCGTTGCTGGATTCAGCCGTCGCGACGAAACTATTACCAGAAAAGTGCGAATACGGGGCACACATCAATTTATAGAGGAACCATTGAAGAGGACGCGAGAGACACCTGTGAAATTCTCGAGCTTAATGTGCGCGGCTGCGCGTTTGCAGAGAAGAGTCTCGGTCGCGCCATTCGCGCTGATCGCCTGCGTGTAGAGATCCACGGCCGCGTCATAGTCCTCGTCCACAAACTGCGCGTCGCCTTTCGCCGCGAGTTCAGCCGCCGCCTGCGGGCCACTCGGCAGCTCCTCGATGATCATGGCTGAGATATAAAGTCTTCTGTTACCTCTAGGCTTTAATCGCTTCGCTCCCGATGCACTTAAGCTAGTCGAATATCAGAAGCGAGGTGATGGAAAAGAAAATGGGGCACGAGTTCCAGATAGACTTCAACAGAAGGAACGAACAGACGGCTTCCAACACAGACGTTCGACTGGCAAAGGAGAACTCGCAAGCCCGATCAGTGAGTGGTGTCTTGAAGTAAGAAAGGAAACCTTATCAGTTCTGAAAATACATCTGACGCAGGGAGGGGTCCGCCATTGATTTTGCCGAATGACGGACCAAGACGTTGACGGGAATTGAAGCGTTTCCCACACGTCAACGGCAGTTGCCTCGGCTGTCAGAATTTCGCGCCTCTGCCTCGGTTTGTACGCGCACCAATGACGAACAGGTTTTGGAAGGTTCGCGAAACAACGACCTGTGTGTTGGAGATGTCGATTTCGAGTAGATATGGAAGTCAATTGAGCACTTGCAATAAACGAGTGCCTCTACAGCGAAGGCTAGAGGAAGAGAAGTGAGTGGCTTCGAGGCTGTCGAGTCAGCCAGTTGTTGATCCCCCAAATTGTGGGAGTCGTCGACGTGGCGGAAAAGATCTTCCCGCTTTCACTTTCCAGCTCCCCAGTTACATCATTGGACGAATCAGACAGCATCGATATTCACCCTAGCGAGCACCTGACCCTTTTTCCGGCTAAAAGGGGCTCCAAACTTCTTTCGGTTTTCCCCAATGTCCGGTTCGTGGCCTGGTCTGGTTGGCTGGCTGACCCACACCCTAGGAAACTCCATCCCCTAAAGCTGATCTATCTTCTGAAATTGCAACAATATCAGAGGGATGCACAGGCAGAGGAAAACATAGAGGGATTGCAGGAATCACAGCAGCAGAGCAGCTACAGCAGCACAAGCTTCCGCTTGATCTAAGCTGTCTGATTCTTCATCAAGAAACAGACCAGCATAAGCTTCTTATTGCTGTGATCCAAGCTTTCCCAGGACCTGAATCTTCGGAATTAGCCGCTGAGCTTGAACTCTTCATAGTGTGGACACTTAGCGAGTCTAGCACGTGAAGATAATGGAGTGCCTGCGAGGCACATTGAGCAGCTCCTCAGTGCAACCAGTTGCACTGCAGGGCCTGCGATCAAGCAGAAATTCCTCCAAGCTCTCCGTTCTCGGGCTATCCAGTCAGCTTCCCAATGCTCTCAGGGCTCAAAATGACACCTATTCTCGCTTAACGGATAAACCATTTCCTAGTTCTTCCGTTAGAGTCACCGCAGTGAGAGTGACTGCAGCTGTATCTGCAGGAAGTAAGGTGAAAGTGCGTTTCAATCTCCCGATTCAGGTTAAATTCGGGGAGAGCATCGCGGTCGTTGGATCTGCTGATTGGCTCGGGTCCTGGACGGATCCGAAAGCTCTTCAATGGAGCGAAGCCGGCTGGAGCGTTACCCTTGACGCGCCTGCAGGTCAAGACGTGGAGTTCAAATTTGTGATTGTAAAGAACGGGAAGAGCGCGGTCTGGGAAGATGGCCCTAACAGGAAGGTGACTGTTCCGGGGGTTGAACCCCGCGGCAAAGAATTCAACACCGATGTCGAATGGAACAAAACCGCTGCAACCCTGTCGTGGGAGGTTACTAAGGAGGATAGACCAGGATCTTCCAACGAAGCTCAGGTCGGCATCGACAGTGGGTCTGAGAGCGAGGGGGAGTTTTCATCCGCGGAAGACGGGGAATTGGAGGAGAGCGCGTTTGCGCAGAAATGGGCGGGAAGGGGTGTGGAGTTTATGAGGAGTAACGCGCACAAGAGCGAGAGGCGCGGACGTTGGGACACGAGCGGGCTTGAGGGGCCGGCGAAGACGCTGGTCGAGGCTGATAAGGGAGCGGGGAACTGGTGGCGCAAGGTACGAATGGTTCTGATGGTGCTGTTGACACCGACGGTACTAGTTGCACTAACGGTACGACTGACATTGATGATACGATTTAGCTCCACGGTATTGTCGACGATACGGACGGTACGATAGGCTTACAATTGACACCGACGGTACAATTGAGACTAACGGACGATTGCCACCGACGGTACGATAGAGCAAAACGGTACGATTGGTTCATACAATCGCCATTGTCGGTAAGATTGACTGCTCCGACTGAAACTGGCGGTATGAACGGAACGGCACTGACGGGGTACGACTGAGATTAACTGCTCAAAGAACGGACAGTATGATTAGCATGAGGCATACGAGTAACACTTCGGGTTTAGCACGGGCGTAACCACGAATGACGACTGCTCGTACCGGGGTTTTTGGTATATTGTCGTTTCAGATATGCGTTATTGCTGTCGGAATGACTTATGTCATGACTAACAAGTCACCTTGCCGACTGTACGTGCGTACCATGACATTCTTAACCGCATGTCGTCTTAACCGCGGGCGATGGAAATTGAACGAAAAATGCTGACGCCGTCGCCGAGTCATTTGCAAATACGTTCTGTTCGAGGAAATCGTGCCAAGAAACGCAGCCCGCGTCTTACCTCAAACCTTATCAAACCCCTCTAAATCTCTCCAAACCCCTTCCCGTCATACAGCTGGAGGTAGTGGAGCAGCTTCTATTGCCGTTGGAGCGGGGTCAGCGGCTCGATGCCATGATCTACGCGTCCATCTACCTGCAGGTATGCCATGATTCACGCGTCCATCTACCTGCAGGTATGCCATGATTTACGCGTCCATCTACCTGCAGGTATGCCATGATTTACGCGTCCATCTACCTGCAGGTATGCCATGACTTACGCGTCCATCTACCTGCAGGTATGCCATGATCTACGCGTCCGTCTACCTGCAGGTATGCCATGATTCACGCTGTGCATTTTTGCTTCGGGTTTTGTATTCACTTTCGACACCAATATTCCACTTTGCATGCGCCCCTGTGTTTCCCCTCGCCTCATGCGCCTCTACCGTTCCCCACACCTCTCCACCGCAGTGGATCAACACGGGGCAGATCCCGTGCGTGGAGGACGGCGGGCACAGGCGGCCCAATCGCCACGCGGAGATCTCCCGCCGCATCTTCCGCTGGCTCGAGAAGGAAGGCACCAGGAGCTCTGCTCTCACGTCTGAGGTGCGTGCTGTGTGTGGGTGCCGTGTGTGGGTGCTGTGTGTGGGTGCTGTGTGTGGGTGCTGTGTGTGGGTGCTGTGTGTGGGTGCTGTGTGTGGGTGCTGTGTGTGGGTGCTGTGTGTGGGTGCTGTGTGTGGGTGCTGTGTGTGGGTGCTGTGTGTGGGTGCTGTGTGTGGGTGCTGTGTGTGGGTGCTGTGTGTGGGTGCTGTGTGTGGGTGCTGTGTGTGGGTGCTGTGTGTGGGTGCTGTGTGTGGGTGCTGTGTGTGGGTGCTGTGTGCTGAACCCCCTTGCATTTTCCGTCCGTTGCGCTTGCTGTGTGCTGACCACCCTGATCCAGCCATCCCGTAACCCCCCCCTTTTTCCCCTCAGGAGAAAGTTTGATGCGCAAGCTCCATCCGCGCCTGCCCGCCTTCCCACATTGATGTGCCCGCCCCGGTCTTCCCCCACTTCCCCCCTTACCCCCCTCAGGAGAAAGCGGTGATGCTCAATATTCATCCGCGCCTGCCCCCCTTCCCATGTTGATGTGCCCCCATCTTCCCCCCTCTCTCCCCTTTCCCACCCCTCTCTCTCCCTCTCCCTCCTTCCCACTCCCCCCCTCAGGAGAAAGTGGTGATGCGCAAGATTCATCCGCGCCTGCCCGCCTTCTCTGCTGACTTCACGGCGTCAGTACCCCTCACTCGCATCCGAGACATTGCTCACCGCAACGACATCCCACACAACCTTAAGGTATGCTGCATGCATGATGCAAGGTGCGCGTGAGTGGTGCAACCTCAGAACTCCATCTTCAGGCGCAGGGTGAGTACAATGAGGGCTTGAAGCATACTGGAGGACGGCAGGGGGGCTATCAGTTTCAGAGACACTGACTTCACGGCGTCCGTGCCCCTCACGCGCATCCGAGACATTGCTCACCGCAACGACATGAGCAATGTCAAGGTACGGCACCTGAAATTGCTCACCGCACAATTTCAACGTATGGCGCACCTGTGTGTCGAATTAACTCTTCCCCGCTCCACTCCCTTCCAACTCGCCCCTTGGCCCCAAGCACCATTCCCTCTTCTCTCGTGCTTCTGTTTCTCGTTCCCCCCCTTCCCCCTCCGCCTTTCCCCCTCAATCCCCTCTCCGCCACCCTCCAACAGCAAGAGATCAAGCACACGATTCAGAACAAGCTGCACCGCAACGCCGGGCCCGAGGACCTGGTGGCCACGGAGCTGCTGCTGCGCCGGGTGACCCGCACGCCAGGCGAATACAGCGAGGCGTTCGTGCAGCAGCTGAAGCTGTTCTACGCTGAGCTCAAAGACTTCTTCAATGCGAGCAGGTAGGCGACAGGGTGAGTGGGAGAGAGGAAGCGAGGGGGTGAATAGACGGAGCTGAACGCACGGAGCTGCTGCGGCGGGTGACGCGCACCCTGGGGGAAGACAGCAAGGCATTCGTGCAGCAGCTGAAGCTGTTCTACGCTGAGCTCAAGGACTTTTTCAACGCGAGCAGGTAGGCGACAGGGTGAGTGGGAGAGAGGAAGCGAGGGGGTGAATAGACGGAGCTGAACGCACGGAGCTGCTGCGGCGGGTGACGCGCACCCCGGGGGAAGACAGCGAGGCGTTCGTGCAGCAGCTGAAGCTGTTCTACGCTGAGCTCAAGGACTTTTTCAACGCAAGCAGGTAGTTCTGTTGCACATGCATAGGGAGGAGGGGGGGAGAGAGAGAGAGACACCAACGAATGTACAGTGAGGCGTTTGTGCAGTAGCTGAAGCTGTTCTAAGCTGAGGTGACTTTTGAGTCGACTCAAAAGCCACCTCGTTTGTGCAGTAGCCGAAGCTGTTCTAAGCTGAGGTGACTTTTGAGTCGACTCAAAAGCCACCTCGTTTGTGCAGCAGCCGAAGCTGTTCTAAGCTGAGGTGACTTTTGAGTCGACTCGAAAGCCACCTCGTTTGTGCAGTAGCTGAAGCTGTTCTAAGCTGAGGTGACTTTTTAGTCGACTCGAATGCCACCTCGTTTGTGCAGTAGCCGAAGCTGTTCTAAGCTGAGCTCGAAGGTTTCGTTCACCGCTATTTACTCAAAACAACAACCCAAAGAACAACCCTAAGCACAAACAACCCTATACCTGCGCAATCCTAACCTCCCTACTCCCCCCCCTTCTCCCAGCCAGCCTGACCGAGCTCCTGGAGGGCATTCGCCCCTTTCTGGATGACACGGGCTCTGCCATGCTTGAGAGGAGCATTCAAGCGCTCCTTTCTGGGTAGCCCCTGGATGCCCTTTTCTTTTCAGTACACTCCTTAACCTCCACAACCTCTCGCCTCCACACCCCCACAACGCCAACTCCACATCCCCTCTCCCCTTCCCAGTCGGACGGAGCTCCTGGAGAGCATTCGCCCCTTTTTGGATGACACGGGCTCTGCCATGCTTGAGAGGAGCATTCAAGCGCTCCTTTCTGGGTAGCCCCTGATTGCACTCGTCTTTCAATTCGCTCCCCTATGAGGTGGTTTTTGAGAATTCTCAAAAACCAGCCATGCTTGAGAGGGTAGCCCCTGACTGCACTCTTCTTTCAATGCGCTCCCCTACCCCTCCTCCACACTCCCACCACCCCCCCCCTCCCCCCACCACCACCACACCCCCACAACCCTGCACCCCCTTCTCACTGTCAGTCTGACGGAGTTGCTGGAGAGCATTCGCCCCTCACTGGACGATACAGGCGCTGCCATGCTGCAGAACTTCCTCGCGTGCAAGCAGGTAAGGGGTGAGGATTCAGCAGGTGGGGCGAGGATTGCGCAGGTAGCAGGTGCGGGTGAGAAAATCGACAGGTGGGATTGAAAAATTAGCAGGTGTGGGTGAGACTTGTCAAGACTCGCCCCTATCTGGACGACACGGGCGCTGCCATGCTGCAGAACTTCCTCGCATGCAAGCAGGTAAGGTGTGAGGATCCAGCAGGTGGGGTGAGGATTGATGAGGTGCGGTGAGAATTGATGAGGTGACTTTCCTATCAGACAAGGGGTGCGGATCAGCAGGTTTGGGACGTTACAATAACCCCCCACTTTCTTCTTCGCACCCCTGCACTGCACACACACCCACTCCCCCCCTTCTCTCCCCTTCCCCCCCTCTCTCCCCCCCCCCCCCCCTCCTCCGCCCCCCGCGCCCCTTTGCTCCCAGAATGTCAAAGCACTGCCATCTTCGGCAGGGGCATCAGGAGAGTCATCACAGGGGGCAGCAGCGCCAGGGCGGCCCACTGACGTGCTGATGTCAGCCCCCCTTTCCCCTACCCCCTCCCCCCTCTCTCCCCACGCCCAGAACGTCGATGCACTGCCGTCTTTGGCAGGTGCATCAGGAGAGTCGGCACAGGGGGGACCAGCGTCAGGGCGGCCCACTGACGGCTGATGTCAGCGCTGCATGTTTGAGACGTTACACTAACCCCCCATAATCTTCTTCGCACCCTTGCACTGCGCACCCGCGCCTCTCTCTTCCCAGAACGTCGATGCACTGCCGTCTTCCGCTGGTGCGCATGGAGAGTCAGCACAGGGGGCGGCAGCGTCCAGGCGGCCGACTGATGTGCTGATGTCAACCCCCCTTTCCCCTCCCCCCTCCCCCCTCCCCCCTCCCCACTCTCTCCCCCCGCCCAGAACGTCGATGCACTGCCGTCTTCAGCAGGTGCATCAGGAGAGTCATCACAGGGGGCGGCAGCGTCCGGTCGGCCGACTGACGTGCTGATGTCAGCGCTGCATGCGCTGACAGGGCTGCGGGCCGTGCTGATGTATTCCCTGGAGAGTGGGCTCAGGAACGATGCTCCTGATGATGCCATTGCCATGCGGCAGAAGGTGAGAAGCAGTTTGGGTGAAGGTGGGGTGAAGGTGAGGGATACGAGTGGGCTCAGGAACGGTGCTATGATGCCATTGCCATGCGACAGAAGGTGAGAAGTGGTTGGGTAGAGGTGGGGGCAGTGGTTGGTAGAAGGAGCGGGATAGGAGTAAGCACAGGGCTGCGTGCCGTGCTGATGGGTATTCTCTGGAGAGTGGGCTGAGGAATGACGCACCTGATGATGCCATTGCCATGTGGCAGAAGGTGCGGGAAAGGTGGGGAAGAAGGGTGATCACAGTTGGGGGAATAGGGACGAAGGTGAGGGTGGGCTGTGGCCTGTGCTGCTGTCTTGCCCGGAGAGTTGGCTGATGAATGAAGCTCCAGATAGTGCCTTTGCCGTGCAGCAGAAGGTGAGCGGGGAGAGAGATGGGAGTTGGAGGGAACAAGGATGTAGTTGGGAAGTGGCCGTGCTTCTGTATTTTACTTCCTTTAGCAGAGATCTGTCACGAGGAGTACTTATTTCAGGGCACTGAAAAGAATCCCCTCCTTCCTGCCCCACCCCTTTCCCACTTTCCGCAGTGGCGACTGGCGGAGATCTGTCTGGAGGAGTATTTCTTCGTGCTGCTGAGCAGGTGAGCAGTGCTGCATGAGGCACGTGAGCAGGTGAGCAAGTGTTTGTTCAAGCAGGTGCACGAGGCACCTCTTTCTCCCTTCTCCCCCAGTGGTGACTGGCAGAGATCTGTCTCGAGGAGTATTTCTTCGTGCTGCTGAGCAGGTAAGGGAGGGGAGTCACAATGCAATGCAAGTGATTCTCATTGTTTGTGCAATGGGCCTTCCATTCGTGCTGCGAATACCCTCCCTGCAATAAGCTTAGAGACACATGCTAGGCAACTAGCGAAGATTTGGTGTAGCGCAGTAGGCAAGGGTGCGCTGGTGCAAAGTTTTGAGTCGACTCAAAACTAGTGTAGATTTGGCAGCGCAGTAGGAAAGGGTGCGCTGGTGCAGTCAACCAGGTGAGGGTCACGCTATGTTGCTGTTGTAAGGAGCTTGTAGACCCTAACATGTTGGTGTTACTTTTGAGAATTCGCAAATGTAACACCAACCTGTTCTGGAAGGCACGTGTAACAAGTGAGTTCCTGAGCCGTCTCAAAAGTAACACCAACCTATTCTGGAAGGTTCCTGAACGAGCTGTTTGACGAAGAACGGGGGGAAGGCAGGGGAGGGCATGGCGGGGGAGATCCGCATGGGGCAGCTGGGGCACGTGGGGGTGGTTCAGAGCTTGGGGCGGTAGTGTAGGCAAGCAGGGGGAGTGGCATCTTAGGAGGCGGTTCGATGCCCTTTTCACCACTCTCCCTCTCTCCCATCTCTCACTCTCTCCTCCTCTCCTTCTCCTCTTCTCCCCGCTCCTCCGTCATTTGTCTCCCCCACCCCCCTCTCCCCCCTCCTCCCAGGTTTCTGAACGAGCTGTTTGACGAGGAAGGGGGAGACAAGGCAGCGGAGGGCATGGCAGGGGAGATCCGCATGGGGCAGCTGGGGCACGTGGGGGTGGCGCTGGGGGCGGCAGTGCTGGGGCTGAGGCACCTGGGGCTGTCCGGGTGGAACCAGGCAGAGTGCTTCTGTCTTGAGAACGAGCTGGCGTCCTGGCAGGCTGCTGGCATCGGCAGTGCAGGTGAGCTGGGTTGTAACTCCTCGTACGCGTTGATTAGAAAGGGAGGGGGGGAGGTTGAGGCACCTGGGGCTCTCACTTGGGTGGAACCAGGCGGAGTGCTTCTGTCTTGAGAACGAGCTGGCGTCCTGGCAGGCTGCTGGCATCCTGGCAGGCTGCTGGCATCGGCAGTGCAGGTGAGCTGAAACTCACCAACTTGACCTGAAAGGGGAAGGGACGAGGCACCTGGGGCTCCTACTTGATATGAAGGGGTTAAGAGGAGGGCCGCAGCAGCACCTGAGGCTGTCTGTTCGGGTGGAACCAGGCGGAGTGCTTTTGCCTTGAGAACGAACTGGCTTCCTGGCTGGCTGCTGGCATCGGCAGCGCAGGTGAGGTGAAATGCAAGGCCCGATGATGCTCCAGGAATCAACTTCACTCCACCACCATTATTTGAAAGAGTGTAGAGAAGGCTGCGGTACCTGTGGCTGTCCGGGTGGAACCAGGCGGAGTGCTTCTGCCTTGAAAGCTAGCTCAACGCATGCCAGGTGTTGCATCAGAGCACAATTTTCAGTGGTGTTCTGAGGCTCAAGGCACAGGCACAGGCACAGGCACAGGCACAGGCACAGGCACAGGCACAGGCACAGGCACAGGCACTCTGATACACGCACGCACATTTACTCTCCTCTCTTCCCGGCTCTGTTGCGTCCAGGTGTGGCATCAGAGCATGATCTGCGGTGGTGGGCGTTGAGGCTCAAGGCTTCTTTGGACCGCATGAGGCGACTCACAGAGGCCTTCACAGAGACCACACTTGAGCTCTTCTTCGAGCCCTCGCAGGTGTGTGCGTGGGGTTGCACTAAAAGCAGTGTGCATTGTACAGTGTGCTGCTCTGCAATACCACTGACTGCAAGCAGCACTCACAGAAGCATTCACAGAGACCACGCTTGAGCTCTTCTTCGAGCCCTCACAGGTGCGTGTCTGGGGGGGCAGTGCACCAAGAAGAGCGTGCAATGTGCAGTGCAGCGGTGACTCATGAGTGCTACCTGCACTCACAGAGGCCTTCACAGAGACCACACTCCTTCGAGCCCTCGCAGGTGCGTGCGTGTGTGGGGATGTGCTAAGAGCAGTTGGTCATGTTGCAGTGACTTCAGGTGCAAGCAGCAGCGCTCTCAGAGGCATTCACAGAGACCACGCTGGATCTCTTCTTCGAGCCCTCACAGGTGCGCGTGACGGGTTGCACTAACAGCCATCGCTGATGTGTGCTTGTGCACGGGTGCAGTGCAGTATTGCAGTGTACAGTGTACAGCAGTGGGTCAGGGTGAAGCTGAGTGCAAGCCACTAGCAGAGGCCTTTACTGAGACCAAACTCTTCTTCGAGCCCTCTCTGGTGCGATATCCCACGCATGGCACAAGCCCTCTCAACAAGCCCATCCCAGCATCCCAACGCTACACATGCTCTCCCCGTCGCTCCCCCCTACCACAATCTCCCCCTTCTTTCCCCTTTTCACAGTCTCCCCCTCCCTTTCCCCTTTCCGCTACCCACTGTTCATCCCTGCCCTGTTTACTCCACGTGGCAGAAGCTAGGCCACGCACTGGGAATCGAGGAGAACGCTGTGCGGACGTTTGCAGAGGCTGAGATTCGATCCAGGTGAGATTAGTTCCAGGCGAAATTTGGTCTAGCTTAAATTTGACTCAGGTGATTCGATTCAGGGAGATTTAGATCCAGGTGAGAATTTTGAAAAAAAAATGGTTAAGGTGAGAATTTATCCAGGTGAGGTCTGAGCCATTCCACCCTCCCCTCTTCCCCCTTACCCGTTCTCCCAGTGAGGCGTTTCATTCAGCTGGCGAAGCCCACGTCTCTGCTGCTGTGTGTGATGCAATCAGTGTTGGGGCCCGAGGGTGATGTGTCTAGTGTCGCCTCAATCCCCTCGCCGCCCCCCCACCCTTCCCTCCCTCCCTCCCTCCCTCACCTCCTCTCCTCTCCAGCCCCCACCAGTGTGGTGTTTCAGCTGGCGAAGCTCACCTCTCTGCTGTTGCGTGTGATGCGATCAGTGCTGGGTGCCTGAGGGCTGGGACGTGCCAGCTGTCACCTGAACCCCCCTCCCTCCCTCTTACCCCCCTCTCTCCCTCTTACCCCCCTCCCTCCCTCTTACCCCCCTCCCTCCCTCTTACCCCCCTCTCTCCCTTACCAGTGTGGTGTTTCAGCTGGCAAAGCTCACCTCTCTGCTGCTGCGTGTGATGCGGTCGGTGCTGGGGGCTGAGGGCTGGGATGTGCTTGTTCCTGGCACTGCAGTGGGCAAGCTCGTGGAGGTGAGTGGCTGGGGGCGTGTGTTGATACGATTCTTGAGGCGCCTAGAAAATGCTCACCTCACTGCTGCTGCGCGTGATGTGGTCGGTGCTGAGGGCCGAGAGGTGGGACGTGCTTGTTCCTGGCACTGCTGTGGGGAAGCTGGTGGAGGTGATGCAGGGCGAGGATGGGTGAGGATGGGTGAGGATGGGTGAGGATGGGTGAGGGGGGGTAAAGAAGGGTGAGGTTGGGAGAGGAGGAGGACGGGATGGTGCTGCGGGAGGAGCGCATAGCCTAACTTTTTGAAAACGCGGTAGGGGGAGGAGAAGGGGTGGTGCTGCCGGTGCTTTAGTCGAGTAAACTAAAGAATTCCCTGGCTCTCCCTGTTCCACTCCTTCCCTCTGCCTCAGGTGGAGCGCAAAGGTCCTGACCTCCTTGCAATGCTGTAGGGGGAGGGGGAAGGGGTGGTGCTTTTGTTGATTCAAGTAAAGAACCCCCCACCCTCATCCTCCCCTCCCCCATCTTTCCCTCTGTCAGGTGGAGCGTATAGACCCTGACCTCCTGGCAACGCTCAAGGGCGAGCAGGGGGTGGTGCTGCTGGTGCAGCGTGCAGAGGGGGATGAGGAGGTGAGTGCGGGGGGTGGGTGAGTGGTTGGGTGGTTGGGTGGGGAGGAGGAATGGTGCTGCTGGTGCAGTGCGCAGAGGGGGATGAGGAGGTGAGTTGGTGGAGGGTGTGCGTGTGTGGTTGGGAGGAGGTGGAAGGAGGTGAGTGGTCATCTATAGCTTCCAGAGTGCAGCAGACTATTGAAAATACTATTGTTAACGCGCCTATGTCAAGCCGCGTGGACGCGTAAGAACTAATTGTGCGTACGCGTTTTGGCCGAAGCCTTTGTCAGCGCACATCATACATTCAAAGCTATTTGTCCCCTGTCTACGTATCCACCCCCCATATCCACCCCTCGTATCCACCCCCCATATCCACCCCCCATATCCACCCCCCATATCCACCCCCCATATCCACCCCCCATATCCACCCCCCATATCCACCCCCCATATCCACCACCCATATCCACCCCCCATATCCACCACCCATATCCACCACCCATATCCACCACCCATATTCACCACCCATATCCACCACCCATATCCACCACCCATATCCACCACCCATATCCACCACCCATATCCACCCCCCATATCCACCCCCCATATCCACCACCCATATCCACCACCCATATCCACCACCCATATCCACCCCCCATATCCACCACCCATATCCACCACCCATATCCACCACCCATATCCACCACCCATATCCACCCCCCATATCCACCACCCATATCCACCACCCATATCCACCACCCATATCCACCACCCATATCCACCACCCATATCCACCACCCATATCCACCGCCCATATCCACCGCCCATATCCACCCCCCATATCCACCACCCATATCCACCACCCATATCCACCACCCATATCCACCACCCATATCCACCACCCATATCCACCACCCATATCCACCACCCATATCCACCCCCCATATCCACCCCCCATATCCACCACCCATATCCACCACCCATATCCACCACCCATATCCACCACCCATATCCACCACCCATATCCACCACCCATATCCACCCCCCATATCCACCACCCATATCCACCACCCATATCCACCCCCCATATCCACCCCCCATATCCACCCCCCATATCCACCACCCATATCCACCACCCATATCCACCACCCATATCCACCCCCCATATCCACCCCCCATATCCACCCCCCATATCCACCACCCATATCCACCACCCATATCCACCACCCATATCCACCCCCCATATCCACCACCCATATCCACCACCCATATCCACCACCCATATCCACCACCCATATCCACCACCCATATCCACCACCCATATCCACCACCCATATCCACCACCCATATCCACCACCCATATCCACCACCCATATCCACCACCCATATCCACCCCCCATATCCACCACCCATATCCACCCCCCATATCCACCACCCATATCCACCCCCCATATCCACCCCCCATATCCACCACCCATATCCACCCCCCATATCCACCACCCATATCCACCCCCCATATCCACCACCCATATCCACCACCCATATCCACCACCCATATCCACCACCCATATCCACCACCCATATCCACCACCCATATCCACCCCCCATATCCACCCCCCATATCCACCACCCATATCCACCACCCATATCCACCACCCATATCCACCACCCATATCCACCACCCATATCCACCACCCATATCCACCACCCATATCCACCACCCATATCCACCACCCATATCCACCACCCATATCCACCACCCATATCCACCACCCATATCCACCACCCATATCCACCACCCATATCCACCACCCATATCCACCACCCATATCCACCCCCATATCCACCCCCCATATCCACCACCCATATCCACCACCCATATCCACCACCCATATCCACCCCCCATATCCACCACCCATATCCACCACCCATATCCACCACCCATATCCACCACCCATATCCACCACCCATATCCACCACCCATATCCACCACCCATATCCACCACCCATATCCACCACCCATATCCACCACCCATATCCACCACCCATATCCACCCCCCATATCCACCACCCATATCCACCACCCATATCCACCACCCATATCCACCCCCCATATCCACCCCCCATATCCACCCCCCATATCCACCACCCATATCCACCACCCATATCCACCCCCCATATCCACCCCCCATATCCACCACCCATATCCACCACCCATATCCACCACCCATATCCACCCCCCATATCCACCCCCCATATCCACCACCCATATCCACCACCCATATCCACCACCCATATCCACCCCCCATATCCACCACCCATATCCACCACCCATATCCACCACCCATATCCACCACCCATATCCACCACCCATATCCACCACCCATATCCACCACCCATATCCACCACCCATATCCACCACCCATATCCACCACCCATATCCACCACCCATATCCACCCCCCATATCCACCACCCATATCCACCACCCATATCCACCACCCATATCCACCCCCCATATCCACCCCCCATATCCACCCCCCATATCCACCACCCATATCCACCACCCATATCCACCCCCCATATCCACCCCCCATATCCACCCCCCATATCCACCACCCATATCCACCACCCATATCCACCACCCATATCCACCACCCATATCCACCACCCATATCCACCACCCATATCCACCACCCATATCCACCACCCATATCCACCCCATATCCACCACCCATATCCACCACCCATATCCACCACCCATATCCACCACCCATATCCACCACCCATATCCACCACCCATATCCACCACCCATATCCACCCCCCATATCCACCACCCATATCCACCACCCATATCCACCACCCATATCCACCACCCATATCCACCACCCATATCCACCACCCATATCCACCACCCATATCCACCCCCCATATCCACCCCCCATATCCACCACCCATATCCACCACCCATATCCACCACCCATATCCACCCCCCATATCCACCACCCATATCCACCACCCATATCCACCACCCATATCCACCACCCATATCCACCACCCATATCCACCACCCATATCCACCACCCATATCCACCACCCATATCCACCACCCATATCCACCACCCATATCCACCACCCATATCCACCCCCCATATCCACCACCCATATCCACCACCCATATCCACCACCCATATCCACCCCCCATATCCACCCCCCATATCCACCCCCCATATCCACCACCCATATCCACCACCCATATCCACCCCCCATATCCACCCCCCATATCCACCACCCATATCCACCACCCATATCCACCACCCATATCCACCCCCCATATCCACCCCCCATATCCACCACCCATATCCACCACCCATATCCACCACCCATATCCACCCCCCATATCCACCACCCATATCCACCACCCATATCCACCACCCATATCCACCACCCATATCCACCACCCATATCCACCACCCATATCCACCACCCATATCCACCACCCATATCCACCACCCATATCCACCACCCATATCCACCACCCATATCCACCCCCCATATCCACCACCCATATCCACCACCCATATCCACCACCCATATCCACCCCCCATATCCACCCCCCATATCCACCCCCCATATCCACCACCCATATCCACCACCCATATCCACCCCCCATATCCACCCCCCATATCCACCCCCCATATCCACCACCCATATCCACCACCCATATCCACCACCCATATCCACCCCCCATATCCACCACCCATATCCACCACCCATATCCACCACCCATATCCACCACCCATATCCACCACCCATATCCACCACCCATATCCACCACCCATATCCACCACCCATATCCACCACCCATATCCACCACCCATACCTGTCTACGTATCTAATCCTACACCTATCCTCGCACATATGTCCCCATACATACGTCTCCGGGTATCCCTAATGTCTGCGAGCAGGTGAAAGCAGCAGGCGCCAACCTCAAGGCTGTGGTGTTGCTGCAGGAGCTGCCACATCTCTCCCACTTGGCTGTCAGGGCCAGGCAGGTGCGATACCCTGTACACTATACACTAACACTATACATTTGATTGACGCTAGCAGCTCGTATAACTATTGATGCCGCTACATTTGTTAGCTATAAACTGTAGTTAGTAGGGCTGCTGCATCTGGTGCAAGAGCTGCCGCACCTCTGGCCGTCAGGGCGAGACAGGTGAGGTTATACGCCGTACATCGTACGCCGTACACTGTACACTGTACACTGTACACTGTACACTGTACGCTATACACTAAATACTACATACACTCGTTGCTACTGATCAGGGGCTGCTTATGAGGCGCCTCAAAAACTGATCAGGGGCTGCCTGTTCCACTTTTCCCACTTGGTCGTGTTGCTCATGACATGACATGCAACGACCTTCGTGTTGTAAGCAGTTCTTCAGAAGTAAAGAGAAAAAAACCCCACCCATCCACCCACCCATCCGCTTCAACCCTGTAATCACGCAGGAGGGTGTGCTGCTCATGGCATGCCAGGATGACAGCATTTGCGTTGAGTCTGTTCATCAGAATCCGCAGAAGCCCTTTATCCACCCTCCTATCCGCAGTTCTTCAGAAGTAAAAAGAAAAAAACTCCACCCATCCACCCACCCATCCGCTGCACTGCACCCCTCCATGATCCATCCACGCAGGAGGGTGTGCTGCTCATGACATGCGAGGATGAGAACCGAATCGCTGCCCTTCGCTCCGCTGTTGGCTCTCGAATCCGGTAAGCACCCCCATATGAACTGCTCGAACCATGCATGCAGCAAGGAAAGCATTGCTAACGTTTATGTTTTTTGCCTTCTCCTCTCTTTAATCTTCACTTAGTTTTTTGCCTAAGCCGTTTCTTGCTCCAAGAGCCTCTCTCCATCCTCCCTTACATTGCTTTTGTGGCCTCGTGTGCAATCTGTTTCCTTTTTCCCTTTCACTCTTTTTTCACTCAATCCTTCCTCCCCACTCCCCCACTTGTGTCTCAATCTCTGCAGCCTCGAGGCGGGGGTGGAAGGGGTGAAGGTCATCACAGGAGCTGCTGTGGACCAGCGCTCCTCTCTCACACCTTCCCATCACTCTGTGCCGTTCAATCCTCCCTCCCCACTCCCCCGCTTGTATCTCAATCTCTGCAGCCTCGAGGCGGGGGTGGAGGGGGTGAAGGTCATAACAGGAGCTGCTGTGGACCAGCGCTCCTCCTCCTCCTCCTCTGCAGACGCTGCCGGTAGCGGTAGCAGTAAGAGCGAGGATGAAGTGTGGGTGCAGGCACTGAAACCGCAACCTGTAAGTCTACCTTGCACACTTTCACTAAAAGCATATCCACTAGAAGCACATCTGCTAGTAACTGCTGCTGTAGCGGCAGTAGCAGTGGGAAGAGCGAGGATGAAGTGTGGGTGCAGGCACTGAAAGTGCAACCTGTGAGTCGACTTTGTTTATTGGGTGAGTGTGCTGCATTCACACGTAACAAGAGAAGCATATCTGTTTAAGGCACATTTGCTAAAGGCACATCCGCTGGTAGCACATCTGCTACGCGCACATCTCCCCGCCGATTCCGAGTGCAGGATCGCTGCTGCCATGCTGCCGCTGCATAAGGCCGTGTGTTAATATGTTTCAGAACCCTAACGTCTCATCTCTCCTCTGCCCTTAACTCTCCCCCTGTGCTGCCTCAGGTCCGAGTGCAGGAGGCGCGGCTGCCAGTGCTGCCGCTGCACGAGGCCCAGCTGGCCACGTGTGGGGCCAAGGCGCATGCGTGCGCCAAGCTAGAGGAGCTCTCAATCGCCTCCACCTTTGCAGGTACTTGCCCCTCCAGCCTCTCGTGTCTTTTGTCTCTACCTCTCCGCTGCTCCAGTCTCTCTGTCGATCTCGTCTCTCAAGGCACATGCGTGCGCGAAGCTGGAGGAGCTCTCAATCACCTCCACCTTTGCAGGTACTTGCCCCTCCAGCCTCTCGTGTCATATTTCTCTCTGTCTCCGGTGCATTAGTCTACCGCTTCCAACCGCCACACACTCAGTGAATCCCCTTACCCCTCAATCTCACTTCGAACCCCTTCCCCTTCTATCAGGTGCTGACTTCTCCGTCCCTCGTTTTGCTGTGATCACCTTTGGAGTAATGGACGCGTCCAACCGCCGCACACTCTTTCACCGCCTCGTCGCCACCCTCAACACTTTCCTTTTTCTTACTCCACTCCCCCGTTCCCCTGCTTTTCCAGGTGCTGACTTCTCCGTCCCCCGCTCGGCGGTGATCACCTTTGGAGTAATGGAAGAGGCCATCACCGCTTCCAACCGCCGCACACTCTTCCACCGCCTCGTCGCCACCCTCGACGACCCGAACCTTCAAGGAAGCGTCCTCGACAGCACCTGCGCCCAGATCCGCACTCTCCTAGAGGAATCCCCCCTCCCCCCCGCCTTCTTCCGAACCCTCTCCTATATCTTCTCCGCAAACGCTCGCCTTATCGTCCGCTCGAGCGCCAATGTGGAGGATCTAGCTGGCATGTCCGGAGCTGGGCTGTATGATTCGGTCCCGGACGTCACCCTCTCCGACCCTGCTTCGTTCGGCCGAGCCGTAGCCTCGGTGTGGGCGTCACTGTTCACGCGGCGCGCGGTGCTGAGCCGGCGGGCGGCGGGCGTGCGTCAGAGCGATGCGGCTATGGCGGTTCTAGTCCAGGAGTTAATCTCCCCACCGGATCTTAGCTTCGTGCTGCACACCAAGGGAATCGGCACTGGTGCTGGTGGGGCTCTCGTTGTTCCCAGTCCACGACTTGCCAACAGCAGCAGCGGCAGTGGCAGTGGCAGTAATGGGAAAGCCACGGGATCTGCGTCTACGAGTGCTGTTGCTCCCGGCTCATCTGCACTGTCGGATTTCCTCTCTGCTGAGGTGGCACCAGGGCTGGGCGAGACTCTGGCGTCCGGCACACGTGGCACGGCGTGGCGCTTCGCTGTCGGGAAATCCGACGGCTCGGTTCGAATCCTGGCGTTTGCGAATTTCAGCGAGAAAATCGTGATGGCGCCTGTTGCTGCTGGGGGCAGTTCGGGTGGAAGGAATACAGGCGCTGGGTCGGGGGGAGGGGGAGGAGTTGTGATGCAAGCAGTGGATTACAGTGGTCAGCTGCTGTCTACGTCGCCTGATGCTCAGGTGGTGCTTGCTAAGAAGCTCGAAGCTGTTGGGGCGTTTTTGGAAGACCGGTTTGGTTCGCCTCAGGACATTGAAGGGTGTGTTGTGGGTGATAAGATCTATGTGGTGCAGTCGCGGCCTCAGCCTTGAATGGGAGAGAATATATGTATGGTTTGAACTTGACTGGATTATTGATTCTTTGAGGGTAGAATTTGGCTTATTAGACTGCCGCCAGTGGACAACAGGAAATTATGTGCCCTAGTATTTTGTAGATGCCAAGTAGGCTAGACAGGTTTGTAGAAGAGTGATATATTTTCTCTGGTACTTGGAAGTATTCATATTCCATCACTGGAGCGTGTTTGTGAGCTTATCGTATAACAAGACCGGGTGAAGCTCTATCGGAGCTCTGCTTCTCGTGGCCCAGAAATCCACACAGAGGATCACGACCACCAATCACACAGCAGAACGCGTCCGAGCGTACATCCACGCCGCATCTTTGCGTCAGGCACACGATCAATGCCTTGATTCTGGTCTGGCCTGGACAACTGGCTGACATCCGCGTGTGCCACCTGATTGCAAAACAATGTCGCTCCCCAATATCCAGAATCCATTCGGTACATGACTTCGCGCAGCCATAGAGGTTTACTGTGCGTTCCGATACGGTGAACCTGGGTCAGCAGCACCAAGTCTTGCGACGCTGGACAGGCTGTTCTCGGAATGGTAGTTTCGCTACGATCTAGAACGGTTGTGTAGAAAATAGAATGTTCGGGTAGGGTTGTGAGAGAATAACTACTCTAGTCTAACAATTCCATCATTACCATAAAAGTGCGGGACAGCTATTATGTGACGGAACAAGGTCGCATATTTTTCTAGGATCAGCATTCAGCTCAGCTGCGTGCTTAGCAAGCAGAGAGAGGAAGAGGAGAGTCGGACGAGATGGCGTCTGCTGCGTTGCAGGGCTCGGCGCGCTCGTTGGCCGTCGAGGTGAGAAGTGCCACGCAGCTTAGGACAGCAGTAGAAGTTTATATCAGGGGGGTGCTATGAGTATTGCGGTTATGGCGGCCGCAATACTTCTGCAGCACACAATTTATCCGGTGGTATTTAGTTTTGATCGACGTTGAGTAAAGAATGGATTACGTAGCGCCAGCTAGCAGCTCAAACCAGCAGAAGTGGTTGAAGGAGATTGGGTGCGGTGCTTTTGTGACAGCCGTCTTGCAAGAAACTCTTGATCGTCGTGTCGGTTAAGAAGTTTCCGTCAGAACCCCCAATATCCTCGTTATTGCCTGACTGGTTATTGCAGGCCTCCCATGTCGTCGCGGTCTCCTCTTCCTCGTCGCTTCTCTCCTCCCCCTCCTCCTGCTGCTGCCACGTGTCCCTCTCCACAACCACACCGACGGCAGCAGTGCGAACGGCAGTATCACACCTTACACCTGGACGCTTTGCGAATCCGTCAACTCGTGGCGCGGGGCGATCGAAGCTCAGAAAACTACAGATATCAAATGGCAGCCAAATCCAATGCAGTTGTAAGCCGTGTTTTGGTGCCATCCTTTTGAGTTGATGCCGAATTCTGCACTAGCAGCCCAGTTCAATGCAGTCGTAAGCCGTCCCTCGCAAAGCGCTCGCATCCTCCTGCCGTTCTCCTGCCGTCCACCTTCCATTCCACCTACTTCTGAGTCGACTCAAAAGCCTTCGCAAACCGCACGCATCCTTCTTCCGTCCACCTTCCGTCGACATTCAATTCCACCTACCTGCAGCACCTTCCTATCGGCCATCCTGTTTTCGGCATTTTCCCTTACCCTCTCCCCCAACCCCCTCTCTCTCCGCGCCCTTCATTCCCATCCTCACCCCGCCCACCAGTGACGCCCCCTATAGTCACAACCGCTGCGTCTTCCGCTGCAGCCGCAGCCATGGCAGCTGGGGGTAGCTCCGCTGTGACTATTGCGAGCAGCTGGTTCACGCTCTGCACGGCTGCCGTCATCCCTCTTTATACGCTCATGATCTTCGCGCCAGACTGGCACGTGGTACGCGTCTCACTCCCAACTCAATATAAGCAGCCCCTGTATGAGGTGTCTCAAACATCTGTACGGCTGCCGTCATCCCTCTTTATACGCTCATGATCTTCGCGCCAGACTGGCACGTGGTACGCTTACTTCCTGCTGCTTGCACATTGCACCACCCCACCCATCGGCACACCCCACCCCACCACACCACACCCCACCACTCCACCCGTCGCCACACCACACCACACCACACCGCACCACTTCACCCATTACCACACCAACAAGCACCACACCGCACTGCAGACGGAGAAGAGTATGAGCAGCTTGTGGCCACGCATTTTGCTCGGTTTCGTGTACCTCTACCTCCTCTACAAGTCCGGAACGCCCTATGTTTTCAGGCACCTCAGAAGACATCAACCCACCCCACCCCTCCCCACCCCACCCCACCCCAATCCCACACCACTCCATCTCACCCCACCCCACACCACAGACTGAGAAGATCATGAGCAGCTCGCTACCGAGCATTCTCCTCGCCTTCGTGTACCACTACCTGCTCTACAGGTTGTGACGCCTTTTGAGTCGCCTCTCAAAAGACACCACCACTTATCACCCCACCCCACCCCAACCCTCCCCAACCCACTCCACCCCGCCCCACCCCACACCACAGACGGAGAAGATCATGAGCAGCTCGCTGCCGAGCATTCTCCTGGGCTTCGTGTACCTCTACCTGCTCTACAAGTCGTGGACGCCCAACACGCTGCTCTACATGTTCTCCTCCAAATACTGGCTGCCCGAGGTATGAGTCCTGGGGCGCCGGAGATGCGTCCTTAAGAATGTACCTTTGCCAGCTTTTGAACACCCCACCCAGCCCATGCGCCCAACACGCTGCTCCACATGTTCTCCTCCAAGTACTGGCTGCCCGAGGTGCGTCTCTATCAGTCCCCCCTTTACGAGCTCTTGAATTCCTCTCGCGCCTCCCATGCTGCTCCATCCGCTGCCCGCTGCTTTACATGCTCTCCTCAAACTACTGGCTGCCCGAGGTGCGTCTCTTTCGATTCTCTTTCTCATTTTCTTTCCCATCGGGTGCTAAATGTGCTGCCTGTCTAGTTGAGTGCACAAGCGTAATGTGCTGTGCTGTGCCTCTGCTCTTCCCCCCTTGGTCTCCCCCCCCACACCAGCTAGCGGGCATCACTCAGATGTTCGCCAGCACCCCCACTGTCACCTCCCCCTGTCTTCACCCGCCCACCACCCACCCCTTTCCCTCCCTTGCTCTTGTTTCCTCCTTCCCCCCCCCCCCCCCCCCCCTCCTCCCCTCTCCCCCTGCCCCCTCCTCTTCCCCCTCGTCTCTCCACCACCAGCTAGCGGGAATCACTCTGATGTTCGCCAGCACGCTCACTGTCGCCTCTGCCTGGATTCACATCTACGCACCACCCACGCCTTTCCCTTTCCCCTGCTCTTGCTTCCATCTCCCCCTCCGCCCTGGTCTCCCCACACCAGCTAGCAGGCATCACTCAGATGTTCGCCAGCACGCTCACTGTTGCCTCCGCCTGGATCCACCTGCTGGCCGTTGATCTCTTTGCCGCCAGGTGAGCTCTCAGGTCAGGTGGTCTGTCAGGTGAGTCGTCATGTGGTCTGTCAGGTGAGATGTTAGGTCTGTCACGTGAGATGTTAGGTCTGTCAGGTGAGATGTTAGGTCTGTCAGGTGAGACACCAGGAGGTTTACAAAGCTCTGGAAAACGACAATGAGGCGGCAGTTCTGTTGTCAGAAGCTTGCCAGGTTCAACTGATCTTTGCCCTCAGGTGATTTCTCAGAAAAACCCGTCAGGAGAGTATTCAAGGTAATTCAGGGAGCACTTCAACCCCTACACACAAGAAGTGCAGCTTTCTTCCCCCCGCCCCCCTCTCTCCCCACGGCGCGTGTATATAAATGGCGTAATCACTGTTTTCCGTCCCTCCTCCTCCACCCCCACTTCCCCCGCACGTGCATGTGTATCTGGACGGCTTGAAGCAGAAACTCGAAACGCGGTACTCACTTTTGAGCTCTGCCTCATGTTTGGCCTTCTGGGCATCGCCGCTCATACCCCCCTCCCTTTTCCCTCCCCCCTCTCTCCTCCCCACCCCCTTCCCCCTTCTCTCTTACAGGCACGTGTATCTGGACGGCTTAAAAGAGAAGCTAGAGACACGGCATTCCCTCGTGCTCTGCCTCATGTTACGCCCCCTCATCCTCCTCATTCCTTCCTCCCCACTCCTCTCCCACAGGCACGTGTATCTGGACGGATTGAAGCAGAAGCTGGAGACGCGGCACTCGCTCGTGCTCTGCCTCATGTTTGGCCCTCTGGGCATCGCCGCTCACTCCCTCACCAAAACCATTGCGCAGGTAAGCCGCGTGTCAAGCCGAATCCCGAACTAGCTATGCCCATGCCTACCTTTCCATGCTCATGTTTGGCCCTCTGGGCATTGCCGCTCACTCTCACTCCCTCACCAAAACCATTGCGCAGGTAAGCCGCGTGTCAAGCCGAATCCCGAACTAGCTATGCCCATGCCTACCTTTCCATGCTCATGTTTGGCCCTCTGGGCATTGCCGCTCACTCTCACTCCCTCACCAAAACCATTGCACAGGTTAGTTCCCTGGTGTCATATCTCAAACACGATCCGTTCTGCTTCATATATGAAACTCTCCCTCTCGATCCACTCCGTTACGTGATCCTCTTACCCTCCCACCCTCCCCCCCCACAACCCCTCTCCCCCGTCTCTCCCCCCCCTCTCCCCCCACCCCCCCTCTTTCACCACCACCATCTCTCTTCGCGATCAGATCTTTCGTCGCTCCAGGAGAAGTCGCAACGCTTCGCGGACTGTACAGGACATTCCCTCGCCTCCGTGACCCTCCCTGCTGGGATAAGCAAAAGATACAGGCATTCTTGTGGTTCCTTGTTGATAGATGCTTACAAGACCCCCCCTGGGATGGAATACTCTGAGCTCCTGAAGACTACACAACACAAAATTATAATTTTAAACACACATGTAGTGTTTTTTAAAATTGTGTATTGTGAAAGCGAAGCTGCTTGTACTGCACAATTGGCATCGTCGAAGCGCGCTAAACGCCCTTCTCCAACTACAAAAACCGTGGGTTGGAGCTCATTTCCCTCCACCCACGTTTCTCAATTTTCAAACGGCTCACTCAACATTTTCCGCTCGAGTAGTTTTTCCCTCCAAGCTGGCTAGGATTAAATCGCTTCCTAGAGGCGAGTCACCCTCTACTTTACTCAGCGACATTTTCAACTTCAATCGCTCAACGATGGCACCTACGCCGACACTTAACAACGGGAACTCGTCAACCCCCGCTTCCGACTCCGACCGTAACGCCCGCGATTCTGCGGGCGAACGCCGTAACAAGCGTCGGGCAGAAGACGGACCTTCCGCCCCGACTGCAGTGGACGTGCTGCTGGGCGGGCTCGAGGTCCACAAAAACGCCGAAACCCAGCAGCACCCTTCGGTCCCTGTGGCGCCAGTGGCGCCTGTGGCGCCAGTGGCGCTTGTGGCGCCAGTGGCACCTGTGGCGCAAGTGGCGACGGGGACTGGCGCGGCACACGCGACTGACGCCGAGCACACGCCAGCACCCGCTGCTGGACCGTCGCGTCAGCGTCAGAGGAGGCGGACTGCAGTCTCCTCGTCTGACGCGACCGCCGCCCCTGCGCTGACGCAGGCGTTGACCCCGGACCAGGTCAACGCGCTGCTGTCCCTTCTACAGCAGCAACCCGTCAGCGTTACAGCCGCGGAAACTGCACTACCCGCCGCATCTGCGTCGGCTAAAAAAGAAACTGCAAAAAAGGAGAAAGGCACACGGGGAGCACGGACGAACCGGCATGACAACGACGCAGCGACTGCCGCTCCCCCTGCTCCAGCGGTCGACAACGACACCGACGACTCTGAAGATGAAGCTGGTGAGGCTCCAGTCAACAATGTTAATTTTATTGGCACGGAAAACCTTCCCCCCCTCCCTTCTTCTAATCTTACCTTCTCGGCGGCAACCTTCGTCAACGACTCCGTGCGAGAGCAAGCGGAGCTACTGGAGGACCTGCGGGCGTACCTGCTGCACGCCGAATACAAGGCGCAGCGCGGTGATCCGGCGGGCGGACTCGAACTCATCTCACACGCTCTCAACCTCATCGCGGGGCGTTTCGAGGTGCTTCAAGTGGAGGACGCCTCCGACTTTCGCACGGCGAAGCGCTTTAAGCTGTACCAGCAGAAGAGCCTGCTGACTTCTCGACCCTTCAAGCAGGCGGTCGCGGACATGGCGGCGATGGACCGTGCGGCAAGCGGATACGCTCGTGTCAACCGCGGCGGAAACAACGGGCCGATGCCGTTCTTACCCAAGCGAGGCCCCCCGCCCACGGCCAATTGCCGTGGGTTCCGGGGCTCATGCTTCCGCTGCGGCCAGCCGGGCCACGTGGCAAGTGCCTGCCCTCGGAACGGGCATGGAGGCCAGGGACCCGCTCCGGTGGTGTAGGAGCGGGCCATGAGACTAGGCGCTTGGGCGCTAGGCACGGTGCACTCTTGAGTGCGAAAACCGTGGGCAACCCTAGGGGTTTGCGATGGCAAGAGGCCAGCCCTAGTAAAGGGTGGGATAGGCTTGGGCCTAGGATAGGGAAGGGGAACAACAACCCCTCGGTCCCATATGTTGGCCACTTGGTGGCATGCTAGGAAAGCATTGCTATGTGTGTTGGTTGATTTAATAAAAACTACCTTCCTAAAGGCCTATGGTTTTGGCAAAGAGACTATGAAAATCAAGAGGAGGAGCAGAGAGAGAGAGAGAGAGAGAGAGAGAGAGAGAGAGAGAGAGAGAGAGAGAGAGAGAGAGAGAGAGAGAGAGAGAGAGAGAGAGAGGGAGGGAGAGAGAGAGAGAGAAAGAGAGAGAGAGAGAGAGAGAGAAAGAGAGAGAGAGAGAGAGAGAGAGAGAGAGAGGGAGAGAGAGAGAGAGAGAGAGAGAGAGAGATAAGAGAGAATGAGAGAAAGCACAATGGACAACGGTGTCCATGGCCCTAGGCATCAGCCCCTACGCACTAAGGGCAGGCACAACCATGTCCTACCAAGTGGACGACGGGGCAAGAAAAAAAAAAAAAAAAAGGGGAAACGAGGAGAAGAAGAGACATGCGTTGACATGCGTTAACATTCCCGACACATTCGTTGACATTTCATTCAATTGTTCATTCTCTTCACACCTTCGATCAATGGTTGCCCGTACAAGTACATGCACACGCATGCTTTAACGTGGAATACTCAAAGCTTATACCACTTGGCCTCAAATGTACAGGAGCACGACGGTGCGAGGCGGCATGCCACGACGATCCGTACGAATTTGCCGTTACAGACAGAACTATTACACACATGCGCGGTCGTCTTCGCGCGACATTTGCGTGGTGGAGCTCATGGTGCCCCAGCAGCCTTGTCCTCTCCGTCATCGCCAAGGGTTACTGGTTGCCATGGAGCCACGGCCCACCGCAACATTTCCACGATCGCAATCATGTCGGGGCAAACACGCATGCCACGTTCACACGTACCGCCATCCAAGAACTCATAGAGACGGGAGCGGCAATTCCGATGGCCGCAACGGAGCTTACATGCATAAGTCCACTCAACGTGGTCGAGCAAAAAGACAAATGCAGGCTCATTCTTGATCTGAGGAAAGTCAACGCCAACTTGATCATCCCCAAGTTCAAGTACGAAGGGCTCAGCCGCGTCGCCGACCTTGCGCGCGTTGGGGACTGGATGTTCTCCATTGACCTCAAATCTGGTTACCACCACATCGACATCCACCCATCGTGCTGGAAGTTCCTTGGCTTTGAATTTGATAAGCGCACATACGCATTCCGTTCACTACCATTTGGCCTCGCGACAGCTCCATTCGTTTTCACGCAGCTCATCAAGCAACTAGCTCGGCGTTGGCGAGAACAAGGCATCCGAGTCGTACCTTACGTGGACGACATCTTATTTCTCTGCCAGTCGAAAGAGGACGCGCAAGCAACTTGCCAGCGGGTGATATTGGATCTTAAAGAGGCAGGCCTTGTGATAAACGCGAAGAAATCACAACTGTCACCATCGCAGCGTCTCCGATTCCTGGGCGTAGAACTCGAGACCGATACCGGCCGATTCTCCATCGGTCCGGACCGACGAGCCTCACTACATGCAACCATCCGGAACCTTCTGAGCGCAAGCAAGGCATGCCGACCAGTCCCGGTCCGCCACGTGGCCAGAATCACTGGCATGCTCGCATCGATGGGTGTCGCACTTGGCGCGACAGCTCGCGCATTCAGCCATGCTATGTTACAAGTGATCGACGACGCACCGTCATGGAAAAGCAGCGTCGTTATCCCCCCATCTGCAGCAGAAGAGCTCCAATTTTGGCTCGAGGAGTTCGACCGTTTCAACGGCGCACCTTTTCACGTCAAGAACAGCTACGACGCGGTAATCCACGTGGATGCCAGCTCTCATGGTTGGGGCGCCACTCTGACCACATTTCCGGGTGGCATCGAAGAAGCTAGCGCAACCATGTCAGAGCCGCTACGAGGAACGTCCAGCACGCGACGGGAGATCGAAGGCGTCCTTTGGGCGCTACAAACGTACGCGAACAAGATCAAGCAAAAACACGTTCTCGTGCGGGTGGACAACCAGGGCGTATTCTTCATCCTTCGCAAAGGCGGTTCTCACAGCCCCGACCTCACAACGGCATGCAAGAGCATCATCCGAACATGCATGGCGCTTGGCACGCGCTTGATCATTGAATGGATTCCGCGCGAGCTCAACACACACGCCGACGAGCTTTCAAAAATGGTCGACCACGACGATTACGCGCTGAAAACGCCGTGGTTCCGGATCTTGGAACGTCGTTGGGGTCCTCACTCCATCGACCTTTTCGCAAACTCCCGCAACACCCAACTGCCGCGCTTCTGTTCAAAGATTCCCCACCCGGCAGCCATTGCAGTTGATGCGTTCTCGATCGCGTGGACACCTGAAAACAACTTCGCCTTCCCCCCACCTCAACTGGTCCCAGCCGTCCTCCATCACGCACAACGCACCCATGCATCACTCACACTGATAGTTCCGCACTGGCCAGGCGCAAGCTGGTGGCCACTCTTGCAACCCTCCCCACGCACTTGGGCACCACACATCCACGCGCACATCCCTCTGACACACGGAAGCCAATGCCTAGACGTAGGGTCCCATTCAACTGCTTTTTCGGGCATGGGACTACCGCACAGCCCAATCATTGCACTGCGAGTGGCATTTGACTAATTCAAAATATATACACCTTGTGTTCAGATTTGCTCCCAAAGTTACACGACCAACTGATCAACATGCTCGCGCAGTCCCGCGCCGATTCTACGATCCGGACATATGAACCATACTGGGCCAAGTTTCGAGCCTTCTGCACAAAAGTGAACCTCCCATTCCTCCCGGCATCCGACATGACCCTCGCGCTATACCTGGTACACGCAATCCGACGCAAAGCCACCCTGTCCGTAGTGCAGCTAACCTGCTCGGCGGTCAGCTTCGCCCATCGCATGACCGGGAGCAAATGCCCGACAACCGGACCGTTCACCACCCAAGTCCGTGACTATGCAAAGCGACACTGCCCACGCCCTACTCGTCTGAAGGAACCCGTCTCGATCCAACAAGTCCAGGAAATGGCCGCGAGCTACTTACAGTCCGACGATCCTGCGCAATTTCAGAAAGGGTTGATACCCATCCTCATGTACTCCGGATTCCTGCGATACTCTGACCTAGTAGCCATAAAATGGCAAGACATCCAATTCGACGACGAGGTCATGTGGATTCTCATACCACACTCCAAGACCGATCAAGCTGGTCACGGCACTTGGATACCCATTGCAGCAACGGCGGACCCCTGCTGCCCAGTGCGCTGCACCCGACGCTTCATCCGACTCGCTGGCTATGGCCCACGGTCAGAGGGACCATTGATTCGTGTCTTCGGTCACGGTTCAACCAGCGAGGGCCAGGCTAGGCCACCTTCATACACTACGATCCGGAACTGGTGCAAGGAAGCCTTCGCAAAGGTTGGCCTTGGAGAGTTGCAGCTAGGCACCCATTCTTTCCGAAAAGGTGCAGCCACAGTAGCAGCCAACACGGGAGTGCCAGACAGAGTCTTCAAACGGCTGGGCAGATGGCGAAGCGACACAGCAAAGGAAATGTATGTTACGCCATACGTCGAGCCCCTCATCGAAGCCTCCCGTACCCTACAAGATTCGACGCATGCGGTGTCATCGGCGCAACACACAGAGGCACTCGTACGCAACCGGAGGCCCCCGCTGCCCATGTCTCAGAGACCCCATTTGTAATGAGAACGATGCCAATTGATAAGAAAGAAAGCAAGCTTTCTCAATATTATAATTTTTAAACACACATGTAGTGTTTTTTAAAATTGTGTATTGTGAAAGCGAAGCTGCTTGTACTGCACAATTGGCATCGTCGAAGCGCGCTAAACGCCCTTCTCCAACTACAAAAACCGTGGGTTGGAGCTCATTTCCCTCCACCCACGTTTCTCAATTTTCAAACGGCTCACTCAACATTCCCACCACCCACCCCAGTGTAAACCGCCTTGCTAATGCCACTTGGATAGGGTACATAATAGCTAGTGTTATTAGTCCGCACTAGCTTATGTCGAACGATGATGCAAATGTTGTAATACGCCATTTGTGATGAGAACGATGCCCCATTTGTAATGAGAACGATGCCAATTGATAAGAAAGAAAGCAAGCTTTCTCAATCTGTAGATTTACAGTGATTGGGTGCACTACACTACACTACAGTTTGTGCTGTACATCTCAATAATGAATTTACTCGTCATGAAAAATGTGCACCTTGAAAACATCTGCTACAAAGCCTGCTGCTTCTCGTGTCATGCTCCTCGCAAATTCAAAACGGTACAAGTTCACTGATAGATGCAGATGGTACAGTAGAATGCCATCATTTTGAGCCCATTACAAGCTGCATGCATCAGAGGCATACCTACTGGTAGTCATGAAATTTTCCCCACCAACCGCTGCCGCTGCCACCGATGATGCTGCATATTCTCCTTGGTTGTCCGCTGAGCCATTTCACCCGTTATTTTTAGAATTTCAAACAACCAGATTCAACGCCTAGCACTTCAGCAGAGAGCCTCTCACTCACTGCTGTGTTGTGGAAACATGGCTCCCTCGCACTCTCTCTGCCCTCTTTCGCTCTCTCCTGCCTTCTCTTGCACTCTCTCTCTCTCCGGTGCCCTCGTTAGGCCTCTGTTGCTCTCCCTTGCTCCCCCCTTGCCCTCACTTGCTCCCTCTCTCACTCTCTCCTGCTCTCTCTCTTACTCCTTCTTGCTCTCTCTCTCTCTCTTGCTCTTGCTCTCTCCTTCTCCCTCTTGCACTCGCTTGCTCTCACAGGCTCCCTCATGCTTGGCCTCCGTCGCTCTCTCTCGCTCCCACCTGGTTTGGGGTGCCTCAATACTCTGCCATGAGAGTCAAGACAGCACTGATCATCAGTCGTGACAGCGGGTCCAGATTCAACGTATCGAGTCGCGCTGCAACGGTGGTGGTGATGCAGGTTCAGGTTCAAAGAACCTGGTCAGGCAGCGGCAGCAGCAACCGCAGCAGCAGCAGTGGTGGCAAGCAGGTTCGTTGAATCAGGCCGCGGATGGGGAACTTTGGAAACATTCACCCGCTCCAGGTCCAGTGAATCTGGTCAGGCAGCGGCGGTGGTGGCGCAGGTTCGTTGAATCGGGTCGTAGTTCTGCTGGAAGAGGAACTTGGTCCCAGCCAACCCCTCCAGGTTCAGTGAACCTGTTCAACCAGCGGCTGTGGATTTGATGAATCAGGTCGTAGGTCTGCTGGAAGGGGAACTTGGTCCCACCAACCCCTCCAGGTTCAGTGAATCTGGTCAACCAGCAGTGGTGGTAACGCAGGTTCGTTGAACCGGGTCATAGTTCTGCTGGATGAGGAACTTGGTCCCAGCCACCCCCTCCAGGTTATACGCTGCAGCATCTGATGTGTAGGACAGGGTGCCGGTCCTGCCAGGTTTTGAGTGAAGAATGCGAATCAAAGGAAATGAAAGGAAACGAGAGGATGGAGAATTTGATGCATGGACCAGGGTTGGTCCAACCAGGACCATCACAGCCTTCACACCACCACCCTTGAGGCCTTCCACGTTAGACGCTGCAGCATCTGATGTGTACGAGAGGCTGCCAGTCCTGGCTGGCAGTTTTGGAGGGGAAGATGTGAAGCATAGAAAATGGAGGAAAAGTGAGAAACACGTTGTTCATTAGTGCACTGCTGAGCGTCAGAGGCCATTCAGCCCTCTTCCCCACCTCTTTCCCCTTATCTACCCTCCCCCCAATCCTTCCTCCCCTTCCTGCTGCTCACCTCCAGGCACATAAGTCGGCGTTCTCCTGTCCCGAGGCATCAGAATAAATCAGCAGATAGGGGCCACTCGATTTTTGAGGCGCCTCAAAAAGGCCACTCGCCTCAAAAAGGCCACTCGCCTCAAAAAGGCCACTCGCCTCGCCACTCGCCTCGCCACCTCTGCCAGCTCATGAGCGAAGGTGGAGGAGAGCAGCGAGTCGAACGAAAGCTGCTACCCAAGGGTCACCCTCGCTTCCTCTGCGATTCCAAGCCCTTCCCCACCCCACAACCCCCCCCCCACCCTTTTACTCACTTCCAGGCGCATAGGTCGGCGTTCTCCTGCCCAGCCCAGCAGCGTCGTACCAATTCAGCACATACGAATCACACGTCGCCTCTGCCAGCTCGTGCGCGAAGGTGAAGAGCAGCGAGTCAAATCGAACCGCGTCTTCCCACCCCACTCCCCCCACCCCACTTCCCCCACCCCACTTCCCCCACCCCACTTCCCCCCACCCCACTTCCCCCACCCCACTTCCCCCACCCCACTTCCCCCACCCCACTTCCCCCACCCCACTTCCCCCACCCCACCTCCCCCACCCCACTTCCCCCCACCCCACTTCCCCCACCCCACTTCCCCCACCCCACTTCCCCCACCCCACTTCCCCCACCCCACCTCCCCCACCCCACTTCCCCCCACCCCACTTCCCCCACCCCACTTCCCCCACCCCACTTCCCCCACCCCACTTCCCCCCACTCACTCACTTCCAGGCGCATATGTCGGCGTTCTCCTGCCCAGAGTCGTCGTACCAATTGGTCACATACGGGTCACTCGTCGCCTCTGCACAGCCAGTATCCATCCTTCCCCCTCCCCCTCACACCCCCCTGTTACTCACTTCCAGGCGCAAATGTCGGCGTTCTCCTGCCCCATTGCGTCGTACCAATTGGTCACATACGGGTCACTCGTCGCCTCTGCCAGCTCGTGCGCGAAGGTGGAGAGCAGCGAGTCAAACGACTTATCGCTGTTGGGGCTGTCGTTGAAGGCAAAGGCAGCGAGCCAACAGCTGCTGGGGCACTGGGAGAGTGGGAGAGGGATGAAGAAATGGTTTATTGAGGGGTAGTGGCGAGGGATGGGGAAAAGGTTGAGTGAGGGGTAGAGGAGAGAAATAGGATGGCAACATGAGCCACCTTGACGAGCTTCTTCTGGCCTCAGCACTCTCTGACAACTTTCTCACCACTCTCAACCCTCTCTAACCACTCTCAACCCTCTCTAACCACTCTCAACCCTCCGTCACCACGCACCTTGACAGGGCTACCCACATAAGCCACTTTGATAAGCTTCTTTCGAATCCGCACAAAGTCGTGCCACCCGCAGTAATCGCTGCACATGGCTCCTTCATTGTCCCGCTGTAGGGGGGGAAGAAAATGTGAGGCGTAGGATGGAAACATGGGCGAAGGGAGGTGAGTACGAAGCAGTAATCATGGGGGGAAGCAAGTGTGGGGACGTGAGTTTGATAAGCGGTTTCTGAATCCTCACAAAGTCGTGCCACCCGCAGTAAGTGCTGCACATGGCGCCCTCATTGTCCCTCTGTTTGGGGGGGAAGCTATGTGAGGTGAGGAGAGGTGAGGGGATAAACATAGGAGGAAGTGAGGAGCGCTGCACATGGCGCCCTAGCTGTCCCTCTGTTGGGAGAGGGAGGAGAGAGGTGAGAGAAGCAGCGGTGAGAATGTGGAGATTATTGAGAGGAGAGGTGAGTGGGGAAGTGAGCGTGCCTGCCGCAGCACGCTCTGCGCTGCACATGGCGCCCTGGCTGTCCCTCTGGTGGGAGAGGGAGGAGAGAGGTGAGAGAAGCATTGCACTGCACTGCACTGCACTGCACCGCACCGCACCGCACTGCACTGCACATGGCCCCCTTGCTGTCCCTCTGTTGGGAGAGGGAGGAGAGAGGTGAGAGAAGCATTGCACTGCACTGCACTGCACTGCACCGCACCGCACTGCACTGCACTGCACATGGCGCCCTGGCTGTCCCTCTGGTGGGAGCAAAGGAAGGCGAACGTAGGAGGTGAGTATGGTGGGGTAAGCATGGGGAGGTGAGAGGGGGGAAATGAGTACACTCCATCCTCACCGAGGAAATGAGTACACTCCATCCTCACCGAGGAAATGAGTACACTCCATCCTCACCGAGGAAATGAGTACACTCCATCGCCAATAATAAAGTACACTCCATCCTCATCAAGGGGGAAACGTGTCCCTCTTCACCCTCATAAAGCCATCACACCCATCACCACTGCACCGCACCTCCGGATCAGACACACCTGAGCCACACTCCCATCGCCAATAACAAAGTACCCTCCATCCTCATTAAGGGGAGGGAAACGCACCGCCCAAAAACCTCTTCTTCATCACCAGCCTTACTGTGACCACCAAACCCACCACCACCGCACCCCACCTCTATGCACCTGAGCCACACTCCCATCGCCAATAAGAAAGTACCCTCCATCCTCATTAAGGGGAGGGAAACGCACCGCCCAAAAACCTCTTCTTCATCACCAGCCTTACTGTGACCACCAAACCCACCACCACCGCACCCCACCTCTACGCACCTGAGCCACACTCCCATCGCCAATAACAAAGTACCCTCCATGCTCATCAAGGGGAGGGAAACGCACCGCCCAAAAACCTCTTCTTCATCACCAGCCTTGCTCTGACCACCAAACCCACCACCACCGCACCCCACCTCTACGCACCTGAGCAACGCTCCCATCGCCAATCACAAAGTACACTCCATCCTCGTCAAGGGGAAACGAGCCAGCCTTCACCCGCGTCTTCACCACCCGGCGAATCGACTTGAGCCCAAACAGCAGCTTGAGGGGGCGCCTCACGCGGTGCTCCTTTGCCAAAATCACAGAGGAGGAGACGTAGCGGCCATAGCAGTCGTAATACAAAGTGTTGGTTCGCCACCAGTCAGCGACTGTTGGGGGAGGAGAGGGAGAAAAAGACGCAGTTTTCCTTTGCCCACGTGCTGGTCCCTTGCCAGAGTCACAGAGGAGGAGGCATAATGGCCATTGCAGTCGTAATAGAGGGTGTTGGTTCGCCACCAGTCAGGTGATAATAAGAGTGTTTTGAGACGTCTTGAGACGTGATAATAAGAGTGTTTTGAGACGTCTCAAAACACCTTGTCAGAGTCACAGAAGAAGAGACATAACGGCCATTGCAGTCGTAATAGAGGTGTTGGTTGGTTCGCCACCAGTCAGCGACTGTACGCACGGGGAGGGGGTGGGAGAGGGAATGAGGGAGGCACAGAGGGGGGGCTCAGTAACTCACGTGGTGCTCCTTTGGGCAGGCGGACAGAGGAGGAGACGTAGCGGCCATTGCAGTCATAATAGAGGTTGTTGGTTCGCCACCAGTTAGAGAATGTTGGGGGGGGTTGTGGAGAAGGGGAAGGGGGAAGGGAAAGGACGAGGGGATTTGGATTCTAAAATGCTGGCCTTCAGTGCTGATAAGACTAATAAGACTATCAACTGCTTGTATGAGGCACTTCGAGTTGAGAGGACCCACCTGTGCCTTCAGTGCTGCTGCCTTGAACAACTCTCTCACCTGTGCCTTCAGTGCTGCTGCCTTGAACAACTCTCTCACCTGTGCCTTCAGTGCTGCTGCCTTGAACAACTCTCTCACCTGTGCCTTCAGTGCTGCTGCCTTGAACAACTCTCTCACCTGTGCCTTCAGTGCTGCTGAAGGAGCGGATGAAAGTTCGGAGAAGGTTCTTTTGGGCGTCGGAGAAGCTTCTGTACCACACGAGGTAGACGCGGATAGGGTTGTGCATTACCCCGCACCACTTGGGGTCCTTTGCGCAAACACCCTGCCCGCAGTAGGATTTTATTTCTGGGCCCAAGTCTGACGGGATGACTGGCAATTGACTGGAGTTTGGGCAGTGGGGAGGGAAGAAAAAGCGACTAATATGGTTTTTTCCTTGAAATTTTATTCGCATGGAGAAAACCTGAGAGAATGAGGGCGAGAGGGGGGCACCAAGGAGGAAGGGGGGGAGGGAGTGGGGCGTAGGGGGAGAGCAGCGAAGGGAGAATGGGGCGAAGGGGGGATGGGGCGAAGGGGGGATGGGGCGAACGGGGGATGGGGCGAACGGGGGATGGGGCGAACGGGGGGTGGGGCATACCTGGGAGAGCGAGTGGCAGTGGGAGCAACGTTGTTGGGCCTGAGTCTGACGGAGGTTGGATCGGAGGTGAAGGGCTGCTTGAACCTGTCTTGCATCGCTCTCCTTGAACGCTCGAAACTGCTGTTGCTGCTTCTAATGCGTCTGCCGCCGATGCCTCTAAAAGGTGGAGATATTGAATCGACGCTGCTTCTGAGAGTGCGGTTTAGATGCAAGCGGGGCCAAGCCGTTCGAACCAAACCATAAGCGAAACGTCTGGTGTGTGGGGCGCCGCGGGCGTGAGGGTCTCTGGGATGATCAGCCGTTGAACGGGTGCGGTTCAGATGCAAACGGGGCCAAGCCGTTGGGTCCAATCTAAAGGACGAACGTCTGGTGTGTGGGGTGCCGCGGACAGGAAGATCTCTGGGATGATCAGCTGCGTTATAAGAAGACTCGATAGAAGTGGATGGCGTGGAGGGCGATTCGGTGAGAGAAGGCGCGTTAGAAGCAGCAGCCACGATAGCAGCGCACGACAATAAACAGAAGATCTGGCACGGGGAGAGGGTAATATCATCGGGAAAGGCAAAGGGAGGAGAAAGACGAACTCGGAGGACGGGGGATGGGGCGGGGGAGATATAGGGGACGGAAGTGGACGCATATGGGGAGGCTACAATCTCGTGAAAACTTTTTCGTAACACACCCATTTGAAAACGGAGATGCCTGATAGGCAGGACGAAAGGTAAATGCATTCGCGATTATGAAACGACAAACACGACGATTCCAGTCAGACGACGCGTACGTTGTGCAACGGTCGCGGCGGGTGGCGAAATCTCGACCGTACTCGTCGCTTCATCGCGCAACTGTGGAGTTGAAGGGAGAATTCCCAAGCCATAGCCGTACGTCTGAAAATAAAATCGGACGCGCGACACGGTCAGTCATACATCCGTCAATCGGCACGTTTGCCTGTTCTGAATCTCACATAGAACCGGCAAAACAGTTCTTAGAGTGGACCAGAGTCGGAGGTGGACGGAGACAGACGGGGACTGACGGAAACAGTTGGAGACAGTTCAAGAAAGACGAAGAAAGACGGAGACGAGAGAGACGAAAAACGAGCTGGAGTCAAATTAGCGCGACGTGTCTTGAAGGTGCGTACATTCGCAAGACTACAACTGCTGAAGCTTTCCACTCGCTCGTCGGAACCCGCACCGACAAGGAATCTGGTTTCGCGGCTCAGAATAGCACGAATATTCGACGAAGCATTGTTCCAGGTTGCGGCTAGAGGTAATGTAGGAAGTAGGCGTTCCAAGAAGCCACTGGAATACGGCAATTGAAGACAGCAACCACCAACAACTACCTACCAACCACGGGGACGCAAGACTAAGGCATGAGTCAAGACATTCCCTCACCACGAACTGGACCAGCGAGCACACTGCTATGTCCACAATTGCTGATCCGACCGCGTCACCGAACCCAGACCAACCCAATCCAACCTAACCACCCCAGCACTACAGAATTCTGATAATGCCTGAGTCAAGTCGAGCGATTCTTCTTTCCCCTTCCGCCTCTCCCCCTCTTCCCCATGGCCCTTTCCTCCACCTTTTCCCCCTCCCCAGACCCCTCTCCGCTTCATTCCCCCCAAAACCTTCCTTCCCCCCCACTCCCCCCCTCCCCCCTCCAGGTCTCTCCCTTTTCCCCTGCTGCTTCTCTTGACAGTGTCAGGTTGCGATCGTCAAATTTTGTTGGCCCGCCAGGCCCGCTTGCCCGCCTGGCTCACCGCCAGACCTGCCACCGATGAAAACATACGGCTCGTTGTGACCACACACCACCCCCCAACCAGAACAAACACTGACGAGGGTAACAAAAGTTTGCGAACGCGCAATCGCCATGGCAGCAGTGAGCCTTGACCAATGGGCAATCTTGTCTGGCGACCCCTGTCTGGAAGCTTGGCTTGATATATAGCAGGCTCGGTGAATGGGCTGATAACCAAGTTTGCCATTGGGAAAATGCTTTAGCCTCCCTGACACATTGTCGCCTCAAGATGTAACTCGCCAATATTTTCGTTAGTACTTTCGTCCGCAGAAGATCTTTCTCCATCCATTTCGCCGCCAACTCGGGAATTTCGCACGCATCAGTTTCGCCACCAGTTCGAAAATCTGATATTCTCGTGGCGCGTTTGCAGGAACAAGGTGCCTCGTGAGTGGACTCAAGAGCTGACTTTCAGTAGAGTCAAAAGAACAAGGCAACCTCTGAGGAGACGCAAATGTCGGAACAAGGCGTCCAGTGGTTACAGAATTTGCCTTGCCCAAGCCAGTCAGCACCACCACACCGAAACAAGCACGCCCACAACAATCCACCCAATCCAGCCCATTCCCCATTGCCCCCACCACATCCAACCGTTGAGCCATGTGAGCAAAACAGATCCATCGCCGTAGCCAAGACAAACAACCCCAAGCCCATCACATCACATCACATCAACAAACTAATCTCAAGGTCGAGGCGCAACCGAAGTTTTCTTGCTCTCACTCCCTCCGCCTTTCAGAAAAGCCTTCCCGCCGCATCGAGCTGTCGGCAGGGGAACAACCACCAGCAACAAATCCCATGTTGCAGCAATGCCGCGTCGCTTTCCCCGCATCTCGCGTGATAGACAAGAGGGGTCCAATTTTTTAGACGGAGGCCAGGTTGGTGCAAGGGGGCCGTCGGCCGAAACTGCCGATGACAACCACTGCAAGTGTTCGCGTCTCGGCAAGGGAAGAGCAAAGCTGCAGAACAGAGCCCATTCTTCGATAGGCTATTGCGGACAGTGATAACCCGTTGTATCAGATGGACATATCGCGCCGACAGGAATATGACAGGCTATCACGCACAGCTTATTACTACTTATCCTCCAAAAATCGCTGCAAACATGTGTCCTTTCCGAATATCATTCGATTTCGTATCAGAGGCTTTAGCAGAACCTCCAGCAACCACGTCCAGGCACCATGATCCAGCCTATTACTACTAACAGCAAGTTCTGCTTTAACAGGCACACTGCCACTTCGCCACGCACGAGGCTCTCTAGACCTTACCGCCTCGCATTTCTGCTTCTCGTTTGTGGCCTCGTTTTAATATTCGCGCCTTGGGCTAGTACCAGGCTCAGTCGCCATGTTCAATTCCATGAACGCCTGGACTTGCTCCGACCTGGGAAGGTGTTTGAGTTTCACAGGCGACAGCTGCTCTCGCCACAGGCGCCGCCATCATTGACCTCGTTACAGTCAGCGTCAGAATCTGTAACCTGGTTACCGTCCACGTTCGCCAGATCCGTTTTCAGGGCGTTCCTTACTTCGGCACAGCCTCGTCCGTCGACTAATTCAACAGAAGGGAATGACGACGCCGACTCTGAGGCTAATAATAACACATCGGATTCAGCGGCGTACACGAATTTGAGTCCTCTGCATATGCGTCGCCACGTCGGACGAGACTACTTCGAGCCAAATGTCGCACTCCAGGACGCGACACGTGGCAGCAACGGAAAGCTAAGTCAAACGTCGGAGGATCATCACAAGAGCAACGGCGGAAACGGGTTTCCCGTCTACAACGACGGGAGTAGCAGCAAGAGCACTAACAACCAACTCGAAGTCTGCGTGGCTATAGCTTCGATGCCACGTGTCTTTCCAGAACGACGCAAGCTGCCACCGTGGCACTTCCCAGTGTCTCTTCTTGAGTTGCTGGAACAGCGACGGTCTCCGTCTAACATGTCTGGCGGCTTTAAAGACATGAAACGTCGTGGTCTACAGCTCTGGCTGCGACGAAAAACGGGCAATTCTACAGCGACTCATGGAACAAGCCGTGACACGCGCAGCGTCAGACACAAGCGCTTCGGAGGAGGACCTGCGGCCTACTACGACGACTAGAAGCCTTCCCGACGGCGCGACGCTGCGCCACGTGGAATCGCCTAAGGAGCCGGTACCAACTCCTCAGGGAGATTTGGAAGAACGAAAGGAGACGATGGCGGCAGTTGTGCATGAAAAAGCTCTCAATTGGCTGGACGAGAATCGTCTCTGAATATAACAGTGTTACCATCTCGGCGAGATGCGTGCGACTTCGTTCATGAAGACGAGGAGGAGTTGCGAAAGTTGGGCGTGACGAACGAGGTGGCCAGCGACGGCTGGAAATCCTGGCGATGGCGAACGAAGCTGGTAATGGATTTCGTCTACGTGATGCGACAGTGCATGGCGACGAAACCGAAATACATCCTGCTGCTGCAGGACGACACAAGGCCAGCCCGGCTCTACGACATCGGTATCGAGAAATTCATTAACGAGGACATGAAGGATAAGGAGTGGACGGTCATATCGCTTTACTATCCCGAATCGTACCTCTGGCCATATGATCATGGCGACGAATATCTAATTCCCTGCTGCGCTCAGGCTCTGCTTTTCAACGTATCAGCGCTCGAAGACCTGCTAGGGTTTGTGGAGGAACATTTCACCGAGGCTCCTATGGATTGGCTCTTAAACAAATACCTAACTAGTGCCAACCGGACGGGATATGTGCACGTGCCGTCGCTATTTCAACACGTCGGCGATGTGCGGACCAAAGCGCCAGGAGTCTCTTCGCGCCTGCATCGGGACCGGCGCTTTCATGACGACTATGTGGTTAATCTACTGAGGGCAGCTGGATCAACGGATATTCTCGAGGCTGCGGGCTATGGGGGAGATGGCGGGATTGATATCGGAGAAAGCGCTGCAGAGGCGGAACTTCTGCAGCAACTCTTCAAGGCATACCCGAAAGAAGCCTTAGGTAATCCGTTACTAGCACCTGAGACTAAGTAAATCCTGGTCCTCCTGTGCTATATATATTGAGAAGCATAATAACGTAAACTGACAAGTTTACAAGCAATTTTCATATTGTTATGTAGGCCCATGTTGACAGTTGTGAGTTCCTATAAGACATTTATACAACTTACATAATATGTACAGATGTAGCATAGTAATCTAGGACTTGGAAATCAAAGTAATGGAGGAGACTGACGTAATGTGGTCCGCTGACGAGGCTGAGGTCCAACTGTATATATGACTGCTTCCTTGTGCTCAGCTGTTACTTCCTGGCCTGGAAATTGCATTTATAATGAAGAACAATAACATATGGGAAGATTGTAGATTGAAATGTGGGGTGCATGACAGTGTGGGCAAACAGAAATGGGGGTTAGTTTCTGATGGGTTTATTTTTTTCGTGGTCGGGTGTTGTGGTATGTGTAGAGCAAATGTTTTCGCTTGCCGCCGTGGCAGCTTTGTGAGCCTTGACCAATGGGGCATCTTGTCTGGCGGCGGTCCTTGTTGCGGGCCTTGGCATGAGAAGAAATGGACATGCTGGGCAAATGGACAGGCTGGGCAAACGGGATGATATACCTCAGCCGACGAAAGACGCCGCCCAATTTCGCGGTTCATAAGGGACAACGGCCCTCTTCGGGATTGACGACCTCGCGACGACCTCCAAGCTCCGAACTGGGCCCAAATGGCGTCCCAGGGGCCTCGGGAGCCCTCGGGAATGTCGACAATCCGACGACATAGGTTTGCGCTGGGAGATTCCTGAGAATTAAATCTCAGCGGACAAAATAGGAGAGCTCGCCACGTCAAGCCGCGACGGCCGCCACGCGGACCAATAGGAGGGATCCAAACCGTCCCCACCGTGTACTAGGCTGCCACGACGTGGCCGTCGTGGCCACGCGTCGCTCCAGCGGTGATTTTCCCAAAGCGGGAAAACGTTCACACCTTTGAAAATGTCAGAGCGCGATCCACGCGACAAAAATCGGACCGTCCAGGATGTAACTGTTCTGTGGCATCGCGAGTTGCACGCGATGTCGGTGTCGACCAATTCATCCAAAGGCCCACAACCAAGCCACCCGGCACAATCTCAATACTGTCTAGGTTCAATGAACCTAAAGAAACAATCAAGCGCGCCGATTGTAAGTCGGCGCCGATCGGCGCCCACGCTAGGACTGCCACGGTGGGCTTCAATAAATCCAGGACCCTGGGAGATTCGGGCCGGCATGCTGTAATTTCGGTACTGAAAGGCCAATGTCGGCCCCAAGCCACGTAACACACGCCCATTCCACCGTGGAAAGGGCCTGGCTTACGCCCCTTCGGTGCAGCGTGAAGTAACATTAGCCATGCTTGGCACGTGGCACTTCGGGCAGAGCGCCGCCTATGCGAGAACACATGCACGGCGGTAGTAGCATAGGGGTGTGCGTGAAGCGCGGTAGCATCGGAGTCGCTCAGGACCTGTCAGAATGTTATCTTATGCTCTAGCCTGTAGTGGGGTGCTCTATAGCGAGTACAACCCTTCTAGGGTTTCCTATTTGTATCCCCATTCTTGCTAGTGCAGTCCTCTTCTCTCTTCTAATTTCTCACATGCTATCAGAGCAGGTCGATCCCCTTGGATCGATCCTGTGGGTGGACTTACCACCTCGTTGCTTCCGCTGCAACTCCTACTGCTACTGCTATCACTACTCTCTGTGCCGCACGCCCCGTGGCGTGCGGCAGTTTTTCATCCCGCCGTGCGCCCCGAGGCGCGCGGCGGTTTTCTGCCCGCCGTGCGCCCCGAGGCGCGCGGCGGTTCTCTTCCCGCCGTGCGCCCCGAGGCGCGCGGCGGCTTACTGCCCCGTCACGCCGCGCGCCGCTCCCGGGAGGCGCTGCGACGGGCGACGGGGACCTCCGCGTCGCCCCCCCGTCGCCCGTCGTGGCCTGCGCGCGGCCCGTACAGCCTGCGCGCGGCACGTATGGGCCGCGCCAGACCCGTCCGCGGCCCGTACGGGCCGCGCCAGGCCTACGAGCGACCCGTACGGGCGGCGACAGGCCCGCGCGCGGCTCGGGCCGCCTGCGCGCGGCTCGGGCGACCCTACCTGCGGCCCTGGCCCTGGCCCCGCCGCCCTACCTACGGCCCCGTCGTCCCGTCGCCCTACCTACGGCCCGGCTCCGTCGCCCTACCTACGGCACCGCCCCCCCCCCCCCTTCCCCCCCTTTTCCCGTCGCCCGCCGTGGCTCCTTCGGGGGACGACCTGGGGGGTGGCGGGTGTGTAGTCTCCCCTGCTCCTCCTCCTCCTCTGTCTCCCACTGCTGCAGCTGCCGCTGAGGGGGGTGGGTGTGTGGGATTCGACGGAGTGATGCTAGGGGGTGGGGTGAGAGTGGAGCTAGGGGTGTAGCAGCGGGTGTGTGTCAGGGGGAGTGGGATCGTTTGGGGAAGCTGAATGGAGGTTGCCGTCGTGTCGCCAGCAGCACCTGTATTCCGGGGACTTCGTTCGGTAGCCCAGTCGTAGCCAGCTGTGCCAGCCGCGTTGCTCGTCTGCCGCTACTTTAGCCGCGGGGCCAGTTACTCCAGTATTCCGGAGCGTTGTTCCGGTAGCCGCTGTGCCAGTGTGCCTCCTGTTGCCCGTGTGTCTGCAGCTTCACCCGTCGCCTCCTATCTCCTCTCCTCTCACTCTCTCTCCTCCTCCTCACTTGCCCGTTGTGACTACCACTAGCTTTGCTCATAATTGTGAACTTTAAACTATTGCTTCTTGAACTTGTGCTCAGAATGTCTGGTGACATTGTGATCCACCCTGAGCTTGTACTGCTTTGCTTGCTCTGCTGATTACACCCCACTTTGGCTATGGGGGTGTGTCAGAATGTTATCTTATGCTCTAGCCTGTAGTGGGGTGCTCTATAGCGAGTACAACCCTTCTAGGGTTTCCTATTTGTATCCCCATTCTTGCTAGTGCAATCCTCTTCTCTCTTCTAATTTCTCACAGGACCATACCCGTCCGTGACCGTGCGGGCCTGCTCATTCCCATGTCTGTTCCTGCGTTTCTTCCTGCTCTCTCGAGCACTTAGAATTTTCAGCTGCCAGTCTGTCATCGCGCCTGTAGGTTACTCAGTTGCCGACTTGGTCAGTAGTAGTCGGCGTCGACGTCTGCTGTTTTAGCGAGACATCGGTGCAAGTCGGCGACGCATGGCCAGAGGTCGCCCTAGAGCCCAACAGCCGCAACCCATTCCACCCCCCGCCGACTCTGTAGACGCCGACATCAAAGCGGAGCTGGAACGGCTCGAGGTCGAAGCCGAGTTAGACTCACTCGACCGAGAATTCGAAGAAGACCGCCGCGCAACTCTCCGGGCGTTCACCACACGCGTGACTCAGTACCGTCTTTGGTTTACCAACCTCCGCATCGCACACGGACGACGGTAGAGCAACATACGTGCTGCCACATGGACGACGTCGACATGACTGACGCTAGACCATCCACCGACCACAGTCCGACATCTACCGAGGAAGAGACGCTCCCCTTACTCTACGATCTTGACAAGCTGACGCAGATTCCAGAAGGGGAGTTCACCAAGGACATTCCCCCACCACCGATCGGGGAGTTTAACAAGAAGATAAAACAGAATCCGATGCGAAATGGACGGCCAGGAACTTCGTCGGCACCGGCCGGCTCTGGAAACCAGGTTGAGGTCGATGAGGAGGAGGATGGGGGGGAGGAGGAGGAGGAGGAGGAGGAAAGGGATGACGAAAACGACGAGTGTCCGCCGCGTAGCACTAGTCAGCGCACCTTGGAAGAACGGCTCGGGCGGAAACTTGAATACATAGATGATCTGCTCGAACAGGACGAGGATGCCGACCAGGAGAATTTGTCGGTGCCGCGCGAACAGTGGAGGGCGGCAGACTTTGTCGAGGAAGACATGGTGTACGCGACCATCGACGTGCTCGTCTTGGACGCCCTACGCCACCTGCAAATCGTGGAGAGGAACAGCACGCTGAGGCAGTACACCTCGTGGATTTATCACTACAAGAGGTGGGCGGCGAAGATGTTGAAGCAAATTCGCAACAAGCTTCCGCAGGAGTACAGGCTTAAGCACGTCGACGAGATAGGGCACTACATCCGGGACAACAAGAAGAAAAACTGGGACCAAGAGGCCGATGTCCCCCGGTCGTACGTGTGGCTGCACGTCCCTAGGGTCACCAAGTCCTGGCTTCGCGCATACGTGAAGTACATGGTTCGGGAGTTGAATCTCGATGCCGAGTCCAGCAAGAAGGGCGACAACGCCACAGGAACACAGCCTGTGCAATCTACAACAGTGCACACGCTCCTCGGGCGCATAAAGGCATGCCAGATGGCGGCGAGAGTGGAGGCGACGATATACCGGGAGACGGAGCTAAGCATCATGCGAGAGATATCAGTGGTCAGGTCGGAGGTGCGGTTCATGATCCGCACCAAGAACGAGCGGGACATCAAGTGAGTTTTTGTTTAACCTCTTGTTGTCTTGTACTGAGTCGACGCCGCCCTAATTGCCCCCCACCCTCGGCATTGTCGGCAGGAACTGCACCGATCGGCGTCGCGGAACCATTGGCGATACCTACTCCGCCTAGCAGTTCCGCCAGATCATGTTCAGGGTGCTGCCGACGTGGGCGGCCAAGGCGTGGAACCCGCGGGGTACGGGCCCGTCGCAGACGCTATGGCGGTTTCTGCTGTTGAAGGTGCTCACGCTACTCTCCCACCACTCTCTCCCCGGCATATACTTGTACCGACTGGCGAGCACCTCGTCGGTGAACCCGGAGAGCCAGCCGGTCGTCATGGTCATCGCTGCGCGGAACTCGAAGACGTCCAAGGATGCGCGTCTGTAGCAGAGCTACGCTGCTCGGCACCTCGAAGCGGAGTTGTGCGCCGTCGGCGAGACGGGCCTGTGGTTGCACTTCATCCTCGACCAGATCGGCCAGTTTCACGGCGTCCGCCTCATTCCGCCGGTGGACACCAGCACACACGCGAGCTGGTACAAGAAGCACCTCTTCTTTGCCAAAAACGACACCGACCAAGGGGAGCTCTCTGCGGCAAGCCACCAACGCTGGACGCGGCAGTTGTGGGACAAAAACGGGGTCTTTTGCAAGAGGAACGTGCACGCCGCTCGAGCCGGAGGGGCCCAGGAGCTGGCCATCGACGGCACGCCGCGCGCCGAGATCGCGGAGCTGGGTCACTGGGCGCTCAACAAGATGACGCGAGCGTACATCACCGCCATTCCGGTGGGGGTGGTGATGAAGAAGGCCGGTTACTCTGGTTACAAGCAGGACTACTTCTTGGGCCGGAGCAGGGTGGAGCCCTCTGATAAGCTCTTGAAGCTCCTCGCCGAGCACATCTTCCCCGGCGTCGACGACATGCTGAAGACGGTATGTTAGTCGACGCCCTCGTATCCTTGTTTCCGAGTCGTGTTGCCGACAGTGTCTGAACTCCTAATACATGTGACGAATTGCAGGCGGAAGGGAAGGGTGCCGAGGGGTCCGACGCCGACAAAGCCGCGGTGCACTTCTGGCGCACACTCCAGATGCTGCGCCGCATCATCACCGAGGACCTAGCGGTGAAGCTGGTCCGCACACCATGGCACCCGTACGTCCAAGGCTCCCTACTCTGCCGGATCCCCCTCTTCCAGCACTGGGCGAAATGGGTCGAGAGGGTCGACACCGAGACGATCAACAAGCGTCGGGACCCGACCCAAATTCAGGAAGAGGTAAGTCGACGACGAACTGGCTGTAGGGCATTCCAAACCACCGAGCGGCTAACGTCTTTGTCCTACCGCTGCAGGAAATCTCTGTCCTCATGGACACCGAGTACTACAACATATCCCTCAAGGCGAAGCTGACAAAGGAGATGGAGCGTGCCGCGAACGAGAAGATTGACTTCCTGGAGGAGCTCGAGAAGCGCGACGACACCATCGCGTCTCTCACCGCCGAGATAACCCGTCTCACCGAGGCACTCCGGGTGTCAGAAGCACGGAGAGTGCCGGAGGCCCCGCTGTGTGCTACCGCGCAAGCTCCCAGCGAGGGTGGCTCGGCGGATTCGGCTAACATGGGAGCCGGCGCCGACGGAGGGGACGACAAACCCCCGCCACCCCCACAGACGGACGTGGAGGCTAGTTACGAGCTCAACGTGGTACAACCGTGGCGGGAGGCCAAGACCGTGAGGGACGCCTGGCGCCTCTGGAACTCCGCCACCGCTAATGACACCCGTCGGCTTCGCGACAGGATGGCCGAGCCGGGGTTCATCGACCGCCACACCCTCCTCGCCGGCGCGACGCAGGGTGCACTCAACAAGAGGGTGCGCCGCATGCTGAAGGTCATGGATGCGGTGCGCCAGCTATGCGCGAGCGACGGCGACGCCGACACCGAGGCCGTGGTCGACACACTGCACAGGATCGCGGCATCGGGCATCGGGACCTTCGCCGATGCCCTCACGGTGCTCAAACCGGGAACGGCACCGATGTTGTCCAAAGAGCCTGGTTTGGGAGTCAAGGGGTTGGGCCCCAAGGTGGTGTTGAAGCTACGCCTCGCCTGTGCGCTTGTGGCGCTCAACTTGAAGCAGAGTGATTGGGTCGAAACCCTGTTTCCAGACACGTGGGAGGAGCAGATGCCAAAGACCAAGGCCGACCTGGCGAAGCCGACGGCCCCGGCCAAGTCGACAGCACCGGCCAAGCCGACCGCTCCGGTGCACCGTCCTCCGACCAAGCGCAAGAAGTCGGCATGATCGCGCCTGTAGGATATGCGTGTGCATAGTTCGATGCTGTTAAGTGTGGCAGATTTGTACACCCCCCCCCCTTCCCCCCCACCCTCTTCCCTTCTTTTTCCAAATGCTGTTCCGGTAGTTTGTAACAACCCACTGCAAGGCCCTTGCGAACCTACTGGGTCCCGCTGTGTTAAATGTAGTCGATCGCTCAGTAAGAAACAAAAATACTATCCTTGCTGACATCTAAACACAGCTCGATGTCGACGTCTCGTAGGATTGCATGTTGCTAGGGTGTCGACATATTCGCCGACAGAACTCGTAGCGGAGTAGCATGTGTCTACGTTCTCTATCATCGCTGCTCGCCGAGTAGCATGTTCCTTTTGATGTCGACATATGCGCCGACAAGGCGCATCGTTCAATGTCGGCTAGCAAGTTTCAATGTGGACAGTGATTTACGAAAAAACAAAAAAGGTTCGTGCCCTACGATACAAAAGTCATTAGAATTACTGCGACATCGGCGCCGTCCATACAATAGTACCCTACACACCACAGCCCGCCAACTACGCATCCGTACTGCCCTTGCCCTGCTTGCCCTTCTTCCTCTTGCTGCTGCCCTTGCTCTGCTTGACCTTCTCCCCCTTCCTCCCCCTGTGATCCATATCGTACTCCATCCTCGCTTCACACAGCACATCGATGCCCTGCGCTTTGAGCTTGGGCCCGGCGACGGGACACATTCCCCAGAACGCCAAGGTCTCGACCGTCGCTCTTGCGATCATGTCGGCCTCGACTTCCTCAACTCCCTTCACGAAGGCCCTGGCCACTGCCTGGCTCTGCAGCGATGGTGCGACGTTATGTGCAACCTCCCCAGCGGGAGCCTGCCTAGTGCGTGCTATGTCGATCACCGCGTGCATCACCTCCTTGAAGTCCTCGGCCCTCGCCTCCCCCACACCTGCCACCATCGCCGCCGCCTTCCCTTCGCCCACAGCACCGAGCACCGACGCCCCCGTCTCCAAGAAGCACCAGATGGCGCATGCCGATGCCGCTAACGCCTGGGCCCCCATCTCCGTCTTCTCGTCCGCCTTCCCCTCCACGCTCGCATCGACCTTCCCAAACGCCGCGCTCGCCGCGACCTTCCCATACGCCGCGCACATCGACACGCGATTTACCATCGCCGACATGAGAGCGTCCGTCTCTTCCTTGCCTTCCTCTGTGTCCTCGATGATGGGGAACCAGATCGCCGGCCAGAGCACGTCATGAAGCGCATCACCCGAACTCGCGTACCCACGGTACCTGCCGAGTATGTCGTCGAACCTGCCGCGCAAACACATTAGAACGACACGACTTCGTCAACATCAGCGTAATGACACGACTTGGTCGACAGAATTCGGCACGTAAGGATCCGTCTTACCGTGCTCTCGGATGGCACAAGCCTCTTGCCCACATCACCGTCCACATCCCCGTCGGCAAGAACTTGACCTCCGCCCACACCTCCTTCCATTTATCCAACTCCCCCAGCTTCAAGACGGTGAGCTCCTTCATGAGCACCTTGCTCACGTAGCCGTCGTAGACGACGAACGCAATCGCGTGCTCGTAGGCCAGCTCCATCTTCTCCCTCGACTTGCCGATGTACCGATTCTGTCCGTTTACCTTAATCTCGCCCACCCACCCTTGCCCGTCGCCAGCCTTGTCTCGGCGGATGCCATGACCCCTGCGTCCATGCTCTTTATCTCCCTCGCCGCCGTCCTCGTCCTCCTCCTCCGCCTTCTCCTTCTTCTTCGCCGGCTTACCCTTGCCGCCCGTCTTGTCCTGCTCCCCTTCCGCCTTCTTCCCTTTCTCTTCCAACATCAACTTCCCCGCAGACATCGCCCGCGGCCTCCTCTGAGAGACCGCCTACCCTTTCCCGTTGTCATCCTTTTCCTTCCGTCCAGCATTTCTCTCGGCGACAGCAGCCGTTGCGGCCGTCTGCTCCGCCGAACCCCCTCCGTGGGTCGCCGACGGCACCACATGCGCCGTGTCTATGATGGCCATAACAGGGGCATGCTCGGGGCGCTTTGCTGCCTCAAAATGGGCCATGAAGACAGCGAGGACGGCATGCTTGTCTGCGCGGCCGCCGGTGGCGAACGCTGCACTCACTCCCTTCTCCGCCACCACATCGACCACAGATGCACCTGGTGTGGGTGTGATCGCGTTTACCGACGTCGGCGTCGCGCTTTTGCCGAGTTCCGGCAGGGTCACTAACGGAGCAGCCGCTTTGCGTGCGCCTAAATGGGAGCGAAGAAAAGCGGACTTGGGGTCCGCAGGCGGTGGGGCAGCCACCGGAGGCGCGGCAGGTGGGGCACCGGACGACTTGCCAGCAACCTGCGTAGTGACGGAGCGACATGCTGTTCCAGGAAGGCCGGCGTCGACCACGGGATGCTGCTGCACGTCCCTGCTATGTGCCTCCATGCGGCGGAGCATCTCTCTGAGCGCGGTACCACCGGGGGGGCCTTAGCTGATGCCACGGCATCACCCTTAGCCGAAGCAGCCTTCGCGACGCCCTTGGCGGCAGCCGGGGCTGCTGGAGCTGGAGCAGCCTCCCCATCTTTGTTCGCACCTGACTGGCCGGCAGGCGCGCTGGTAGCCGCAAGGGGGTTACAGGGACTCGACTTGGTGGTGCCGGCAACCGTAGCAGAAGCAGGCTTGGCCGCCGCCGCGACGGACGGTCCCTTGGTGGTTCCGGAGTCGCCATCATTCGCCGCCTGAGCAGTTGGCACCTCCTTGTCGGTCACGCCTTTCCCACCGCTCGGCTGAGGATGGGTCTGCTCGGCGACCAAAGGCGGGCCAGTCAGAGCAGCTACGTTAACGGCAACCCCGTCGGCAGGGCCACCCTCTGCTCCCCCGCTTCCGCCTCCCTTGCTGTGCGACGTCCTTACCACCTTCCACCCCGCCTTCGTCTTCAGCTGGTTGACCACGCTCTGTTGCGCAGGCTTCGACCCGCGGCTACCGTCCGCTCCCTTGCTCCGCTTCAAGCTCTCCTTGTCGTCTCCGTCGCCCGTCCTCTTATGGCCCTTCTTCTCGGCCGTTTTTCTTTGCGCGTTATCGGCGTCATTGGCCGAAGGCGACGACCCACGTCGACCTGGCGCCACAGTGCCGATCATCTCTATCATCATCTTCATCCTGGAAGCAACGAAAGACTGCTGGGTGGCCTCCGTCACCGCCTTCATGATGTCGGCCTTGAACGACTTCAAAAGCTCTTCCAGGATGGCGGGCGGCGTGGGATGAGGCGGTGGCGGCGGCGGCACGGCGAGCCTGGCGGTCACAGCGGTGGCGATGTTGACCTGCGCGGAGGCAAGGTGGTTTGAGACGTACTCTTCCAACCCCTTCTTCGCATCGCCCACCACCGAATCTACGTGTTCGGCCAAGGCGGAGACTGCTACCGCCCGTGCATACGCGACACGACCCTCTGGATTGTCGAAGTCCTCCAACCACTCCGTCGCCTGTTCCGCGAATGTCTTCATCGACTTCCACGCTTCGTCAAAGCTGCCGGTGATGTTGCCCGTGATGGTCTTCGACATGGCCTCCGTCGCGTTTCGCAGCTGTTCCGCGGCATACTTCTCGGTGTCGTCGACCTGCTCGGCCAACCCTTTAACGTGGTCGACGAGTCCACTGACCCCAACAAAAAACCCGTCCAGCCGAGCCCGCTCCGCATCGAGCAACGTCGCCAGCCGAGCGTTCTCCGCCCGCAATAACCAGTTCTCCCGTTGCAGCTCCTCAACGTCGTCCAGTTCAGGGCCCTGCCGACCAGGTGCTTCCCCGGTCTCCTGCACGCCCGTGTTGTTCGCCCCTTCGCCGGCGTTGACCGACACCTTCCCACCTCCCTCGCAGGCCCCCTCATCCTGGCCATTTCCCGTCGTTGCCTCCACGCCGACCTCGCCCTTCTCCTTCCCCACATCTGCCGACCTCGTAGCATTTTCCTCGCCGTCATCCTTCTCTTCCTCATTCCCCTGATCTGCCGACCCCACCGCCTCTTCCGCCGCTCCCGCCTCAACCGTACCCTCTACATACTCCACCACGAGCTCCACCTCTTCATCCCCTCCCTCCCACTTCTCACCATTCTCGTCCTTATTCTCCTCCTCCTCCTCCTCCTCCTCCTCCTCCTCCTCCTCCTCCTCCTCCTCCTCCTCCTCCTCCTCCTCCTCCTCCTCCTCATCCTCCTCCTCCTCCTCCTCCTCCTCCTCGTCCTCGACCTTACGCTTCACCGCCTCGTCTTCCTCCTCCGACTCCGACTCCGACTCAGACGACGACGACGACTTCTCCGTTTCCAACCTTCCTGCACCTGCCTCTGCATCGCCTCCTCCACCGTTTCCACCTTCCCCATGCACCCTCGCGTTCCCCTGATGCTGGGCGGCAACTGCACCTTGGGGCGCCTTCTGTCCTTCCGCGCCGTCGTCATCAATGGCACTGTCGGCGGGTCCGGCGGCTTGAGAAGTCGGTGCCGCGGTGCGTTTTACGGCAATGACCTTGCCGACGTACTCAACCATGCTGTCGCGCAAAGCCTTCAGCCCCTTCATCTCGACGCTCTCGATGCTCACCCCACTACGACCCTTCTCGCCTGTCAGATGGTCGATCTGTTTCGCTACCCACCCGAACGACGTCGCGGAAAGCACGCCGGCACCGACATGCCCGTCCGACACTGTGCCCGGCACTTTCTGCGTACAAGCACGGAACATGATGAGCGGAGCATTCAGAATCGGGCACCCCCCTTACTACTTGAACGTGCAACTCACATCGCGGATAGGGTGGTCGCAGTCGGCCAGCCTGACCTCCACCACTGCTTGTGATGGCGGCGCCCAGTCCCACATCCTACAAGGATGCCCCAGCTCGGCCAGGACAGCCGTGCGGAAGAACCTGAAGCACCGCGGTGGAGGGAGGCGCCAGCGTGTGATACCCTGTGTCGCCGACTAACAAGCGGGTCATCGACGACAATTCAACACTTACTTTAGCACGCGGGCGGCCTCGTCGCGGTGATACCCTTTACCGGTCTACGTGTCGATGTGCCGGATTGAGGTCCTGCACACATGTCCCTCAGCCTTCAAGAGATCTCCAGGGTATAGGATGGCAATGACGCTGCAGTGCGTTCCTGGAAGCGGACCGAGGCTGCACATGCAATTCATGACGGCGTCGATCACAACACCACGCGATGTCGCGACAACAAAAAACGACAACTGATCAACGGTGAAACAACTCACATCGTTCTTAACGGGATAGCGGCGATGTCGGCGTCGAAAACCGTAGCAAAGCATGAATGGTTGGCCTCCTTCATGGCCGATCAAAGTGTGCCGACTCCGATTACCCACAAACGCTGGTTGTCGATCCCAAGTCGGGACCACGCGAACCTGACGGCACGATTGGGCAAGGAGGTTCATACAAGGGCGGTTGAGCAAACGCCGAAAAGTACACAGGGCGACTGCGTGTGGTCGACGCTTCCTAAGGTGGCCGACGTTCCTGGAGGGGGTCTATGCCTAATACCGCGCACGTCGACGTAAATCAGAAGGCCACTGCGCCGACATCAACACTAACCCTGTTTAGTCGGCGCCGACTACTCGAGTCCTACCTGATGCCGAAACCCAAACATCCGTCGTTGAACTCTATCTTGTGGTTGCGAAGAACTAAGAAGCCTTCCCACTGTAGAGTGAAGCTGAGACTACGACCCATTGGGTGACGAAGAGGGAAGTCAGCCGAAGTCGGCGCCGAGTTATCGACGTCGGGGCTAGGGTCCATATCGACTAAGGGGAAGTGATATCACGATAGCCGCACAGAGCTACGAAAGGAGGAAAAAAGGAGAAAAGGAGGAGCGAAACGAGATGCAGAAAATGGGGAGCGAGGCCACCATCCACAAAGAAAAGGAGACGGTGGCCCACCGCATCCCCGTTCAGCGTCGCCCAGGGGTGTGGGGCCTGGCTCGGCAGGGCTCTGAGGGCGCATGCGCAAGTGGGACAGGTGGTCCGACTCCGCTTCGGCGGGGCGTCGACCTCGCGTCCATTGGCCCAGGTCGGCGAGGGGACGCGATTTCGCATGCGCGAGGAGCGTCCATTCGCACGACACGTGTCGAATTCGTAGCGGGTAACGAACCTCGTTCTCCGCGTTGCGGGATTTTCTTTTTCGCTCGCATCGAAATATCGCATGCGCCCGATGCGAAACCACGAGCGAACACGTGGCGTCACCGCAACGGGTCGCGAAATTGTCGAGCGTCCCGAGGGGGCCCCGAGTTTTCGCCCGGCCCTTGCCTGCCCGTCCGGGCAGGCCGCGATGGGTTACTAGGACCTCGCGGGCAGGTGGCACGTGTGGGCTGCCTTCGCGCGAGGGTAATTTTCCCACGCGCGAGGTGTCGCCAGTTCGCCGACCCCACCCGGTAACGTGGGCCGCTGTTCACTTTCGGAGCGGGGCTGCGGGGCGGCGGTCGTGCGCTCGGCCTAGCCCTGGGCCAGGCTGGCAGGCCCGCACGCGCATCAGTCGCCCGCCTCGTCATTCTCGGCTCCGACGACCCCCTTCGACGACACTGGCAAAACCGTTCTGACGACCGAATTCCGATGAGGCTTTCGGCCAGGTTGCCACTTGAGGGAAATCGAGAAATGCATGAGCCCCAGCCCTCTCCCTTTACGTTGCGAAAAAACTGTAGTCGATCGGTTTTCGCGAGTAATTTCCGCCTCACACAAACAACCCCCTCTCATTTCGCATAAAGCATTTGCGTCTTCGCGATTTTCAGTCACCTGCGGTGCCTGGCACAAACCTGGGATTCTCATTGCGCGTTTGCGGGAAACAATGCGTCCACTGAATACACCACCTTCAGCCAATCACTCCCCACTATCACGCCCAAGCCAATCAGCACCACCTTCAGCCAATCACTCCCCACTATCACGCCCAAGCCATTCCCCCCAGTGCCTACATCCAACTACTATTGGTCTTGAGAAGAGCCTGCTCGCCGCCTCCAGACAGATGTTCGGAGGTCAACCAGCGGCAACCAAATGTCATACTGCAATGCAGCAATGCCCCCACGTCCCTTTCCCCGCATATCCCGTTCCGTGCCATCCCAAAAGTTCAATTCTTGAGATGGAGCTCAGGTTGCTGGAAGTGGCGTGTTGGCCGAAACTGCCGACGACGACAACCGTTGCAAGTGTTCGCGTCTTTGGGGGGGGGGGGGGGGGGGGGGGGGGTGCATGGCTGCAAACAGGACCCAGTTCGTCGATAGGCTATTGCGGCCAGCAATAACCCGTTGGGATCAAGTGGACATATCGCACCGACAAATTATCATAGGCTGTCGCCAACAGGCTATCACTCATTGCCTATCACTACTTGGGGGTGTCTGAAGTGAAACGTCGACGGACGCCACAGTTTTGTCAGGGAATGTCGGCGAATTTCCACCCTCGGATCGAGCTTTCCGACCGTCAAGATTCATCGACATCCCTCAAAGACTCGTCAAGGGATGTCGACGTTCACTTCAGATCAGACACCCCCTTATCATCAAAGGTTCATACTGTACGCGCCCGGTCGGAAAAACACGGGCGAATGCGCGATCACCCCCGCCAGCTCGCTTCCGCCAGCTAGCGCGTCTGGTGGGTTCGAAATCCACCAGATGAGGCACCTGGTGGATTCGAACCCACCAGGGCTCGGATGGACTCCGAAAATTGTTGCTAACATGTGTCCTTTCCGCTTATCATTTAATCTCGTATCAGATGCTCTAGCACAACCTCTAGCTACCACGTCCCAGGCACCATGATCCAACTTACTACCAGCAAGTTCGTCAGCAAGTGCTGCTTTAGCCACAACCACTTCGTCTCGCGCAAGGCTCTCCAGACCTTACTACCGCCTCGCTCTCCTGCTTCTCGCGTGTGGCCTCGTTTTAATCTTCGCGCCTTGGGTCAGTACCCGGCTCAATCGCGATGTCCAAGTTTGTGAACGCCTAGACTTGGCTGGTAAGGTGTTCGAGTTTCACAGGCGCCAGCTGCTCTCGCCACAGTCGCCGCCATCATTGACCTCGTTACAGTCAGCTTCAGAATCTGTAACTTGGTTACTGTCCACGTTCGCCAGATCCGTTTTCAGGGCGTTCCTTACTTCGGCACAGCCTCGTCAGTCGACTGGTTCCACAGCAAGGAACGTCGACGCTGCATCTTGAGCTATTAACGCATCGGCATTAACGGGTTACACTGTATTGAGTCCTCTGCATCTGCGTCGCCACGTCAGACGAGACTACTTTGAGCCAAATGTCGCACTCCAGGACGCGACACGTGGCAGCAACAGAAAGCGAAGTCAAACGGCGGGGGATGATCAAAAGAGCGACCGAAACAGTTTCAATGTCGACAGCGACGGGAGTACTACTAGCAGCAAGAGCGCAAACAATCAACTGGAAGTCTGCGTGGCTATAGCTTCGATGCCACGTGTCTTTCCTGAAAAACGCAAGCTGCGACCGTGGTACTTCCCTGTGTCTCTTCTCGATATGCTGGAACGGCGACGATCGCCGTCTAACGTTCCCAGCGGCTTTAAAGACATGAAAGTCGTGGTCTACAACTCGGGCTGCAACGAGAAACGGAAAATTCTACAGTGCCTCAAGAAACAAGCCGTCGCGTCAGAAGCCAGCGCTTCGGAGGAGGACCCGCGGCCTCATGAAGGAACGACTACGACGACTACAAGCTTGTTGAAAGGACCGACCCTACGCCACGTGGAATCAGCTACCGAGCCGGTACTACCAACTCATCTGGGCGACTTGGAAGAACGAAAAAAGACGATGGGAGTTCTGCATGAGAAAGTCCTAAGAATGGCTGGACGAGAATCTTCATTGAATGTAATGGTGTTTCTATCCCGCCAAGATGCGTGCGACTTCGTTCAGGAAGACGAGGAGGTGTTGCGGAAGTTCGGCGTGACAGACGAGATGGTCGGCGCCGACGGCTGGGAATCTTGGCGATGGCGAACGAAGCTGGTAATGGATTTCGTCTACGTGATGCGACAGGGCATGGCGACGAAACCGAAATACATCCTGCTGCTGCAAGACGACACAAGGCCAGCCCGCCTCTACGACATCGGTATCGAGAAATTCATAAACGAAGATTTGAAGGATAAGGAGTGGACAGTCCTATCCCTTTACTATCCCGAATCGTACTTTTGGGAATATAAGCATGGCGGGGAAATATCTAATTCCATGCTGCGCTCAGGCCCTGCTCTTCAAAGTATCGGCGCTCGAAGACCTGCTAGGGTTTGTGGAGAAGCGATTCGTCGAGGCTGTAACACCTCGCTACCCACAAGGTCAAAACGAGGGTTGTAATTGAGGCGCAGCGGATGCTCTCATACCCTTACGTGTAAGCCCCACAGGCGTTACACTCGTCCCCCCCTGGAGCCAACGTCCTCGTTGGGCAGGGAGTCGGCCCTCGCAAGGACCTGAATCTCGCTCTACAATGACTTCGCTGGTGGGCCAGGCCAGCGGCGGATCGTTCACTGGGTTCACGACTGGCACAATCACATGTGACCCAGCCGGGAATTGAATCCCAGGCTCTGATACCAAATGTAACACCTCGCTACCCACTGGGTCAAAACGAGGGTTGTATTTGAGGCGCAGCGGATGCTCTCATACCCTTACGTGTAAGCCCCACAGGCGTTACAAGGCTCCTATGGATTGGCTGCTAAACAAATACCTAACTACTAGCGCCAATCGGACGGGATACGTGCACGTGCCGTCGCTATTTCAACACGTCGGCTATGTGCGGACCAAAGCGTCAGGAGTCTCTTCGCGCCCTCATTGTGACCGGCAATTTCGAGACGACTATGTAGTTAATGTACTGGCGGGAGCTGACCCAACTGATATTATCGGAAATGCAGACTACGGGGACGACAGCGGGAAGTATTTCGGGGAAAGCAGGGCAGAGGCGGAACTTCAAGGCATACCAAGCACGAGGTAATCCGATACAATTATATGAGACTACATTATTGTTAGGATTTACCTAACCTTAGCGAGGTCATCCAGAGGGCCACGCGACCCACTGGCTCGGCCTACATTTCCTCATCCAAACCTCACCAAGTCGCCTCCGCACCAATCGCAAGCCATCCTTTGCTGACCTCCCCGCATAGCTAGGTTTTCCCCTATTAAGGCCTTGCTACTTTCTTTGTATCGTATCGGCATTCTGTATTTCTTATTCTCGTTATTCATTATTCTGCGCGCTTTGCAAGTTAATTTAGAAGCATAACAATGTATATTGACGAGTTTACATGCCATTTTAATCCTGTCGTGAGCTTAGGTTGACGATTTGTGCAGTGAGGGTACTTAGAAGACTGGATATCATACGGTATGTACAGAAATAGAGCCGTAATCTCAGACACGATAATCACAGATTCAATGTGCTCTATGATACTCGTATAACGTGGTTCGCTGACGGGGTTGACGGCAAGCTGCATATATGACTGCTTCCATGCGCTGAGCTGTTACTTCCTGACCTGCATATTTCAAAAATAAGGACGAACGAAAATGGTGTGCTTGTAGGTTGGTAAATGGTGCAGAGGACAGGCTGGGCAACAAAAGAGCGGTGTGGTGGCGGAGAAGGGAGGAGGGGGGGGGATAAGCGGCAGAAAGGGAGTGCAAGAGGAAAATAATTACACACCGCAACAAACCACAGCTTCACGCACCATGTACTGCTCCAGCCGCCCGTGTGATGCTCTCATTCATCAGTGTGCCACCCACGTCATTGCAACCAGCCGCTAGCAGACAAGAAACGCCCTCCAATCCCATCTTTACCCATGAGGCCTATTGGGTGGAGGTAAGGGTGGAAGGAGGCACATGCACACCGCACATTAATCCATCCATAGTTTGAATCAATGTGTATGTGCATATGTGTGCACGTGCATGTGCGTGTGCATGTGCATGTGTGCTTGTGCATGTCTGGATGTGCATATAAATGCGTGCACGTGCATGTCCGCATGTGCATATGGATGTGCATACGCATGTGTGCATGTACATGTGCACGTACATCCCTCACCTGGATGTTCGTAATGAGGGGATGCAGCACCAGTCGACCCACAGCGTGCATCAGCACACACTCTCTGAACGTGGGGCCTCGCCTGCTCCTTCCTTTGAGATACACTGGCGCCTGGGGGAAAGAGTGTAAGGAGGAGGAGCGAAGGAAGTGGGATGGCCTTTCGCTTCACAGTTGCTTCACAGTTGTGCAGGTGAAAAAGGGGTTGGGGAGAGAAGAGCTTTGAGTTGCTTCAGAAGGGGCTGCTGCTACCCATGAATACACAGACGCCTGGGGAGGAGGGGTGATTACAGGGAGGGGGGGCGGGGGAAAGGAGGGGATAATGAAGGGAGGAGAGGGTGAGGAGGTGGGGGAGGGTATGATGCCAAGGAGGGAAAAGGCACAGGGATGATGTGACTCTGCTACTGCACCTGATCAGATCCAACCATACGTACATACATACACATGTACGAAAGTAAACGTAGATATCCATGCACATTTTACATACATCCATCCATGTGTAAATGCATGCATCCATCCATGCATGTGTACATGTACATGCATGCATTCATCCATGCATGTGAACATGCATGTGAACATGCATGTGTGCACGTCCCTACCTGCATGTGCACGAATGGCAGGGGGACGAATTCCGTGATGCCACCTGTCCGCTCCTGAATGGACCGCAGCAGCAGCAGGTGCCGAGCCCTGAGAGGCATGGGAAGGGTGGGTGGAGGGCTGGCGTTTTAGTTGACTAAGAAATAGTCTCCTGAATGGGCCGCAGCAGCAGCAGGTGCCGTGCCCTGAGTCGCACAGGGAGCTGAGGGGGGGGGGTGGTGGGGATTGGGGAGGTGGAGGGATGGAAAGGGGGCAAAGGGCGGAAGGAGTGGAGAACTGGGTGGAAGTCAAGGGAATGTTTCCAAGAGCTTTATGAGGTGGTTACCAGGTGGTTACGAGTGAATGGGATGGTCCACGTGGCCGAACATGATGGTGGTGGTGGTGGTGGGACGCCTAGCAACATTCTCAACTCCCAGAGTCTGAGTAAGGTTACCAAGTGAGGGCAGGTTGACACCAGCTACCATGTGGTTACCAGGTGGTTACCAGTGGATGGGATGACCCACGTGGCCAAACATGATGGTGGAGGTGGTGGGGAGGTTGACAGCATCATCAATCACGGAGTAGAGTCTAAGTACGGTTACCAGGTGAGAGACGGTTACCAGGTTGCTAATAGGTGGTTACCAGTGAATGGGATGGTCCACGTGGCCGAACATAATGGTGGAGGTGGTGGGAAGGCCGACAGCATGAACACCCCAGGATTTTTACGTAACGTTACCAGGTGAGAGCACGTTCTTTCCAGGGAACGTGTGGTTACCACATGGTTACCAGGTGCTTTACCAGTGGATGGGATGGTCCACGTGGCCGAACATGATGGTGGAGGTGGTGGGGAGGCCCACAGCATGAGCGGCCTCGATCACCTCCCTCCACTGGACGGTTGAGATCTTATCTGGGCACAGCACTGCTCGCACTGAGTCGTCCAAGATCTACAGCGGTGGAGAGGGGTGGGTTCGAAGGGTGGAGAGGGGTTGGAGGGGGTGAGAGGAGAGGGGTTGGGTTTAAAGGAGTGGAGAGGGGTTGGACAGGGTGACTGGAGAGGGGTGATGGCCAGGCCAAAAGCAGGAAGAAGGGAAGAAAGTGCGTCAACAATATTGCGGAAATAAACCCCAGTCGTGATACGAGACTGTAACCTGTTTTTGAGTCGACTCAAAAACAAATGAATCAACTAGATTGCGGAAATAAACCCCAGACGTGATACGAGACTGTAATATCACCACGCGAGGTCTTCACGCCTGGCGTGGTATTCTTCTCTTCTCACCTCGGCAGCTGTACCAGGCAGGAATCCTAGGCCTGCATTGCTAGGGCGATGGGGTGACCTTTGAGTCGACTCAAAAGTCACCGGGCAGGAATCCTAGGCCTGCATTGCTAGGGCGATGGAGGAAGTGTGTGGACTCTGGTATTCTGCTCACCTCAGCAGCCGTTCCAGGCAGAGAACCCAGACCCGCATCCTTCAGGAGCTTGAGAAATTGCGGCACGCTGCGGTGTGTGCATTGGGGAAAGGCGACAGAGGCGCAAAGGATAGGAGGGAGCAGGGTTTAAAAGAGAAGAAGGGAGAGAATTTCAAGTCAACTCAGAAAAAAAAAGGGAAAAAAAGAAAGGGACAGTGAGGCATGCGCATGGGGGGAAGATGACAGAGGGGCGAAGGAGGGAACAAAAATCGACTGGCCTGATGCTTTCGTCACAGAAGATATGAGCGCTGCACAGTTTTTTTTTGTTTTTTTTTGTTCTTTTGTTTTTTCCACAAGCACTCGTGGTCTTCGAGATCTCGAAGAAGTCGAAGCACATGAAGCATATGCATGCATGTCCACAGCACAGTGAAGGGAACATGGGTTTTTTCTTTTCTTTTCTTTTTCTTTTTTGTGAACAGCATACATACATCCATCCACACGCGTACCTGCAGTTGAGGGATGTGGCACCATGCCACACCTCCAGAGGCGAGAAGGCATGCACGTGCATGTCGGGACATGCTGCCTTGACAGCCGAGAGGATGGAGAGGTAGGTCTCCCCTGTGAAGTCCGGGTGTATGCCTCCCTGGGGGGTAAGAATTGGGGCACACAGGGATAGAGAGACAGGGGAGCACGAGGGAGGAGAGGCAGGGCCTTCGAGGCTTGACGATGGGGAGGTGGAGAGGTAGGTTTCTCCTGTGGAGTCCGGGTGCATGCCTCTCTGGGGCCTGGGGACGGGGGCAAGGTTAGGGTGCAGAGGGGGCAATGAGGGAGGAGAGGCAGTGCCACAACGATTTTCAAGTCGACTCGGAAATCGTCTCATCTGCACAACTTGATGAAGGCTTCTAGGAAGTTTTTGAGAAATCTCAAAATCTACCTGCAAGATGAAGGCTTCGAGGGCTACGATCGAATGAAGACTACATTAGAATTGATTTTTTTTTATCTAAGCATGCTCCCAATGCTCATACCTGCATGCAGACCTCTGTTGCGCCTCTCTCCCATGCCTCCTTGGCTCGACTGCTGATCTCCTCTAGAGACATTCTGCCACGTGGCATGTGCACAGTGCATGTAACGTGGAACAGAATGCATGTGGCATTGCAGCACATGGTATGAGATGACTGGGCAGGCATGAGAGAAAGAAAGGCAGCATTGCAAAGATGACGTGGCATGACATGACAGCATGGCAACATGACGTGGCATGACAGCACGAAAAGGCACAATCGCAAGGGGGTGGTCTCACAGGTATGGCTTGCCCCTTAGGCGCTCGGCTGATCTCCCCTTGCTGCATGAAAGGTAGAGGCAAGCGAGGGAGGCAAAGGGAGGAAGACGAAACAAAAGCCAAGATGCCACTTAGCATAGAAGCACGCAGAGGGCAGGCAATGGGGTCGATGCATCGTGGAGTGGTGCATTGCACTGACTGAGGTGACTTCTAAGTCGAATCAGAATTCACCTCGTTACAATCACAAGCGACATACAGGCAATGGGGTCAATGCAATGTAGAGAGGCATGCAACGAATGGGCGATGCAGGGAAAGCCCATGTGGTCCAAGTGTTTGAGACGCCTTGCGTGACTGCTACTACTACTATCCCATGCACATGTCACATTTTTTAGGAGACTCAAAATCAGAGAAGGCCCATGTGGTCCAAGCGTTTGAGGTGTCCTGTGCGACTGCTACTATCATATGCATGCCCGACGTGGCAGCTTGTCATACATGTCAACCATGGCAGCTTGCCGTACGTACCTGAAAGCGCAGAACTGGCAGGCATAGGTGCACACGTTGGTGTAGTTGATGTTGCGGTTCACCACGTACGACACCACGTCACCGCTCACCACCGCTCTCAGCCCATCTGCAGCGCGGCACACCGCATGGAAGTCAGTGCCGCGTGCAGAGAAGAGCCGAACTATCTCCGTCTGATGTGTAATGGGGCATCATGACACATCAGCAGCATACCAGTCAATCACATTGTAACTTCTGAGGCACCTCTAAAGTTGCACACAAACAGGATATCAGTTGCTGTGCAGAAAGTGAACGACCACAACATGAGGTGCATGGGGTGCATGGGGTGCATGAGGTGCATGAGGTGCATGGGGTGCATGAGGTGCATGGGGTGCATGGGGTGCATGGGGTGCATGGGGTGCATGGGGTGCATGAGGTGCATGGGGTGCATGGGGTGCATGGGGTGCATGGGGTGCATGAGGTGCATGGGGTGCATGGGGTGCATGAGGTGCATGGGGTGCATGGGGTGCATGGGGTGCATGGGGTGCATGGGGTGCATGAGGTGCATGGGGTGCATGGGGTGCATGGGGTGCATGGGGTGCATGAGGTGCATGGGGTGCATGGGGTGCATGGGGTGCATGAGGTGCATGGGGTGCATGGGGTGCATGGGGTGCATGGGGTGCATGAGGTGCATGGGGTGCATGGGGTGCATGGGGTGCATGGGGTGCATGAGGTGCATGGGGTGCATGGGGTGCATGAGGTGCATGGGGTGCATGGGGTGCATGAGGGTGCATGGGGTGCATGGGGTGCATGGGGTGCATGGGGTGCATGGGGTGCATGAGGTGCATGGGGTGCATGGGGTGCATGGGGTGCATGGGGTGCATGGGGTGCATGGGGTGCATGGGGTGCATGGGGTGCATGAGGTGCATGGGGTGCATGGGGTGCATGGGGTGCATGGGGTGCATGGGGTGCATGAGGTGCATGGGGTGCATGGGGTGCATGAGGTGCATGGGGTGCATGAGGTGCATGGGGTGCATGGGGTGCATGAGGTGTATGGGGTGCATGGGGTGCATGAGGTGCATGGGGTGCATGGGGTGCATGGGGTGCATGAGGTGCATGGGGTGCATGGGGTGCATGAGGTGCATGGGGTGCATGGGGTGCATGGGGTGCATGGGGTGCATGGGGTGCATGGGGTGCATGAGGTGCATGGGGTGCATGAGGTGCATGGGGTGCATGGGGTGCATGGGGTGCATGAGGTGGATGGGGTGCATGGGGTGCATGGGGTGCATGGGGTGCATGGGGTGCATGAGGTGCATGGGGTGCATGGGGTGCATGAGGTGCATGGGGTGCATGGGGTGCATGGGGTGCATGGGGTGCATGGGGTGCATGAGGTGCATGGGGTGCATGGGGTGCATGGGGTGCATGGGGTGCATGAGGTGCATGGGGTGCATGAGGTGCATGGGGTGCATGAGGTGCATGGGGTGCATGAGGTGCATGGGGTGCATGGGGTGCATGGGGTGCATGGGGTGCATGGGGTGCATGAGGTGCATGAGGTGCCTATCGAATCAACTCAAAATTCACGTCGCATGAGGCACAGGAGAAACTAACGATGCACATAGACTCACCTCAGACAATGTGCGTCCCTCCAGCAATATTGAAGTCGCTTTTAAGAAATCTCATAAGTGACTCGTATGAGGTGCAGGAGAAAAGGGGCAGGAGAAAAGGGGCACTAGAAAAGGGGCAAGAGAAAAGGGGCAAGAGAAAAGGGGCAAGAGAAAAGGGGCAAGAGAAAAGGGGCAGGAGAAAAGGGGCAGGAGAAAAGGGGCAAGAGAAAAGGGGCAGGAGAAAAGGGGCAGGAGAAAAGGGGCAAGAGAAAAGGGGCAGGAGAAAGGGGCAGGAGAAAAGGGGCAAGAGAAAAGGGCCAGGAGAAAAGGGGCAGGAGAAAAGGGACAAGAGAAAAGGGGCAAGAGAAAAGGGGCAGGAGAAAAGGGGCAAGAGAAAAGGGGCGATGCATATAGACTCACCTCAGACAACAAGCGTCCCTCAAGAGCTCGTTCAAGAGCGCGCGCCACGTCGTCGCTTGCTCGTGCCACGTCATGCATTCGCATAGCCTTGTCACTCTGTGTACTTTCCACGTCATCAACTTCCACGTGGGCACGTCTATCCGTCCCGGTCAGCAGTCCATCTGCATCTACAGCTATACATCCCCCTCTGCTGAAATCCTTTGGTTCTGCTGCTTCTGCTGTTTCTGCTTCTGCTGCTGCTGCCGCTGTTGCTGCTGCTTCTGCTGCGTCTGAATCTCCTCTTGCTGCTAATCCTGCAGCTGCTCCCAGCAAGCCCTCTGCACCTGGTGGCAGGGGCAGCAGCGTCCCAGGCGCCCACTGCTGGCACCTCGCATAGCCAGAGCTGTCTGAGAGTTGTAGAATGTGGGGAAGGACCATGGGGTCCTGGTGGCAGGGAGACAGGGCCGTAGACAGGGGCAGAGACAGGGGCAGAGACAGGGGCAGAGACAGGGGCAGAGACAGGGGCAGAGACAGGGGCAGAGACAGGGGCAGAGACAGGGGCAGAGACAGGGGCAGAGACAGGGGCAGAGACAGGGGCAGAGACAGGGGCAGAGACAGGGGCAGAGACAGGGGCAGAGACAGGAGACTTAGATGCTGCTGCTGCTGCTGCTATTAAGCCCTCTGCACCAGGTGGCAGGGGCAGCAGTGTTCCAGGCGCCCACTGCTGGCACCCCGCATAGCCGCAACCGTCTGAGTGCTGGAGGATGTGGGGAAGAACCACGGGGTCCTGGAGGCAGGGAGAGACAAAGTGAGGGCAGCAGGGACACAGTGAGGGGCTGCTACAAGCAAGCCCTCTGCACCAGGCGGCAGGGGCAGCAGCGTCCCAGGCGCCCACTGCTGGCACCCCGCATAGCCGCAACCGTCTGAGTGCGGGAGCACGTGGGGAAGGACCACGGGGTCCTGGTGGCAGGGAGGGAGGGGGGACAGGGAGCAGCAGAGACAGGAGGGAATCGGCATGCACTTGCGGCCTCAGACCCCTTGCGGTTCAAGAGGAGTTGATCTGGGTTCGTTGACCCACGGTGTGGTTGTGTGCACTGGGTGGCAGGCAAGGGCAGCAGCGTTCCAGGCGCCCACTGCTGGCACCTTGCATAGCCTGATCTGTCTGAGAGTTGCAGGACGCAGGGAAGGGCCATGGGGTCCTGGTGGCAGGGAGGGCGGGCGAGATACAGAGGCAGGGACAGGAAACTTAGGACGCTGGAGCAAGGCATTCGAACCAGGTGGCAGGGGCAGCAGCGTTCCAGGCGCCCACTGCTGGCACCTTGCATAGCCTGATCTGTCTGAGAGTTGCAGGACGCAGGGAAGGGCCACGGGGTCCTGGTGGCAGGGAGGGCGGGCGAGATACAGAGGCAGGGACAGGAAACTTAGGACGCTGGAGCAAGGCATTCGAACCAGGTGGCAGGGGCAGCAGCGTTCCAGGCGCCCACTGCTGGCACCTTGCATAGCCTGATCTGTCTGAGAGTTGCAGGACGCAGGGAAGGGCCACGGGGTCCTGGCAGGCAGGCAGAGGGCGGCAGGGAGAAGGAGAGGCTGGGAAACGGACATGGATTCACGGCTGCAGGAGAGGATGTGGATCTACATGGAAAACGAATGTGGATCCGCTCATGCCCAGGGGAGTTGACTTTTGAGTTGACTCCAAAGTCAACGGCTGCAGGAGAGGATGTGGATCTACATGGAAAACGAATGTGGATCCGCTCATGCCCAGGGGAGTTGACTTTTGAGTCGACTCCAAAGTCAACGGCTGCAGGAGAGGATGGAAAACGAATGTGGATCCGTTCATGCCCAGCCCAGGGGAGGGACGGCAGGGGGCAGGGGCACCAGTGTTTGCAAGGCCATTGCTGACCAGACCAGACACGTGGCACCATATTCATCACCCACGTGTCACCTTTCTCACCAGCCACGTGTCTTGGTTGTGCAGTGACAGAAAGGTGGGGTAGACCGGCAGGCGAGGCACGAGAACCTTCCCAGAAGCTGCAGTGACTGCCGCCAGCTCGTGAACGTGCGGCCAGGGGGCCTGAGAGGGCGGACGAAGCGAGGGGGGGTGGGGGGAGGGGGGTGGGGGGCGGAGGGAGAAGGGTGAGCAAGAGACAGTGTTGACCTGGTCAACAGTACCTTGGCACCCAGTAACTCACGATCAGGAAGGAAGGCTTTTTGGAGCCGAAACTAGTTTACAGTAGCACCCTTAGCACCCTTGGAAATATGGCCTCCGCAGCCCACCTGTTCTACTTCGACAGTTCAACAGTACCTTAGCACCCAGTAACTCACGATCAGGAAGGAGGCTCTTGCAAGTCCAAAAGTACCTTCTTAGCCCTACACTCAGCAGCGCCTCACCTCAGGGTTGACCCAGTCAACTGTGACTGGAGAGATCCCTCCCCAGTCGTTGATCCCCGCTGCTATGAGTGCACTCTGAGCCAAGTCCCCCGCACTGCCACACACCGCAAAACGGGGAGGAAAAATGGGGTAAGGGGCTTTATAATTACAAAGAGACCGGCTGTTAGTGGCGAGATCCCTCCCCAGTCATTCATCCCCGCTGCTATGAGTGCACTCTGAGCCAAGTCCCCCGCACTGCCACACACCACGAGGTGGGGGTGAGATGGAAGTTACTTTTGTAGAATTGTCGAACGGAAGTCCACTCTCCTCTGCTCACTTCTTCTCTCTGTCACTCACCTCAGGTTGGGCGGCGACTGGATGCTTATATGAGCACCAAACACGATTTTCGCCATCGTCACACTCCACGGCACCTCCTCTGCTTCTGCATGGCCCCATTCCCCCTCGTCCGTGTGTGTGTGTGTGTGTGTGTGTGTGTGTGTGTGTGTGTGTGTGTGTGTGTGTGTGTGTGCGTGCTGTCCCCTCACCTCAGGTTGGGTGGAGACTGGATGCTCATATGAGCCCCAAACATGATTCTCGCCATCGCCACGCTCCACAGCAGCTCCTCCACTTCTGCATGGTCCCACCCCCCCATCCTCGTCTGCTCCTTGGCTCGGAACGGCTGAATGATCATCTCCTGTATGTGCCCGTAGCGGGAGTGAAGGTCTCGAAGTGTTAGCAGGTCTCTTAATCTGTCGGCCCTTGTCTCGCCTATACCCACAAGGAGACCGCTTGTAAAGGGTATACGGGCAGCACCTGCAGAGCGCGATGAGTGAGAAGAGGGTGAGCAAAGAGTGAGAAGGTGTGAGGGGAGAAAATGGCTGGATGATCAACCGTCCCATCCTCGTCTGCTCCTTGGCTCGGAACGGCTGGATGATGATCTCCTGTATGTGCTTGTAGCGGGGGGGGTGTAGGTCCCGTAGGGTTAGGTGAAAGCAATGGAGGGGGGAAATGGCTGGATAATGATCGCGTGTATGTGCCCGTAGCGGGGGGAGGGTAGGTCCCGTAGGGTTAGGTGAAAGCAATGGAGGGGGGAAATGGCTGGATAATGATCGCGTGTATGTGCCCGTAGCGGGGGGAGTGTAGGTCCCGTAGGGTTAAGAGGTCCCTTAGTCTGTCGTTCCTTGACTCGCCTATGCCCACATAGAGACCGCTGGTAAAGGGTATGCGAGCTGCACCTGGTGTGAGAGTATGGGTCAGAGAGAAGTGCAGGAGTGTGAGGGGAAGTGAAGAGGGGATGAGAGACGCTTGTCCTGCCTGTACTTTGCTGCACCGCACCCTACACATTTCACTAGGACCTCTTACACTACACATTTCCCATCAACCTCGCCCGCAGCCTCGATCGTTGTCAGGCTGGCGCTCGGCTCCTTATCCGGACACCCCCACACAGTGCGCTCCATCAGGCTTCAAGTCAAGCTACACTGTCCTTCTGCCTGTGCGCCCCAGTGCGGTGCTCTCTTTGCATCATCAGGCAACCTCTCACCCTTTGCCCCGACAAACTCTCCAGAAACCGCGATTGTTGACAGCCTGACTGACGCTCGGCTCCTTACCCTCCTGCCTCCATGCACCTCACCCTCTGCTGAACACCCTTTTCCTTCATCAACCCACCAGCGGCCTCAATCGTTGCCAGTCTCACACTCGCCTTCTTATCTGGTCTGGCCACCCCCACTGCGCACCACCGGGCTTCACCACTCAGCAATCAAATGCCCTCCTTCCTTCCTGGACCTCACCTTCCATTGAGCATCCATCACCTCACTTAACTCACCAGCAGCTTCGATTGTTGCCAGCCTGGCACTCGGCTCCTTATCCGGACACCCCCAGTGCGCCCCCCCACCAGGCTGCATCAGCCCCTCTGCACTCCCTTACAGTAATCAACTCACCAGCAGCTTCAATCGTTGCCAGCCTGGCACTCGGCTCCTTATCCGGACACCCCCAGTGCGCCCCACCGAGCTTCACCGTACCCTCTGCTCTGCACTACTCCCAGACGCCCACAAGCCTTGCCAACTCACCAGCAGCTTTGATTGTAGCCAGCCTCACACTCGCCTCCTTATCTGGACATCCCCAGTGGGCCCCACCGGGCTTCATCAGCCCCTCGGCCGTGCTCTCCAGCATCAGCCCCTGGCTGGCCGCCACGTGGCGCAAAAGGACAAGGTCTGCCGCCCCCATGGTGCCTGCGTTGACGTGTGGAAGGAGACCGGTGCACTGTAGCACTCTGGCTGCTAAATGGGCGACGTAGTGTATGGTAGAGGCGAATCCCAGCTCCTGCAGCTGGAAACAAAATTTTATGGGAACAGGTGCAGTGCAGGGGAGGAATTGGAACAGCATTTAACATTACTGTAACAGTCTGGCGGTTAGGTGTGCGACGTAGGTTAGGTGTGCGACGTAGGTTAGGTGTGCGACGTAATGTATGGTGGAGGCGAATCCCAGCTCCTGCAGCTGGAATGACATAGGAATTGAAAGGACACATGGGGTTAGGGGACTGAACAGCACTGTGCACTGTTCACTCTGACGGCTAGGTGGGAAACCCGTAAAATGGTAAGGGAAAAAGAGATATTGACTGACCTCTTTCCTCGCCTCCTCATATCTCAGCTCTGGTTTATCACCCAGAGTAAACAGAGCCTCCACACACCCGACCGCAGCTCCGGCCCGAGCCACTTCCAGCACCTCAGCTTCGGTCATGTACACGCGCCGAACCTGATCCGGAGGCTTGGCAAAGGTGCAGTAGGCGCATGTGTCCCTGCAGAGGAATGTGACTGGAATGAAGACCTTGGGCGAGAATGTGACTATATGGGGGTCCTCTCGCTGGTCGCGGATTGTTGTAGCGGCTGAAATGAGCATTTCAAGTGGGAGGGAGGAGATGAAACGGGCCTCTGCTGCTGTAGGCAGGTCAGAAAGGAAGGCATCTGTGGCAGCGATATTGGTACTGGATTCGAAACGGGAATTGATCCTGTCTTTGAGTTTGGATTTGGGTTTGATATTGGAGGTAGCAGTAGTGGTGGCAGAAGCCATGACACCAAATCTGTCTTCAGTTTTTCTCCTGTCCTCTTCTGTGCCCCTTCCGTTCTCCTGTCCCAATTCTCGCATTTTCTTCCCCTTCTGAGCTCGTGCGACTATGTCGCATAGAATTTTGTGTCGTTCATCTTCGACTGCTGGATTCGTCGCTTCCTGTTGATCCGACACACGTGGGATCTCAATCGAACGGTCAGGATCATGCGAGTTCAGCCTGCCAGCGAGTGAGCCTCTCGCCTGATTCAACCTCATGAATGCTTGCTTGCGAGTTGGACGAACCGGAAACGGTACAAAGACGAGCTGATGTGTAAGGCGGAACGCGGAGGCCTGTCTACTCGGCGGAAATCGCGGTTCATGACATGTCAGTCCAAGGACATTGCGATGTATTACGAGCTTCTCCGAAAGAAATCGAGTGAGAGGAGCCGCGGCAATTGTCTCCATTCTGTATCGGGCCAGAAATTAGTATGCTCGAGCCAGCTATTTTGGATGGTCGCGCCAGCTATTAGAATGGTCGGGCCAGCTATTCGTATGGTCGAGTCAGCTATTAGTATGGCCGGGTCAGCAAACTCTCATACGAAAGAGCGTCCCCGATAACAGGAAATTAGAACCAGGTTTGTGAGGAAAATTGGTAGTAATTGTAAAGAATTGTCAGAATTAACTAATGAACTCTGTCAGAATCAGCGGAGTGTCAGGGACATGGCAAGAAATCACCAAATCTGCTACTGAATGGAAGAATGGAAGAAGGGAATGGAATATTTGAGATGTCTCTCATGCTGAATCTGCCAGAAAGAGAGTTCCCTGTGCTTGGAAGGAATTCGCCCACGTTCTCGCTGTTGCAGTAAGACACGCATGTCATTTTCGCAAGACCTTTCGCGAATAGTTTCTGCACGATGACTCGTTGCTTTTTTTCTGATGACTCGCAAAAAGCGAGTTCTAGTTACAGAGGCTACTCTCGTTGCAAATGTTTCGTGTCTATCAAGCCAATTCGCAAAGCTCGTCTGTATATCAATCAACCTCTCGAATGTCTGGGCTTTTCTCCTTTCTTGCTGTCTTCGTCCATTGCCACCTCATGCTGACGTGTCAACTACCAGCAGCACTAAAATTTCTTCGCACTTATTCCTTGCTCTTCAGCGTAGCAGCTAGCAAGCCTTCTCGAAGGAGTTTTTCGAATAGCCTCCTGCATTTTCCGCTTCGTTCTTGAGAGCACCACACGAGAATGCTTGCCTTTCCAGCTCTTTATCTCCCGTCACCGGCAACTTACATTACCTGAATCTAGTAGCTATCGGCCAATTTTTCTTTCTGGGAGTCGAGCTTCCCAGCCAATAAGATCGCTATCTGGTCCGATCGAAAGTTCTGCGGATTGACCGTTCTGGGAGTCGACCGCTAGGCCAGTTGTTCAGAGCTTCAAGACCGCCTGGAGCGTTGCTGTGGGGAGAGCAGCAATTTGCAGCGATGCCTCGTTTCAAGACCGCATTTAATGGATACTCGGTACACGATATAAAGATCCATGTTCTCCATTTTAGCCTGGATTAACGAAAGCAAAAAACGCCTGAAATGCGATGCGAGGATGACAAGCAGGCGAGCTGATTAACGAGCGGCTTCAGTTCCCCGTATTGAAACGTTTCAAACCTCACCCCCCCGTTACACTTTCCGCCGTTTCTCCTATGGTACTTAGGCTAGCCGCTTGTGCCTGTCTCTCACCCTACGATTGCCGACTCGTCCCTCCTGACTGCTCAGCTTCCTCTTTGTGCTTGCTTCCTCCATTTTCCTACTGTGTGCCCCAGAATCGCTTCAGCACAAGTTCCTCGCTACTGTGTGCCCCAGAATCGCTTCAGCACAAGTTCTTACATGTCTCAACACTCCTCGCCTCCTACCCACCTTCGTGCTTCTACATTTTCCCCCTTATACACCCCAGGCTCGCTTCAGTCCGTTTGTGGAGAATCGACTCGCTGTCGCGACGGCTCAGAACTTCGGCATCATTGGCAATGGCCGTCTGCACGTACTCGAGGTACCGCACTGCACCGCACTCAACCTTGGTGTCGTTGGCCCCACATTACTTGGTAAAATGCTCAGAATGTGTCATTGTGTCCAACTCCCTAGAAAGTCGTTGCATCAGCCTCCAACCCCGCAGGCCCCCCTTTCCCCCTCCTTTCTCTTCCTGTCCTTCTTTTCGCCATGTGTTCTCCCCCTTCAATCCCCACAACCCGTTGCTGGTGCCTCAGCTCTCCCCAGGAGGCGGATTGGTGGAGGTGATGGCGTATGACACGGCAGACGGGCTTTATGACTGCTGCTGGAGTGAGGTGAGATGCTGTGTAGTGCGGTGCAGTGCGGTTCAGTGCGGCGCAGTGCAATCAGTAGAGTTGTTGCATTGCAGGCTGCTGCAGTGGGTTGGTGGAGGTGATGGCGTATGACACGGCAGACGGGCTGTACGACTAGTGCTGCAGTGAGGAGAGATGTTGTGCGGTGCAGTGTGGTTCAGTGTTGGTACAGTGTGTCGGTGTGGGGTCGTTTGCTTTGCAGCTGCTGCAGTGAGTTGGGTGGGGTGGGGCATAGGCATAAAAAGGTGGCAGATGTTGTGACTCTGTTTTGATGGGTCAACACACAGGGCCTTGCATAGGCGTATGAGATGATGCGAAAGGAAATCATTTTCTCATTATTTCCTCCGGCCCCACCCCCCCTCCCCCCTTTTCCCTCCGCTGCAGGCGAATGAGAATCTTCTTGTGTCTGCCAGTGGCGATGGCAGTGTCAAGGTGAGTGGTGATTGACTTGTGCACACTGCACACGCACCCTTACTGCTGTTTCAACTTTCTTTTTCCTTCTCTTGATATGAAACTTGGCTCTCTCTGCAAGATTGTTTTTCAACATAATCCGGCTATCCTGTTCACAACTTTCCCTCCTCATATCATCCTCCGTCCGAACATTCCCTTCCGCATGCATCTGTCCTCTCGCTCTCGTCTGGTGCAGATATGGGACTTGGCTTTCCCTCCCGCCAGCAACCCCATCCGCAGCTTGGAAGAGCACATTCGAGAAGTGTGTGTATCCCCTGCCCTCTTCAATGTACTTATTAATGCTGATCCGCTACCCGCTTGAGTACGTATTCCGATTCCCTGCCAGTCTATTCCCTGCATATAACCCACCATTCCTTGCCTACTGACCTTGTCTCGATTTTCCACAACCCCCCCATCTCACCTCTCCCCATCTCACGCTGCAACAAGAAAAAATAATTAAATAAATCCTTTTCCCTTTCCTTCTTTACTCATTTCCCACTTTACCCCTTTCATCCAGGCAATCAGTGGACTGGAACGTTGTGCGCCGCGACTCCTTCCTCTCATCATCCTGGGATGACACAATCAAGGTGTGACACAATCAGAATGACAAGGATGGCAGGGATGGTAGAACCAGGTTCGGTGGTAACTGCAACTGCAATGGGTTGCACTTCACAGTCACCGCACCAAGTCTGGGTCACTAAACCGTTCTGCATCACTCCCATCTCGTCCTCTGCACCAGTCCCTTCCGCTGCAGAGCTTATCTCAGTCTGGTCCGACTTTTGAGGCGCCTCAAAAGCATGCTATTCTCCTCCAGCTGCATCTGTCTCTCGTCATTCCTCCTTCCAACGCTGAGCATTGGAGTCCTTTAGCTCAACTCAGTATCCTGCTTTCGCCTCTGTCATGCGCCCTCTCATTCCTTTCAGCTATGGGCGTTGGAGTCGGGGCAGTCTCTGAGGACGTTCAGGGAGCACACATACTGCGTCTACTCTGCTGTATGGTATGGGACATGTCTTGAGACTTTATCCTGAAGAAATATTGTTGATCAAGTCTAAACATTCCATAGGAGCATTCAGTGTGCATTCAGCGCGCAGTCAGAGTGAGCTGCAATCGGTGCTCACCCCAGCCCATCACATCGAAGTCCTCTTTTCAACTCTTCCATGTGACCTCATCCGCTTTGTCCTCTCCGCCCTCTCCGTTCGTATCCTCCCCTCCCTTCATCTCCTCCCTCCTTTGTCCTCTCCGCCCTCTCATTTCGTTTCCCCCCCTCCTTTCCTCTCCTCCCTCTATCTTCATCCTCTCCCCACCTCCATAGGAACCCTGCCCACCCTGATGTGTTCGCATCAGCATCTGGCGATTGCACTCTCCGCATCTGGGACCTCCGTGAGCCGCGATCAGTGCTCGTTCTCCCAGCCCACGACATGGAAATCCTCTCCTGTGACTGGAACAAGTACGGCGGCGGGTCACTCATCGCCACAGCTTCGGTCGACCGAACCATCTGCATGTGGGACATCCGTGCGCCCCGGCCTGGGCCCGGCCGTCCCGAGCCTCTGGCTCGGTTGCAAGGGCATGCGTATGCGGTTCGGCGCGTGCGGTGCTCGCCGTTCCATGAGCCGTTGCTTGCTTCGGCGTCGTATGACATGACCGTATGCTCGTGGGATTTTAGAGCTCCGGAAGATGCGCTACTAGGGAAGTTGGATCATCATACGGAGTTTGCGGTGGGGTTGGATTGGAGCCCGTTGGTTGAAGGGCTTATGGTGTCGTGCGGATGGGATGAAATGGTGTATGTCTGGCAACACGGGATGGATCCAAGGCTTGGGTAGTTGGTTGTGTAGGTTCCAGGCCAGGGTGCTGAGATGTACGGATGTGGAATCAAATAATACTTGAAGGAAATCATGTAATAGATTTTTCCTCCTCCACATTTTGCTTTTGCGCCCCTTTCACGCGACCATGTGGAACGCCTCCATGGATTACGGCAATCAGGCATAAAGTCAAGCTTGATCATAGTCGCTGGTTGTAAACATCCGGTTTCTTTCTTCGTAACGCAGCAGGGTTTGACGAATGCGGCTTCTGAACCTGGGCCTCGCTATTTGTCACGTGGCGCCAAATCCCCATCACCTTGGAGATCCCATACCAGCCGCTCACGTTCATGCCGAGCCTCGCCGGAAAGCACCAGGTAGCCAAGCCTTTTCTCCCAAACCTCTTCGGTTTGAAACCAGCTTACCAGCTTCGGGCGAAACCAGGCCAAGCTCGGACGGACTAATCTCTAGGCCAGATGCAGCTATCTGGTGAAGGTAGTTATCCCCTGGGTACCTACAGTACCAACCAAGAGATTACCAAGTTAGCTGCTCGGAAAAGTCTCCTTCGGGCGGTTAACTAGGTTTTTTTACAGGACGCCTGGCTTTGAAGCGTCCATGGCTCTTATCTTGAACTCGCCGTTTTGAGTCTCGAATTCACGTCGCCGAGGCATGATCACGACTTCGATACCCGCTCCCGCTTGTGAGTCATCACACCTGATCGTGAGTCGTGATTACCATTTTCAACTTGCTGAAATACACAGCCGGATCGTATCTGTCGAATGAGCTCTCGACTGCATCAGAATTAGGTCTGAAATATAATAAGGACATCAGCAAATCAAATCAGATCAATCGGATCGCAACGATGCATACGGATCGGCTGCGCTTTTCGCAGTCAAGTGCGCCGTCGAATGCGCCGTCATGTGCGGCAGATTCGATCCACCTGCACTCGCAGGCTCTTCCTCCTGAAAGCAGAAGGCCAGACGCCGTTTCCTCGCCTGCACAGCCGAGTGTAACAGGTTACCACAGTTGTTGTGGTGGTTACCAGAATTGTCAAGGTGGTGACCATTCTGCAGTAATTGACCGGTTATCAACAGCTCCGCGGTTTCTTTCAAGCCATCCCTCCACGCGGCAAAATCTGGGACTGTATAGGCCAGTCCAGCATGCAATAGCGCGGATACACTCTCACCTCCATTCACCTTCTACGGATACAATCGGACGGCTGCAGCTGAGCGTCATGTCCCTAAGAAGCACCACCAGCGGCGAAACGACGGAAGCCCTAGCATCGGAACCAGCAACACCATCGGCAACCGCACCAGCGCCAGCGCAAGCGGTGGCGGGCCCGGCGGCTCCGGCGGTCCCGGCGGCGCAGGCGGCGCAGCAGCTGGCGCGGTGGCGGCAGCAGCAAGGCGCGAGCTGGCAGTCATTCGCGCTGGACCTCGCACTCGGCGGCGCGCTAGGCGGCGTGTCGCACACGATCGTGGCGCCGATCGAGCGCGTGAAGCTGCTGCTGCAGACGCAGGACAGCAACGCCGCGATTCTCGCGGGGCAGCACCGGCGGTACCGCGGGTTCGTGGACGCGGTCACGACGATCGTGAAGGAAGAAGGCTTTTGGGCGCTGTGGCGCGGGAACGGGACGAGTGTCATGCGCTACTACCCGTCTCTCGCGCTCAACTTCGCGTTTAAGGTCAGTCAATGAGAGGTCTGTGCGGTCTGGGCGCTGTGGCGAGGGAACGTGACGAGTGTCATGCTCTACTACCCGTCGCTCGCGCTCAACTTCGCGTTCAAGGTCAGTCCGTGACGTTTGTAACTGTAACGTCCATGACATCAGTTGGTAAGGGATTCGCATTTGCATCTCATAGCCAAGTGTAAGTGACAGTGATGCCTACCATCTCTCTGTCTTTTTGTCTTTCTGCCTCTTTTGAATCCACTCAGAATTCACCTGCCCTTCCACTATCTTTCTGTCAAACCCCCTTTCCACAACATGGTTTCCCGGCCCCGGTTCCAACCCCCCCCCCCCACTCCCCCCCCCCTCTCCCCTCCTGCGCGCAGGACTACTGTCGCGTTCTCTTCGCCCCGTCTCACCTACGTTTGAGTTAACTCAATTGCCCAAACCCCACCCTCCTCCCGCTTGCGTCTCCCCCATCCCTCCTTCGTCCCCCCCCTCCCGCCTTTGTCCTCCCCCTCCTCCCGCACACAGGACTACTATCGCGTTCTCTTCGCCCCCTCGCACCTACTCATAGACCCTTCCGCCACGCGAATCGCAGCGGGAAACTTTCTGGCAGGCGCAGCAGCAGGAGCCACGAGCCTCCTAGTCACTTACCCCCTAGACGTGGCGCACACGCGCCTAGCCACCGATATAGGCACGCGCCGGCAGTTTGCAGGCATGCGATCCGTTATTGCGGCGCTCTGGCGAGCAGAGGGGATCAAAGGCTTATATCGCGGATTTCCTGCGTCCGTACATGGGATCATCGTGCATAGGAGTTTGTACTTTGGCGGGTTCGATAGTGCCAAGCAGCTGCTGTTGAAGGGTCACGGCGGGGGAGGGAGAGGAGGAGCGGGAGGAAGAGGGGATGGAGGAGAGGGAGGAGGGGGAGGAGGAGGGGCAGCGTTAGTGGGGGGAGGAACGAGTGGAGCAAACAGCGGGGTGATGAGAGGAGAAAAAGGAAGGGCTGGAGAGGAGGATGGGATTGGGAATGGGGACGGGTTGGGGCACGCGCCATTCTGGTTGAGATGGATGCTGGCACAGGCAGCAACGACCACGGCTAGTGTGGTGTCTTACCCGTTTGACACTGTGCGACACCGCATGATGATGCAAGCAGGGCTTGCGAAGCCCAGGAGAGGGGAAGCAGGGCGAGCAGGGCCTGGAGGATTGGCAGCAGTAGAAGCAGCAGCAGGAGCAGCAGGGGGAGCAGCAGCAGGAGCAGCAAGGGGAGCAGGCACGGTGTTAAGTGCAGTGGGGTCGGGAGGAGCAGCAGCAGGGATGGGTTTAGCTGCAGCCGTTGCAGGAGCTGAAGCAACGGTTGGTGTGAATCCGGTGAATTCCCCAGCTGTTGCCAGCGTGCATGCTGCACAAACACCCAATGTGCGAGTGTCCGGGCCTACTGCGTGTCCTTTAAGCCACTCGTTTGACAGCCACCAGGTACAGCAAGTGCAGCTGCAGAGCCCTGCACTTGGTCAACCAGGTCAACCGGGTCAACTAAGTCAACTGAGTCGAGCAGATAAATCTGGTCAACTGAGTCAACCGGGTCAACCACAGGGCAAGGCTCAGCAGCAGCACCACCAACAGCAGCAACAGCAGCAGCAGCAACCAGGGCGGAAGATAGTGGTATTCAAGAGCACGTGGGCGTGCTGGAAGCATGTGTACCGGCAAGAGGGCGTGCTGGGGTTCTATAAGGGGCTCTTCAGCAATATCCTCCGAGGCACTGGGGCGGCATTTATTCTTGTCATGTATGACGAGGTTCGGCAGTTTGTGCATGGGGATAAGGGGCTGTAGTGGAGGGGATTTGAAGGAAGCATTGGTGATCATCGTAACAATGTTGCGGCTTTCTCACATGGGTGGTGGTAACCACATTGGTGCAGTACCCGTGTAGTGGTGGTAGTGGCCTGGTATTCACAGCAGTAACAGCAACCACAGCAGTAGCAAATGCAGGAGAGACAGCAGCATGTGCAGCACCTTGAGCTGTAGCAGCAGAGCAGACATTCAGAGCCCTGGGTATGGTGACAGGATCTTAAAGCGGAGTGATGGGATATCTTATTTTTGACGCGATTCGCGTAGTTTTTGTATGCATTCATATGTGATTTGATAAGCCATACCAATTGTGCGCTCCCAGGACCCTCTCGCACAGGCCCCCATGGAACCTGTGTCATGCCTACACATGGTACTACGCAATACAGCTGCTTAGGAATAAAAATCTTCTCCCCTCGTACTCTCTGTCCTTCTCTCCTCAACGCAACCACCCTTCGTTCTCTTTTCAAGCACTGCTTGTAAGAACTTCATCATCGTACGACACGTGGCAAGCGGTGGTGCATCCAGGGGCACTGGGATCCTCTGACTGGTTCAATCATCATACGACACGTGGCATGCGGTGGTGCATCCAGGCGCACTGGGATCCTCAGCACCACAGCAGTCGTAGAAACGAGCAGGGTACTCCGGATCGCCGTCCTTCAACTCGTAGTACCTGGGGGTGTTGAGAGAAAGGAAGGGATAAGGTGGTTGTGGCACTATGACAGAAATCGTAGAAGCGAGCTGGGTACTCCGGGTCGCCGTCCTTCAGCTTGTAGTACCTGTGGGTAACAGAAGGTGGGACAAGCAGGTTGTGACATTCTGGCAGCAGTCATAGGAGCGAGCTGGGTACTCCGAATCCGCGTCCTTCAGCTCGTAGTACCTGTGGGAAACAGAAGGTGGGACAAGGAGGTTGTGACATTTTGGCAGCAGTCATAGGAGCGAGCTGGATACTCCGAATCGCCGTCCTTCAGCTCGCAGTACCTGTGGACATTGAGAGAAAGGGGGGGATAAGGGGGTCGTGGCACTGTGACAGCAGTCGTAGAAACGAGCCGGATACTCCGGGTCACCATCCTTTAGCTCATAGTAGCTGTGGGTGTTGGACGGGGGAAAGAGGCAGGAAAGAGGAGGGGGGAGGAAACCGAAATGCCTCTTGGCTAAAATCAACAATGCACCCTCCCCAACCACCCTCCCCAGCCCCCTCTATTACACTTCCAGCCCGCACGCACATCTTTGGGTCGTCGTGCTTGCGGCTCACAGACACTTGGAACCAGCACGCCTCTAAATTCTTCCACTTCTTCCCTTTCTCCCCTAATGCTCTGTTAGCACATACTAACCTCTTTTGATCGTCATGCTTGCGGCTCACAAACATCTTGGGGTGGAATCTGCACGCCTCTTGGCTGTTTTCTTCCCGCTTAAACAGCGTTCTGCAGCGCCTACACACCGACTCCTGCGTGGCCGCCATTCTGAAACGAGAATGGTTAAGAGCGGTGGAAAGGGCGTGGAGACGGGTGAGAAGGGGTGGAACGAGTGACGGAAAGGTGTGGTCCCCCTGTGAGCAAACTCCAGCAGGAGAGACGAATCTGGGGAATAGTTGCTCGTCGAAACCGTCTTCCTGATCTGCCGAAACCTTCTTCCTATGTGTTGCTCGACGGTGTGTTCTTCCTAATCTACTCACTGTCTTGTACCATTCAGCCGAAATTACCGCTGACGCGGAAACGCGGAAGTCGGTTTCGAAACGCGTGGAAACGACGATAACGTGCCGATACTAACACCAGGTGGAACGGCTGGGGAAGATTTGATTGCGAATGGAGATTACGCAGTGCTGGCGACGAAAATAAGGACCAGTAGCACGCACAAAGGTGACGCCGTTGCTGAGGCGTTCAAGAATCAGGAGGACCTTGCACGTACAAAATATCCGCGGAATTCTCGAGGACGGGAAATTCTCAAGAATGTGCAAGCACCTGTGAACACTGAATGCTCTGTGTTCGCTTTGAGCGGTTTATAAAATTTCGTCGCGGTGCCAAACGGTGAAGCCTCAGAACCGCTTCCCACCGCGCGGAAACGTTCCAAGCCATCGTGTTCAAGCTCTAGTGTCCAAATGTGGTGGTTACTAGCCTCTCAAAGTTTCCATTTCATGTGAAGGTCGACTCAGACTGGCAATTGAAGTTAAACGTGAATATCAAGGTAGCCTCGGAACTGCCAGCAGTACAGTGTAGTAGCCATAACGAGCGTAGGTGGGCATACTCCCAGTCTTAAAGTAAGTCTTGTCGATTTGTCGTTCTTCTATACTCCCAGTCCGTCCACCGTGAGGACCATTTACTATTAGATTCGTATCACCGTGTCATCTTGTTAATTTCTGTATATTAGGGGTCACCCACCGTAAACACTGCGTCCAACGCTCCTCCAGGTGCGGTTAGCTTGTCAGATCTGTGCCACGCGATTTTTGCGATCACGTCTCAATGAGCACCTGCTACTCAGCGACTATTTATGAGAGCCGATGCGTGATCTTTTGTTAACCATTCTCTCCTTTTCGTTTTTGCTTTTGCTAAAAAGCAGACGCTTAAGCAAAATGTCAGATTGCTGGAATGCGGGTGCAATTATCGCGACCGTCTTTCTTCCACCTCTTGGAACCTTCATGAAGAAGGAGTGCGGATACGAATTCTGGGTACGGAATAGTTTTTCTCCTTTGTTTGCACGCTGAGAGTTCCGGATGGACGTGTAGTAACTCTTTGCTTTTGTTGCGGGAGCCCACGTCGATATGGTGGATCATCCTACTCTGTGATTCATGTGCAGATCTCTATTCTACTCACACTCTGCTTTTGGATCCCTGGAATGATTTACTCTGCGTGGGTTGTTGCCCAACAGTGAGTACTTTCCCTTTTGCACGCTGCTGCTTCGTGGTTCTTGTTAGGTCGAGATCGAGTATCGATTTCTTGTGACATTCTTGTAAAATACCGTGTCTGTCTGCCTGATTCTGTTTTGTGCAGAATCCGAGTTGAGGCGATGGGACCAATGCCAGGTCACTGAAGTGCAAATGTACATACTTACCGTACCATTCATAGCCGTGTACATTCCCAACATGTTTTGTGGTGTGGGTGAAAACAAGTGTCAAAATATGTACCTTGACCACTCTCCTTGTGTTTCTCCTCCAGTCGTGGTACCTGTAAGGATGGACGTGCCTGCAGTTGGAGTAGTCGTGACCTCACATGGTACTGCCTGCTCGATCATGGCAGGAAATGAGATCATGCAGTGGGAGCAATGCCTGGTAAATGAAATGAATGTGTACATGATCTCCATTTATAGCTGAGCAAAGTTTACCATTGTATTCAGCCCAAGCTGAGTAGCCTTTCATACATGATGCACATATGTATGCTCACTCATCAGTCTATACTCTGATCTCCATTGTGTCTAAGGACCTGCACCACTCTCCTTCTGTTCCTCCGTCTTGGTAGTGGTGCTTGTGGGGACAGACTTGTCTGCAGAGGTAGATGGAGCTGCGCCTTTCTCATATGATTGCACCAGTGACTGCAAACTTGATCCAAGTGCCTGCAGCAAGGAACCAAAGTCAGTTCAGCACCACTGATAAACTCAAGCACCTCGTTTAACAAATTGCAAGCACCAGACACTTACCTTAGCAGCATCAGTTACAGCATCGCCAGCAGCAATAAGCACCTCAGCAGCACCAACCACAACAGTTTGAGTAACACCCTGCGTGGTCTTCACTGCTTCGTGCACGTCTGCTGCTGCTGCCTTCACTCCCTCACCAGTCTCCTCCGCTCCCTTCAGTTCAACATCACCACCAGTCTTGCCTTCTTCTCCCACGAATGACAGTTTCTCCATCGCATGCTTAATGTCGGAATATATTTTGCTGGCTGACCCCTCCACCACATGCTCAGCCTCCAAACCCTTTTCCTTCATAACCTCTGCCAACTGACCCAACCGCTTTGAAGACGCTTCCAAAACAGCAGCAGCCTCTTCCTTCCCCTTCACATCCACTCCTTTACCTATACCAGTCTCTCCCTCCTGAACCTCCTCCTGTCCCTTACCAAAGCTGGACTTGAGCATCTCTGCAGTCTCTCCCAGGCTCTCCTTCGCCCTTTCAGTCAGCTCCTCAGACTTCTTAGTCACCGTCTCTGTCCCTGACGCGAGCCCTTCCTTGGCCTTCTCCGTCAACTGATGTCCCTTCTCCACAGTTGCCTCGCCTGCTTTCTTGGTGGTCCTTGTCACCTGGCTACCCGCCTGCTGCGCCTCCTTTTTAGCCTCCTCACGCTTGGTTGAAGCGGCTGCCTGATGCTCACCAGCACGCTTCGCTGAAGCTACTGCATGATGCTCTTTAGCCTGCTTGGCCCTCTCTTCCTCCACGCTTTTACTCTCGCTTGTTTCAGCCGTGCTCTTACGCTCAGTGGGCCTTTCCTCCGTGGAGCCTTTTTCCATGATTCCCTTCACACGCTCAGCCCATGACACGCCCTCCTGCTGCTTCTGCTCTCTCTCAGCTTGTGCCTGTCCACCATGTGGCACCTGCGGTGCACAAAACCCGGTACTCAGGAAAAGAACAGACGAAACAGCGTAAAACAGATACTGAAGACATGCTAAACCTGCGGTGACCTTACCTGCGGAACCTGCTGGCTCGCCATGTTGTCTCTTGCTCGCCTGACTCTAACGCGCGATGCAGTACGGTGCGTAAGAAAGGATTCCTCGGTTCAGACAACTTGGGATATGAGAGCGTGCAGATAGTCGTTTTCACGAAGGAGCTGCAGCGAACCAAATAGAACTCGCGACACGGAAACTCGGGAGAACACCGCTATTTCAAGGACGTATAACGACGTTGCGTGCGCAGCAAGTCCGTCCTGGATCGGCCCAATTATTCCCAGGGCAACCACCTTATCGCTGCGATTCGGTCGCCTTGCGAAAAGACAGCTAGCTCCACATCCGTCCCCGCTTGGACGGAGACACGTGGCATCAATTGGACTGTAAAAGGCTCGAACATAGAGGCCGATCTAAGGGCTGCCTTTTCCTGCCCAACTTCACAGTCACGCATGCAAGCGACATGTTAACGCGGTCGGCGAGCCGACATGCAACAACCATTTGATCTGAGCAAATTCAGCTTAGCCGCTGCCCAGTGGCGGAGTATTCTTGCCATTGCCCGTGACCTCCCTCAATTCGGCTGACCTCCGTAACCTCACTCGATGACCGAAGCGACCTCGAATCTCCGACAGAAACCATGAATTTGCCGCGTGGATTGCTCACATTCAATCTGCGACCTCCATGGCAGGACTTTGACATTAGCAGCTTCGGTAAAATTATTAGGCTTATCCCGTTGTGTTTCAAAAAGTGTAGTTGGTGAACCGTGATGTTGGACCTTCTCTGTTGCGGTTTCAGGACGAGTCTCATCAGCGACTGTTGTGGTTTCAGGAGACCATCAAACACGTGCATTTCGCATTCAACCTGACCATCGAATCTCTGCGTCGTTACGTTACATCTGCCCTGAACCCAAGCCGCTCAGTTGAGCACACTCTCCCCCCAACCACCACAATCGCATCGCGTCGCACACTCGCCAGCTACTTGGCAACCAGCCCCAATCGCCTTGTTGGCGATTACGCACATTGGTTCGGCGTAGCCAGCTCGGATCAAACCAGAATGGCGCAGCTTGTATACCCAATCAGCGTCGTCCCGCTCACCTCATGTGCCACATCACCAAATCCTTTCTTAAAAAGCCCAACAACCACCTTCCCGAAGCTATTTGCTAAGGATAACAAGCACAGATCAACCACCTCAAGCTAAAATCTGTACCGAACTAAAACTACTGACAAACCATTTCAACCAGCCCAAAACTCACGACGTTTACAGCCCCTGAAACAGCCCCACCAAACCAGGAGATCAGGCTCTCCCCGTGCCTTGGCGGTAATCCCAGGTCTCCGAGGTTTCCACCAATCAATGAAGCACAGGATGGTGGGGCAGTTCAGTATGTAAATTAGTTGCTCCTTGAAACACAAATGTCATTTCTCTCAGCGCCACTTACATCAGATAACAGCATATTACAGACATTTTTGTTGGCGCATTTTCCGCACGTGTGTAGAAGTTCGCAATACCAGCAACGAGGACCCATTGAATCCAGTTACCTCAGCGTCTATAGTTTCATCCCTCACTTGTTACCTTTTTAACGCATTGGTGTTGCGAGCTGCATCGCTTGATCCCGGTTTTTTCACAAGGCGGCAGTCAGATCCGCCATGGCTCCGTGGTATAAGGAGAACACGACCGTCAATTGCTTCGGGGTTACACTCAACCTCGGCGATCTCACCGCGCTGCCATTGGTCGTCGGATACGCTCTCTGCTCGAGTCTCCTCGCAATTATCAACAAATACGCCATCGATGTCTTTCCTTTCCCGAGCCTTCTAACGGCTCTCCAATACCTCACATGCGTCGTCGCGGTCTTCGGTTTGGGCCAAATGAAGGCTCTGGAGCACGACCAGATCCAATGGAGCATGGTCAAGAAATTCCTTCCCGCGGCTTTCGTTTTCTACATGGCAATCTTCACCAACACGACGCTCCTTAAATACGCCAACGTGGACACATTCATCGTGTTCCGGTCGTCTACACCGCTTCTCGTCGCCGTCGCTGATTATCTCTTCAGAAAGCAGCCATGGCCGGGGCCATACACCTTTGGAGCTCTTTTCGTGATTCTCGCCGGCGCGGTTGGTTACGTGGTTACAGACAGCCAGTTCACCGTTCGCGCGTACACGTGGGCTTTCGCTTACCTCTTCACAATCACACTTGAGATGGTGTACATCAAGCATATCGTGAGCAGTCTCGGTCTGAACACCTGGGGTTTCGTCCTGTACAACAATTTCCTCTCCCTTCTTATGGCTCCTCTCTTCTGGATGATCACCGGCGAGTTTCAAGAGACGATGATCGCTACCACCGCTATGGCCGACTGGAAATTCGGCGTGGTTTTCCCCGTGCTGCTGTCCTGCGCATTTGGACTCGCTATTAGCTTCTTCGGATTCGCCTGCAGAAAGGCGATCTCGGCAACTGCTTTCACTGTTCTCGGAGTGACCAACAAGCTTCTGACCGTTGTCATCAACGTGATGATCTGGGACAAGCACGCATCCTCGTTTGGAGTCATGTGCCTTCTCGTTACAATCATCGGAGGAGTGATGTACCAGCAATCTAACGTGAAGCAGAACTTCCGAACCGCTCCGGCATCTACGGACGAGGAGGAGGCGAAACCCTTGACTCCTGCGAATGAAGTGGATGACGGTCAAGATGCTGGTGAGTTGCGTTGATCGCACAATCCGTTTTATTTTTTCTTCAACGACGTAGATAAACAATAAGCCACGAAGAAAAATGAACAAATCTTTTTACTAACGGTCATAACATAGAAACCCTGCGTGAAGGGAAGGAGGCATAAGAACGTAACGATTCGCCTCGCGGTTTCGTATCAGAGGCGGAGGTAACCAATTTAGGTCCCCATTTCGGAGGTGGTCTCTGAAACAGGGTGGATGCCTTTTCCACCACAACTTTTTTTTTCGTTTGAGTATTGAAGTTTGTGGTCTTCTAGGCAGTTTTGAGTACCCCCCGTCTCCAAGTTGTCTTAGAATACTCGTCTGTGGAGGCTACGAAGCCATGGCAATGAAATTGTTGCGGTCATTGATCTCTAACAGGACCCTTCCAGGTTTTAATGCCATATTCGTTCATCCAATGCCAATCAATCCGGTCTACATATAAACCCTCGCAGAACCCTGACCCTCCTCTCTTTACATCTATCTTCATTCCTCTGCTCCTCTGTGCTCTTCTCTTATGCCCTTCTCATCTTGAATCCTTCCTCGTCCTGCCTACTACCTCAGTCTTTCCTCCCTTGCACCGTTCACGTCAATCTGAAAGTCCGTACCTGCCTCAGTCCTTTATTGGCCCTATATGCTGCTCGCCAATTATCCCACACAATCTCCTGCGAGTTATCTCTTACTTCACTTCCACCCACATCCCTCACCCTCCCCCCCATCCTGCAACCCCTCTCCACCACCACCCCCCTTCTCTTGCTCTCCCTCCACATCCTCCCTCTCTTTCACCTCCCCTTCTGGGTCTTTCTTTTTGCCCAATCCCCCATGGCTCCTCTTGGTGGCTGGTCATCTGTGTGTTGTTTGTTGACAAGATTCGTAAATCTCTTCTCCTGTCGTTCTTGTCGGGTCCTTGTGTGCACAGAGCTAAAGCCCCTGAACGCCAAGTGAGCATACCCAAGCGGTTCAGTCTACGTAATCTGGCATTTTAGTCATAAGATACTGTATGTTTTTATTTTCTGAACTATGGGATGTAGCTGATGAATGATGCATGACTGTCCCTAAACTTGGGATAGTTCATTCTAGTTATTCTAAACGTCAACACAAGGGTGCCCGAAATACACACGCCACAAAGTCAAGGTACCCTTATGATGTTTACTGCCCATCAAGATTCAAGTTCTAGTGCACCTACCTGGCAACGCCACGTGTTTTTACCGTGTAATCCAAGACTGAGTGGTGCTACTTGTACCGATTTGTTTATTTCCGCGTCAAGTTCATTGCTGCAGCGTGCAATATAACATGTACGGTGATTCCAACCTGACAACTGAACATACAGTCCATTCAAAGGGACACGCCCCCTCCCTCGATCTATCGTGCTATAATGATCGATCATCCACCGCACTAAAATGTAGTTTTTAAGCCCTTTTAAACCGAGCGCAGGATCTATCATACGCAGGATCGAATGAGGGAGTGGACGCGTCCTAAATTAAGGTACTCCAGGTTTAGAATGGCCTCACATCACACTCAGCTAGTCGCGCTGAATATTTCATCACATCAATCAACATCGAAAAAAATGTATTTCCTATTTGCACATCATAGTGCACATCACTGTTGGCAAACCAATGCCAGTAAGGATCATGTGGATATTGAGCCAACTACGGTATTGACAGGCCAGGTTTAAATGGTGGCACACATTAAATATGTTTATAACATTTAGGTGCAGCATGCCACCCAATGCCAGACTGTGGCTTCAAGCGAAGAAACTGAAAGAGGGCATGCAGTCTGCTGTTCACGTGGGCCGTTGCTGAGAGGATGTGCTGCGCTGGCCAGCTATAATTGGTGTGAAGTTGCAACGGACGGATGAGAGCCTTCGTTAGTGGTGCCGACGCGAAAGCGCCATTGGTAAACTCTTCTTCCCGCCTGCTTTGGCTTCTGACCGTCCAATCGAACGGTTTAACCGTATATCTTTGCCACGCTGGACGACTGACGCATCGCTTTGAGCTCTTTTCCCGCCTACATGTCAAGATCTCATTGCTTTTGACGAGGCACAGTTTTGGGTGCGTCCACGTCGCTTTGAAACTGCTGCTTGACCAGGACCCCTCGCATTCGAACTGAACTGGAGCCTGGTCCCGCACGCAGACTACGCGGAAAAGTTTCCGCCAATCCACCGCTCCGTGAGACGGACGGTGGCCGAGGTACACGCCTGCGGGGGAGTTGGAGGTCGAGTTGAACACATGCAACAGGCATGCTGCAAGCACATGGGACCCAATGGGCCAGCAAGCAAAATCTGCCTGCCATCCTCGTGCTGACAGTTTATTCCGCCGCACAGTCGTACCAGATTTTTTCGCACCGTTTCGCAT